TGAGCTTGGCTAGCATGGCTTAATGGTTGAGTGTCAATCTATGAATCAGGAGGTCACCGTTCAATTCCTGGTCAGGGCACATGCCCTGGTTGAGGCCTCAATCCCCAGTGTGGGGTGCGCAGGAGGCAGCCAATCAATGATTCTCTCTCATCATTGATGTTTCTATCTCTCCCTCTCTGGAAAAAAAAAAAAAAAAAAAAAAAAAATATATATATATATATATTTATTTTTATTTTTATTTTTTTTTTACTTCTGACTTCGATAGAAAGATGTGGTAAAGCTTTCTCAGTATCTTATTGTATGATATTCTCAAGCCAGCACTTAAGGTTGGTAGGCCGATTTCATAAATTGCTTTATAAGTTAGAAATTGGAAATACCACTTCTTGTAAGCACCATTTGAATTACGGAGCCAATTAATTTTCTGCCCTTACTCACTTGTGTCAATCCTTTAGTGTCTAAAATGGGCTTTTACATTGTTCTTTGTAAACAACGACTGCACTGTTTGCTTACCTTTCATCTTTTGTACTTTATCCTTGCTGGAGAATGCAGTTTGTGTTTTTTTCATTGTTCAGTTGATTTTAAAGCTGTTTGAGTCTGGCCTATTTAAGAACTTGTATCCTATATTGTGTATGCAATAAATACTTACATATGTAGATAAATATCGGTGGAAATAGGTCTTAGTGGTGCTTTAGCACAATGAGGTGATAGAAGGCTAAGGAAGAGCCAGGGTTCTGCTTCCTGGAGTCTCCCTGACATTTGTTGGCGGGCGTTTCAGTGAGTGCTTTTCTTATGAGTCCAGAGTGATGACAGCAGGAGGGCCTGGATAGATGTGAGCGAATGCTTGGCAGGTTCCCAGGGGTGGAAACCTTTGAGGAAATATCGGTGTTTATGAATATTCTTGACAGTGGAATTAAAAAAGGATAGTTTGCACGGCTTTAATATTCAATAACTCTGGTTCAGTAATGCACCATTTGAAAGGCACACAGATCTGAAATTAATAAGGGATGGCCCCTTGTGAGGGAGGACGGTGAGGGCCATGTTTTTGAAGAATAGACACATGGCTCTTTGGAATTAGTGTAAGTAAATCCTGTAAAACAAGGGAATAAACTAGATGGAGAGATGTGGAACTGAATGGACGTATTGACAAGTGGTGCCATAGTTAAGTTGGTGTCTTTTTACATTGTACCTGTTTCTCTCAGGTCTTCTTTTCCCGTCCTTGAACTGATTGTATTATTTTGTGTCATGCTTTATAATGGCTGGTGAAATGTGTCCATGTAGAGGTACAACAATATAAGTTATTACCAAGCTTGTGGATTAGTGTAAGTTTGTCAAAGGCGGTGCAAAATAACTTGAATGAACAGTGAGAGAGGCCTCAGGCAACTCTCACTCCTTAGGAGGTTCTGTTTCTTTAGCCAGGTGGTCCTTGGAGAATGCTGGTACTTTTCAAGCTACAATAAAGATGCTGCCTTGCTCTAGCCGTTTTGGCTCAGTGGATAGAGCGCTGGCCTGGGGACTGAAGGGTCCCGGGTTTGATTCTGGTCAAGAGCAACTGGGTTGTGGGCTCAGTCAGATGTGCAGGAGGCAGCCAATCAACTATTCCCTCTCCATCATTGATGTTTCTATCTCTGTCTCTCTCTCCCTTTCCCTTCTTCTCTGAAATCAATAAAAAAACCCCAACAATAACAACAACAAAAAAAACCCCACCACTATTTCCAGATGCTCTGGCCTCCTGAACATATTTGCTCCACCCTTTTAGGCATACCCCTTGGAAGGACAGAGTTGGCTCTCTGGAATATGGACTCTCTGTCTCTTTGCACTTGGAAAATTGCTCTCGTTCACTTTCTATGTATGTTTATTTCTGACAGGGCGAGACCTTTTTCCCTGGCTCATCTTTTCATTATTCCTCAGTCTTGGAATGCACTGCTGGAGATGGTGGGATAAAGACATTTGGAATTTCCCCTTCTATCGTCATAATTACCAGCCTTAGTAGACTCACCTCCCATGTGTAAGATTTTTTTAAATATATATATTTTTATTGATTTCAGAGAGGAAGGGAGAGGGAGAGAGAGAAACATCAATGATGAGAGAGAATCATTGATCAGCTGCCTTCTGCACGCCACCTACTAGGGATGGAGCCCACAACCAGGGCATGTGCCTTGACCAGGAATTAGACGCAACCTCCTGGTTCATAGGTCGATGCTCAACAACTACTGAGCCATGCTGGCCGGACCCATGTGTAAGATTTTAATGTTACCCTTCAAATCATTTGGTCTGGCCCTACCAAGGCATTAGGGGTGAGTTAACTATATGTTTGACCAAATACAGCAGGCTAATTTTTAAGTCAGTAATTTTATATGCCCCTTGAATGATGTTATAAATATCTAAATGGCCCTTGGCAGAAAAAAGGTTCCCCACCCCTGCTTTAAACCAACCCCTTGCTCTAGTCCCCGTGTTCCCCTCCCCCCCAACTTGCTCTTCTCTCTAGTTTATCTCACTTGTTACAACACTCATTTGGAGCAATGGTCCTTCTGTGGCCCATGCCCTACACTGTGCTTGGTGACATCACACACGTTTTCTCTGTGTTCAGGGGCAAGCTTCTGGGAGGCCAGAACAATGACGAATGAGACCTTAGGTGGTGTCATGTTGCTGTTGGCACCTTGACCAACCACTCATGTGCTTGACAGATACTCTGTCCTGAAGGTGCTTCCCTCTCCATCTCCCATGGAGTATTGTGTATCTTTATTCAGACTGACTGGTTCCCCAGGTGTTAAAATGTTGGGACAGTGCTCTTTCTTCCCTGGTCTTACATTTTACTTTATTTTATTTATTTTTTATATATTTTATTGATTTCTTACAGAGAGAAAGGGGGAGAGAGAGAGAGAGTTAGAAACATCGATGAGAGAGAAACATAGATCAGCCGCCTCCCGCATACCCCCCACTGGGGATGTGCGCAACCCAGGTACATGCCCTTGACCGGGATCGAATCCGGGACCCCTCAGTCCGCAGGCCGACGCTCTATCCACTGAGCCAAACCGGTTTCGGCCCTGGTCTTACATTTTAAATTGTAGTCAAAGGCAATTCACCAAAGGTTTACGTGGGGTGGTGGGGGGTGGGGTGGGGGGCGGGAATCCGATTAGTAAGAAACAAATAACTTAAAAGAAATTAAAACAAAAACAAACAAATAGCTGATACCAAAGTCATATCCTTTACTTCTCTCTCCTGCAGTTTTCCTTCCAGTCCCCAAGCCTGTCTTTCCAATGTTCTTATCACGTGGGATTGGTTTCCTGCAGTTGGAAAGACAGCAAAAGCTACGCTGCTTCAGTAGAATTGTGTTCTCCCTCCCTTTGTGCTTGAAATGCTGCCTCCTGCTCTATTGGCCTTACGTCTGCCAGTCTCTCTCAGGTTCCTTTCTTGTATCTTGAGACACACTTATTAAATTTTCATCTGTAACTCAATCTTCGTACTTTGCTTTGAGTTTTGTGTGGGCGTATTTTCAAACTCCTGGCATTGAGCTGTCAGTTTTCCTGGGCCTTGTGCTATATAAGCAGGGCTTCTTCAGACGTATCCCATCAAATAGCCCTCTTGCTGTAAATGCTATCTTTTCCTTTTTTCTCTTCAGAACAGTGAAATTATTCACAGTTTTATATGCAAGGGTTCTTGTGCTCTTTTCCTCACTTATGTGTTATAATGATGTAGGGAAGACAAATGTTGCCTACCCAGGGGCTTTGGGGTATCTGATTGGTAAATTTATCATCAATGCCAACCTGAGAGCTACTTTCTATGCTGCCTTAAACATGTATTCTAGACCTGCACTGCCCCGTGCAGGAGCCACCAGCCAGCCACATGTGGCTGTGCAGCATGTGAAATGTGGCAAGTCCAAGTTGAGATGTGCTCTCAGTATAAAGTACACAAGGGATTTCAATGACCTAGTATGAGAAAAAGAATGTGAAGTAGCTCACTAATAATGTTCATATTAATTACATTTTGAAGTGATAGTTTGGACATATTGGGTTAAATAAAATGTTATTCACTTCTGCTGTTTCTTTCTGTTTTAAAGCATGGTTACTAGCAAATTCAAAATTACACATTTGCCTCGCATTATATTTCCATTAGACCGTGCCCTTCCATGAGAGTGTGAGTAGTGTCAGGGAGGGTAATGATATAATTTGAGACTTACAGCTCTTGCATGCCACTCACTGGAGGTGGTAATGGAGCAGTTTGCCTATAGCTGCATTGGCCTCCTTTCAAAAGGAGACTCCAGGGTTTGGGAATCCTCTAATGCTGTCAGGTTCTTCAGATGCTTAGAGGGTGAGTTCCAGTTACTTGATGCTCTATTTGAAATAGCAGTAGCGCATCATTTGACAGGTTCTTGTTCTGATACTGAGTCAGTGCAGAACTTTTTAGAACTCTGGGTGTGAACCAGATACTTTTCTAGGTCCTTTGGATGCAAAGAGAAATCTCATCCCCGACCACGAGGGACTTAGTCACAGCATGGTATGCAACCAAGACGCGAGTGAGTATGATTCATCGTTCAATAATAGAGGACTGCACAGTGGCTAGGGGAGTCCAGAGGAGATGATGGGGCAGGAAAGACCCTGTGAGGAGATGCGGCTGCTTGTATTCTTTCTGAGTCCATTCCTGAGAAAGTAAATAAAGGATGTGGGCTTTGGTGTAGAAACAGACCATTCGGCGACCTGGCATAAGGTGCACTTCCCATCTCTGGACATTAAGCTCAGTTCAGCTAGGATATGAGATGTGTTTACATTGGTCCCCTGCAGGCCTATCAGCTATCAATTAGGTTTTGATAGTCTTCTGTCAAGTTAAAACCTTTCGTGTTGTCCTCAGGAATCAATTGAAGAAAGCATGTAAATGCTCCTCAGGTTTGTTCCCTGCAGTCTTTTCTGTATATGCAGAAATGTGCATGTGAATGAAACTGAAAGGAGGGGAAAATCGAAGAACTTTGCCTTTTTCTGGTGGAAACGCAAGTCAGTTTGGAAAGCTACCAGAGTGTTGTGTAATGTTTTCAGTGGCTGAAGCAGACGCGCTCAGGTTTCATTGCTGCGTTGTCGCTGTGTGTTGGGGGTGGGGGACAGCAAGTGACACAGCATACAACAGACACTTACATAACCATGACTTCAGGGGACAGGAGCAGGCTGTGAATGAACCTCCCAAACTCAGGAATATGACAGCAGAACACAGCCTTTGAATTTCTCTCTCGCTTGGCTTGAAAATCAGCTTCGGAAACCTTTCTCTCAAACTAGACTTCCGTTACTCTCAGAACTTCTTTCCCTTCCCCTCCGGCTATCAAGTGCATGGACATATAGCATGTTAGAATTAGAAGGGGGTCAGACGTCTCAGAGTGCCGTTGTTCACAGGTAAGTCTCAGCCTGCCTGCTGCTGGATTTCCTCGGGGTCCCTCCACTGCCCCAACAGCCCTGTTCCTGGAGGCCCAGCATGGAACTCCTTCCTGGCAGATTAAGTTCATTGCCAATTCTTCGACTCTCCCTTGCCTCCCAGCAGAATTTCCGGATGTAGTAAATAAAGGAGTCAGTTTGTTTTGCTGAGGGTTCGAAGGGGACTCCGAGGGGACTGAAGTGGAGTGTGGAGTGTGATTTGCCTCGGATCCTGCAGTGGAGGGTGCCAGGTGATGTGGAGGCTGATCTTATCAGATTCCGTTCGTTCTGCACGGACGGCAGAGGCTTCCGCTTACCTGCTGCCGCATCTATCGCCTCCCTTTCACTTGAATCCTTGCCCTTCACTTGAGTTTTGATTTGAAATCCAAAACTGGAACCACAAAAGGATGGCGTTAGAAATGGATCTTATCTCATCAGTATCGGAAGGGGTTGTGTACTTGCTGGAGGTCATCCAGCTGGTACAGAATCCTGGTGTTCATTTCCTAGTCTAACTTTCTCTCTCATACATTTGTGTGTTTTTTAAGCCACACATATTGTTAAATGGTCAGAGTAAAAAACAAATAAAAAACAAACAAACCCTTAAGAATTATGGAGACTACTGTTTGTTTCTATTTGACCATAATTTACATGATGCTTGTTTTGGGGAACTGCTTGTTTTGAGGAACCTCTTATTTCTGTAAATTGCTTAAGCGTTTTTTAGGTGATGGGGGTTGAAAAGGTAGCGTGGTTTGGATTTTACAAAAATTCCTTTTACAATAACATTTTTTGTGTGAAAGATGTTAACAGACAAAAGTAGAGGGAACGCTGCCACCACCTGACTTGAACAGTGATCACTCATCACTAGTCTCCTTGTGTCAGTTGAGTTGGCTGTGGCACTTTTACTTATTACTCGTGTAATTATGCTTTTTTTGCTAGGAAGCATTTCTAGCTCACGTGCTTATCCCAAAAGTTTCTTTGAGCAATTTACTTAGCCCAGATGATTGCAAAGCTCCGAGCAAAGTTTTGTGTTTTTTTAAATCTTTTTGCCACCGTATTAGGTAAGATAAGCTAGCTGCTATGGCAAACCCCACTAATTTTAGTGACTTACAGGTGAAAGTTTATTTTCAATTTCCGAAAAGCCCGGGGTACGTTTTTCCTGATGAGGGAAAGGGGAGGTGGGATTCAGGGGTTCAGGCTTCTTCCACGTTGTGACCCCCACCATCGTCAGTCCACGCTTTTGACATCGCCCATCCGTCTGCATCAGGCCAGCGCAGGGGCCTAGCAGTGGCGCACATTTCACACGTTCCTCTCATTTCATTGGCTAGCACTCAGTCACGTGGCTTCACTGAGCCGCAAAGGCAGCAGGGAAATGTGGCCTGTTACTCGAGGAAGAAGGAGGCTTGGTGCCCAGCTCACCTACTGCGCATGCGTACCCACGCCTCATCCTGGCCTGGTGCCGCATTTATGTTCCTAGGCAGAAAGCAGCGCAGTAGAGCCCTGGCCGGTGTGGCTCAGTTGGTTGGGCATCTTCCTGCGCCCAGGGCAGGGCACATGCCCAGGTTGCGAGGTCGACCCCTGGTAAGAGGCGTGCAGGAGGCAGCCTATGGACGCTTCACTTTCACTGCGATGTTTGTCTCTTTCCCCTCTTCTCTCTTTAAAAATCAATTAAAAAATACAAAAATCTTGGCGGGGGGGTGGGGGGGAGAGGGAGAAGAAAGAAAGAAAGCAGTCCAGTAGAGTCTGCTTCCTAACTCTCTGGTTGAAGAAGCTATTTTATTGTGGCTCAAAAATCATTACATTTTCTTCTGCTTATGAAAGTATACCTATTTATTAGATAAAATTTGAGAAACCCAAGAAAACACAAAGACGATATAAAAACTAACAGTAATCCCAGCACTTGGCAATAATTATTATTAATCCTCTATTATATTTCCTTCTGATTTCAGAATTTTTAACTACTTAGAAATATTAATAAAATTTCACTAATTATTAATTTATGCTGGCTTGCAAATGCCACAACTAGGGAGGAGGGGAAAACAACAATAATAACATGGCGATTTTGCCTTTTCTCAGCAAAGATGGACTATTGCAGAGTCATGGTGAGGTTTCCACTTTTGGCATTTTTATTTTTATTTTTCAAAACACATGCGCGCACGCACACACACACACACACACACACACACCACTTTTGGCATTTTTGAAATGAACTTCTTGCTTACACATCATAATCCTTACCCTTAGTAAACATTGAGGCTGGTTAAAATTTGTGGTATATTAGAGTGGCAAGGCAGGGATAATATCTTAACTTTCTGACTACTTCCTACTCAATTTTCAGACCTCTTGAATATAGCTTAATTTTCAAGGAGAGAATGCTAATAAAAGGTGTTTCAAACTGAACCCAAATGAAAACTTGCAAACGTGAAAGATATAAAATCACTTTCCTGGCAGCGAGCTGAGTTCTCAGGTGGATGTGCTGTGCTCTGCTCACCTTCATTGCCTTCCGGGCCAGCAGTGGGGGGAATGCTGCTGATCTGAGATGGGAGGGTCACTTGTTGGGAGAGAAGGTACATTTCTTGAGTCATCAGTTCTAGATCCAGGGATGCAGGACCTTCTGGTTTTTCCTTAAAGTGCTGAGGTTGCAGCCTAGACCAGCATCAGAATTCCTGTTTGTGAGGTCAGTATCATGACCTCACAGCCAGGGTTGCTCAAAATGTTCTGGCAGGATCTGAGCTGAGGCCTGGCCCGGTTCTCCAGACACCATGAGGTACCGCTTTGTCCCATGTTGCCAGATTTGTGTTGACTTTTCTGTGACTTCCTGTAGATAAAAAGCAAAGACATTGATGTTAGGCCCTCCATAGTTTATTGAAAACCATTGTATAATGAAAATCACTGTTTTAAAATGTCCTCAGGCAGGACGTTTAAAAATAGAAAACTCACCAGTAGCGTAGAGGTGTTTTACTGTGTGAATGAGTATGTGGTTAACCATTTGCTATGGCAATGGCATTGCTATTGCCAATAACCATTGGCTCTATTTGCTATGAAACTTGCTATCAGTTTTCCCGTTTCTGCAAATAAACATAACATTTTTTGTTCAGTGCAAACGCATCTATAGCACCAGGCAAGTAAACATTTGAAATGATGAGCCTTGGTTATAAGTGGTATCAATTATTTATGACCCAGAAACCTAAATTCACATGCATCACAATTGAGAAGTTACCCCCTTTTGCTTTTAATATATATTGCTTTGCTCTTTGTACAAGTTTTAGTTGGAGTTGGAAGAAAAGGTGTTGGTTTATACAAATACCCAGAAACCTACTCTCTGAGGGTTAATACATATAATTTTCTTAAGGATTGTGCAAGCACTTGATAAATTATCTACTCCAATCTTTTATTTAAATAGATATTGGACCCTCCTTCCAAATTTGATTCTGTGAGTTTAAGTTGGGAGATTATGTGCCCTCCCCCCCATTTTTTTGTTTTGTTACCTCTTTTTCTCCCTGCATATAGCATGTCAGTATTAAAGAGACTCAACATCCCATTTTTTGAGCATCGTCCTCTGTGTTCCCTATCCCGCCCCCCTCTGTAACAGTCACATGTCCCAATTTTCTTAAACATGTAAGACCTATAGTCTTAAAATATTTACTTTCTTTGAGACGAGGAGCCCTTTATGGATTCAGTAGGTGTATTCCCTTTCAAATGCGTCTCTAACTGGCTTGTCTATAACACAACTCTTTAGAAATGAGCCATCCTGTCCACAGAGGTTGTAGAAATGAAATTGCTGATTTAATAGTAACATCTAGTTACGGGGACAGTATGTAACTGCTGTAGATCAGTTTTCATTGTTAAAAAACAATTCTGTGCTTTTAGCATTTATTCTTATACAGGAAGAATAGAATTGAATCTTTAACTTTTGAGTTTCCATTCCCTTTGCAAGATCTCTTTTGTGGAAGGGTATAATTTCATAAGCAGGAAAAAAATTTAATGATTTTTTTAAGCCACAATAAAATGGTTTCAACCAGGGTTTTTGATGGTGTGTGAACTGTAGTGAGTAGTAGCAGAGGGGGCTGATCCCAGAGGCATTTTGAACTGACACTGGTCGTCTCCTGGATCAGCTGGAACGGGAGCCTCTCTGTGTGCCTTGCATCAAGTGTTAGATGGCCCTAGCTTCACCTCCAAACTTGAGATTCATTACTTGAGTCATGGGATTTTTTTCCTCCCCCTCCTTCAGGGTCCTGGTAACTAACCCATTGTGTGTGTGTTTTTTTTTTTTAAATACAAGTGAATTTATTTCTTATCTGGATATTATTAATATTCTTACCTTTATGAGACATATTTGAAGTGATTGCTTATTAAGAGGAATAAGTGCAGTAAGCATATGTATTATGTCTTGAGAAGGCTGTGGTCTTGAACGTATCCCCAACCTCTGAAAATTTGTTTAGAACAGAAGACAGATTTGTATGTGCTTTCCTGTTCAAATAATGTGTAGTGAGAGAGGTTATATCTGAGAGGAAAGTGGGGTGCTTGGATTCTTGGAAACAATAATAGCTAACATTTGTGGTGTTTACTATGTTCTAGCATTGTTCTGATCACTTGAAATCTCCCCAGATGCTAGTATTTTCTAACACCTAACATGCTAGACACATGTGTACCAAACTTTGACTTCCTGGAGGGTAGGACACTTTTTTGGGGGGTTGGGGGCGCACAGGTGGAGAATAGTTCTGCTTTCCGGAATCTTAAGTTTGAGTAAAGCTGACATTCTCAAGACATATAAAAAGTATATTTCTTCTTTTGGAACTACTGAAGAGGATAAGTCTTCTAAGGTTATTTGCTTCCCTGAAATAAATTATAGCCCTTTTAAATTTGTTATTTAGATCAGATCTCAGAGTTAAATCACAAACTAGGATATTATATCTAGTTCACAATTTTTGCTTATTTCAGGCCTGGCTTTTTTTGTCTCTTAAAATAAACCTGTAGGTTACCCAGAAATAAATAGCACTATTCGCCTAGTGTTGATGTTTAGCAACAAAGCTTCCCTGTTTTTTAGGTGGAACCATAAACCTTTTCAAGAGAAGGAAGAGAGTCAGAGGGACTGTGCAGCTGAGCCATCTGCGTGCTGGAATCCCTTTCCCTAACCTGTAGTCAGTGCTTAGAAGTAGATTGCTCTTCCTGCTTCTCCCTTTTGAGAACGTGCAAGCAAAGTAGTAGCTATTTTTGACTGTTCAAAAGTGAGTTGAGTTCTAGAGATAAGCATTTTATAAGTGGTTCTTGGCTTGAAAAAAATCTTAGAACTGTGGCATCAGTCAGTGGTGTAAATACAGGATTCTGGGGTGGTGTTTATATTATACTAGAGGCCCAGTGCACAGATTCATGCACTAGTGGGGTCCCTCGGCCAGTCTGCAGGGATTGGGCCGAAACTGGTCTCTGGGTCCGGGGTGCGGGTGAAGCAGATTTGGGGCCCACAGTGCCCCAGCAGCAACCTAACCCATGGCCGATTCCACGAGGAATTGGGCTCCCTCCTTTACTGGTTGGAGCGTCTGCCCTCTGGTGGTCATTGCATGTCATAGCTACTGGGCGAACGGTTGGTCGATAGTCAATTAGGCATGCATATATATATAGACTAGAGGTCCAGTGCATGGATTCATGCATCGGTGGAGTCCCTCGGCCTGGCCTGTGCCCTCTCACAATCCAGGACCCCTTGGGGGATTTTGGATTGCTGGTTTCGGCCCGATCCCTGCAGGCCAGGCCGCGGGACCTCCGTGCCCTGGGCCTCTAGTATTCATATAAGATCTTTGGTAATTTCTTCCCACCCTCCCCCCTCCCCTCTTCCCTCTGAGATTGATTAGCCTGTTCCATGTTTCCATGCCTGTCTGTTGAGCGTCTGCCCCCTGGTGGTCATTGCGCATCATAGCTACCGGTTGAACGGTCGCTTAGACTTTTATATATATAGACGTTGCCATCTTGTAGTTTGGAAAGCAAGATTATAATATAATGTGACTGACTTATATGTGTGCTTTGTGAATTCTTGGTGCTTTACATATGTAGGTTGTTTTAGTAATGCTGGTACTAGTGTTTTTAATTGTTTATGATCTCTTGTAAGAACTATAAAAAAATCACACTCAAGTTCACATCTGCTTCTTAGCCAAATGAAAGAAAAATACATGTGTTAATCTGAGGCGCTTCTTCATTTAAGAAAGAATAAGAATTACCAGCACTGGTTTGGCTCAGTGGATAAAGCGTCAGCCTGCGGACTGAAAGGTCCCAGGTTCGATTCCGGTCAAGGGCATGTACCTTGGTTGCGGGCACATCCCCAGTGGGACATGTGCAGGAGGCAGCTGATCGATGTTTCTCTCTCATCAATGTTTCTAACTCTCTATCCCTCTCCCTTCCTATCTGTAAAAAATCAATAAAATATATTGAAAAAAAAAAAGAAAAAAGAATAGTAGCTAATCCACAGTGTCGTAAAGGCTCAAATGGGATAATACGTGTAAAAATTATTTCTAAATTATAATATTCTATGTGTTATGGGATAATAATATGTGTAACAATTTTCCTAAATTATAATATTCTGTGTGTTATGGTCCTTACATGTTGAAAAGGGTGGAGAAGAAGGGTAATTTGTCTTATTTTAGGTCCAAAACTCTTGATTCAGTGAGCATAGGCATCAAAAATTCAATTATGTTCAGTTTGTTAGTGGGGCAAGAACACCTTTTTTTTTTTAATCCTCACCTGAGGATATTTTTCCATTGATTTTTTTCAGAGAGAGTAGAAGCAAGAGGGTAAGACAGAGAGAAATATCGATGTGAGAGAAACACATCAATTGGTTGCCTCCTGCATGAGCCCTGACCAGGGCCCAGCCGGGGAGGAGCCTGCAACCAAGGTACTTACCCTTCGGTCTGCAGGCCGACACTCTATCCACTGAGCCAAACCAACCATCTTTTTTTCTTTTCCCCTTTGCATGTGTAATATATTGCTACCGTTAGCTACTTATCTTCAGTATAGTAAATTGCTTTAAACTCATCTCATTAGCATTTTGTGTTTTTAGTATCTAGAGAATTTTCTAGGTTCCTAGGTTCAGTGCAGCGATGGTTTATTATCATAGATAAGAAAAAGTTGAGGCTGTGAAAGCTGCTTTAATAATAACTGTTGTATCTACCTTTTTTCTTCTATAGATTCTAAACTCTTTATATGTTTTTCTCTCTGCAGATTTAACCCAGAGACCGACTTCCCTCTAAAAGCACCCACAGCTGTATTCATGGTCGGGGACAGGTAGTGGCAGCAGGCACGGGAAGCGCAGCTCCGCTGTACCGGGGACAATGAGTGCGCTCAAACCAAGCGGGCTCAAGGTCCCCACCAAGATCCTCAAGCCTGGCAGCACGGCCTTGAAGACACCCGCTGCTGGTAATGCCTTATGTTTTCCTCCACAGCAAAGAAGTTATAGCCCCATATGAAGGCTTCAGTGTGAAGATTTTAAAAAGATAATCTTAGAAAACTTCACATTCTTGAAAAATATTTGAAAATGTTTTGATGAACAGAATAGCATCTTATGGCTAAAAGTCTGAATCAGTGAAGAGTTTCCCTTGTAGGTTATCTTTACTTGATTTAGTGTCAGGTGATAAAAGTGTTGTCAAATTAAGTACCGTGGGTGTTTGTTCCTTACAAATCGAAACTCTGCGGACTCCCTTAGCATAGTGTACAGAGATGTTGGGCATCTGCTCTAGGCCAGCCAGACCCCTCTTGTCCCCAGTCTTGGCACAATTGACTTCTATTCATCAAGTCTTGGGCCAGATGTCACCTTCTCCAGGAGGCCTTCCCTGACTGCTCTGCCCAAAGGCGCCGTCTCCTCCACAGCACCTGAACTGCCTGAAATGAGCGGCTGTGTCTCTTTATTTACTGCCTGTCTCCTCATCTCTAGACTGAGCCCTGTGAGGGCATGGATTGCGTTGTCTTGCTCTGTCCTTCAGCGAAGACCCGTGCCTAGGACTCGTCCCAGAGTGGCAGGAGCTCATGTGCAGCATGAATAAATACATTTTCTCATTTAATCCTCATTTAAAAAGCCCTCAAGATAGATATTACTTCCCCCTTACCGATGAAGAAGTTGAGCTCAGAGGGGTTGTGTGACATCTTAAGATCACAATGTGCCTAGGAAATGGTAGAGTGATGAAGCATGTGGGCTTGCTTTGCCAGTTCACACCAAATACTGATTAAATGCTTGCTGGGTGAGTGTATGAATGCGTTTCCAGTGTAAATATCACATTTCTGGCAAAATGTAACTTCTGTCTTTACCGCAGAGTAGAGATTGCACAAGGTCATCTTGCCTTAACGGGGCCAGATGCTGTCTCTCTTGCCTTGCTGTGACCGCCATCTCCACCAGCAAAGGAATGGGTCTCTTTGGTTGTCTTGGAGGAATGATGATAGGGACCACAGCACAAACCCCTCCTTCATCCAAGCGAATGCCAGTCTCTGGTCAAATGGTCCTAGCCTCGTCAGCTGTCGTTGACTACTCAAATGTGGGAATGAAGCCCATCTCAGTGGATCTGAGCGGGTATTTGTTCATGATGTTCAGGGTTGGGGGTGGAGGAAAGAATGAAATCAGACCTGCATTATGAACTTTGGAAAAGGACTACTTAAAAAAAATTTTTTTTTAAATTGACTTCAGAGAGGAAGGAAGAGGGGGAGAGAGAGACAGACAGACAGACAGACAGACATCACTGACGAGAGAACCATTGATCAGCTGCCTCTTGCACTCCCCCTACTGGGGATCGAGCCCGCAACCCAGGCAAGCGCCCTGACTGGGAGTCAAACCATGACCTCCTTTTCATAGGTCGACGCTCAACTATTGCGCCGCACCGGCTGGGCAAGGACTACATTTTTTTTTCTTGTTTTAACTTCATCCTCTCTTAATTGCAGGTAAGGATTAAATCTCATCAGCTCACTGAGTTTCAACAGCATTGAACATGGTAGTGATGGGGCCAGTAGTTTTTGCCTCCTTGCTAAAAAAAAGAAGTGAAGGAAGAAAAACAGGGCACTTTGGCTTTCTCTGGTGTATTTCCCTTCAGGTCTGCTTGAGTGTGAAACCGAATCTCTTCTGATCATTTCTTGTGTTTTCAGTCGCAGCTCCAGCAGAAAAAGCAATATCCAGTGAAAAAGCATCAGGCGCCCCTTCCTCTGAGACACAAGAGGAATTTGTGGACGACTTCCGAGTTGGGGAGCGAGTTTGGGTGAACGGAAATAAGCCTGGATTTATACAGTTTCTGGGTGAAACTCAGTTCGCACCAGGCCAGTGGGCCGGGATTGTTCTAGATGAACCCATAGGCAAGAATGATGGCTCAGTGGCAGGAGTCCGGTATTTCCAGTGTGAACCTTTAAAGGGCATATTCACCCGACCTTCCAAGTTGACAAGGAAAGTGCAGGCTGAAGATGAAGCCAGTGGCCTGCAGACAACTCACGCTTCCAGAACGACCTCGCCTCTGTCCACTTCTGCAGCCAGCATGACAGCCTCCTCCCCAGCCACCCCCTCACATATTCCCCAGAAGTCATCCCAGCCAACAGCAAAGGAACCTTCAGCTACACCTCCCATCAGCAACCTCACAAAAACTGCCAGTGAATCCATCTCCAACCTCTCAGAGGCTGGCTCGGTCAAGAAAGGGGAGCGAGAACTCAAAATTGGAGACAGAGTACTGGTGAGTCCAGAAACCTTCCAAAGTCGTCGTGTTGAAGTGAGGAGTAATCACTGATAAGTGGTTAGAAATACAGGCTTAGAGTCTGTTCTGGAGGAATGACCACTCACTAACAGAGAAAGGAATCAGCTTTTTTAGTGGCTTAGTTGATGTGTAAACATGCTGCGAATTAGAGCCTCGCCACATAGTTTGAAAAGGGTTGTGAGTATTAGTTTGCCATGATAGATTCTAGTTTTATCTCCCAGTTTAGCCAAAAGAATGAGTTTATAACTTATAAATATTAAGATAATTTTACTTGACAAAACAGGCTCAGAAGTGGACTTAGATGTCTTTATAAGTTTTAAAAAATGTTTTTTTCTTGCTTTAATGATGCACAAGAACCTCTATTTCCCCACCAACTAAAGTGAAAAAAAATCAATTCAAGTTCTAGTCAAATAGAGTTCCTAAGAGAATATCTGCTCTACATCATCTGCCCTTGTCACATTACTTTTTTAAGTGGGTTTGCTTCCCGGTCAAAGCACATGCCCGGGTTGTGGGTTTGACCCCCAGTAGGGAGTGTGCAGGAGACAGCTGGTCAATGATTCTCTCATCATTGATATTTCTCTCTCTCCCTCTCCCTTCTTCTCTCTGAAATCAATAAACACACACACACACATATATAAAAAAAGGAATTTTAGGTTTGGTGGTGGGGGCAAAGTATAAGAAAACTGCGCATTCTGGGAAGTAAACAAATGTAGTGGCATGGCATTTCCCCCCGAGGGTAAATGTATATGGTATTACCTGCATCTAGAGAAGTATTGCCAGTCTGTTTTTATGGTGATTTTTTAAAAAATCAACTGAGTACATTTTTTTTTTCCAGTTGCTCTTTTTTTAAAAAAAAATATTTTAATTGATTTCAGAGAGGAAGGGAGAGGGAGAGAGAGAAACATCAATGATGAGAGAGAATCATTGATTGGCTGCCTCCTGCACACCCCACACTGGGGATCAAGCCCGCAACCGGGCATATGCCTTGACCGGGAATCAACCGGTAACCTCTTGGTTCCTGGGTTGACGCTCAACCGATGAGCCACACCCGGCTGGGCTTGTGGTGATTTTTTATAACGCTTCCGATCCGAATGAAGCCCATGGTTTGCTTGGAGATTTTAGTGCCCACAGCCTGTTAGATGCCTCTTGGAAGAACAGTCATCATGACAGTGACTTAGACTCACCCGCAAAGAATTCAGCAGATTCGCTGAGGAGATTTCATCATCTTTAGCTAATGTGCTGAGCTCTGCTCGCATGATGTTGGTTCGACCTGCTCTGGATGCTGTGGTGTAGGAGTGGGGAGGAAACTGAGGCCAGTGTTACAGAGGTGATTGCTTATAGATTTCACGAATGCCGTAAGTGTGTTAGAAGGTCAGATGTGCCAAATCTAGTACTGGAGTCTCGTTGGCATGAGCAAGCTAGCTGCTAACATATAGTAGACTCCACCCTATCTGTTAAAGCAGTTTTTTAAATATATGTTTTTATTGATTTTTTTTTTTTTTAGAGAGGAAGAGAGAGGGATAGAGAGGTAGAAACGTCGATGAGAGAGAAACATCCATCAGGTGTCTCCTGCACGCCCGCTACTGGGGATCAGGCCTGCAACCTGGGCATGTGACCTGATGGGGAATTAAACTGTGACATCTTGGTTGTTCATATGTCAGTGCTCAACCACTGAGCCACACCAGCCGGGCAAAATGTTTTTAAACTTTTATAAAAACAAAGGATTAAACAGAGTTGGATGAGGGGGGAAATATGTGTCATCCCAAACTCATAAGAAGTTATATTCAGAGAAAAAAGTAGAAATAAATGCCTTTAGCATTAAAAAGCAAGACAAAAAACAAACAGTATACAATTTTAAGAAATTAGGAAGGAGCCCTATCCTTTATTGCTCAGTGGTTAGAGCGTTGGCCCGTGCACCAAAGGGTCAAGGATTCGATTCCTGGTCAAGGGCACATGCCTGGGGTGCGTGTGGGTGGCAACCAATTGATGTGTCTCTCTCGCATCCATGTTTCTCTCTCTCTTTCTCTCTCTCTCTCCTCTCTACTTCCCTTTCACTCTCTTTAAAAATCAATGGAAAAATATCCCTGGGTGAGAATAACAAAAAAAGAAGAAGAAATTAGGAAGGAAAGAACAATAAACCAAAAGGAAGTGGAGAAGGGAAGGAAGCCTGCTGATAGAATGAGGGTGCGTAGTGCGCCATCCTTGGTGGGAACTGCAGAAGAGGAAGTGTTGGTACGACCCTCATCTCCTCACTTTAACGCTCTCTTCTTGCAGGTCGGTGGCACTAAGGCTGGTGTAGTCCGGTTTCTCGGGGAGACGGACTTTGCCAAGGGGGAGTGGTGTGGTGTGGAGTTAGATGAGCCTCTTGGGAAGAATGACGGGGCTGTTGCTGGCACAAGGTTTGTTTGGAATTGGGCACCATCTTGTCTCACTCTTCCACGAAAAGGTGCCCGAGCAGGTCTCACCCGTTGTGTCTAATAACATGGAAATGAGTGTCTTGAAGAGCTGCCAGCATTAGACACTTGTTCGATTTCCTTCTCCCTTTGTCTGGCAAGGTTTTATTGAGTGGATCACTGTATTGCTGAACTCCTCTGCTGTATGTTTATCTGGTGGTAGAAATATTCATTCCCTTTGTTACCTTAGTTCCCGATGAGCAATTCATCCTCTGTGCATGACGTTATTATTTATGATGTGTTTTCTAAAACATTGCTGAGGTTATTTAGCAGCCTTCATCCGTGTGAACCCTGCCTGCTGTGCGTCACCCCGCCCTCCCCCAGCTGATCGGTAGAATTGACAGCAAACCAGTCACGACTTAGGAGCGCTTTCTCGTTACAGTTTCTCCTAATGAAGTTTTTTTTGTCACTTTCCTTATTATTGTTCTCTCAAGGTATTTTCAGTGTCAACCCAAATATGGCCTGTTTGCTCCCGTCCACAAAGTGACCAAGATTGGCTTCCCTTCCACTACGCCAGCCAAAGCCAAGGCCGCCGCGGTGAGGCGAGTGATGGCCACCACTCCCGCCAGCCTGAAGCGCAGCCCATCCGCATCCTCTCTCAGCTCCCTGAGCTCGGTGGCCTCCTCCGTCAGCAGCAAGCCCAGTCGCACAGGATTAGTAAGCCTCTCTCTCCTCACTGCATGTCTCTGCCTCCCGGCACGGCCAACGCTGGCAGCCAGTGCACCTGCTCTGCTTCTAGAAATACTAAGTCTCCCCTCACCCTTGTGCTAAACGTTAGCTGTAGCTTGTGAATGTCCTTGCCAGGGTCACAGAATTAAACTCTAGCAAGAGTACACGTTTTAAAATAGTTTTTAACAACCCCTTTCCGATTCCTAAGGCTTCACGGTGTAGCAGTTTTGAGTGAATCTAGCCACTACCAACAAGATGACTGCTTTTCTCAGAAATTACTTTGGGCGCAAGAAAGACTGGAAAATTGGGGGTGGTGGTGTTCCTTTTCCTTAATAACGTAGGTCTCTTATTTCAAACAATTTTAGGAACTAAAGTATTTTGAGCAAAGCCATGTTCTTGCAATTTTGACATGAATACAGTCTAACCCTCTGAAAGCAGATAATGTGTGGAGTGTTCCCAACCTGGGCCAGAGGACACAGAGGGGAACTTCTAGGACTTGAAAGGATGCTCGGAAGAGCTATGTTTTCTTTTGTCTTCTCTCTCTGTCCTCCTCCCCCCCCCTCTCCCCCCCCCCCCATTTAGATCACTAAACATAGAGTCATCAGAATTAAAATAATAGCAGCGTCTCATTCTGGTTGATAATGCGCACTTCATCAGGGTCAAAGCAGTGCCTTTTTGGCGTCGGCCCCTGCCATTACGCTTATCTACTTGAAGAGAGGCAAGTACTGTTGAATTTTGAAATGGCAGTGTTGTCCTCCAGGCTGAGGTCGGTGATGATGGTGAACTACGGACAGGAGTTAGGATGCTAAGTGGTGTGATCTCGGTTTGCCTTCTTTCGGGTGATGTCGGGCAGGGAAAGGCAAGGCAGAGGGATCTGCCCTAGAAGTGGGGGTTGTGCTGCTCCGGCCGCCAGCCCAGGTGCTCTTCTTCCTCATCAGTTCAGTAAAAACGCGCTTGGACTATTTCATTTTGCATTTGAAGAGAAAGTCTGCACCTTCCACAGAACAGTTACAAATGGACTTTATAGAAAAGGTTGACAGACGCAACGAAGTGGAGGTGAAAAACCTCAGTTTCGACAACGCCTTGTTCCACGGGTCCACAAACTCCAACATGGATGTCTCATCTGCTTTGTCAATCCTGGACGATTCCACAGAGGTGTCAGGTTTGGGTTAGGAATTCTTTCTTGAATCATTTCTATTACGTTGTAATCATGAGTTCATTTCCTTGGAAAATAGCCAAGCTCTCCTCGCTCCCCCCAGCCTCCCCTCTTACTCTCAGACCAATTCTGACAACTCATTTAGGGAAGGACGCCAACAAAAGAGAAAGGAGTCTTCTCGCCTTGCAAAACAGCTTATTTAAAAAATATTTTTATACAGGGTAGCTGTGGTTTCTAAGTCAAAAAGCATGATAAAAGAATATGCCAAGAATATAGAAAATTTGAAATGTGCCTTCCTAGAAATGTATCTCAGCAACAGAATCCTACTCATATATATAAAAAAGTCTAAAGACTTTCCTGCAGAATGCTCTGGAAGTGTTGGACACAGAGATTCCCAGGCCTCCTAGGTTCACAGCCCCTTTAGTGTCTGGGTTATATTTTCATGGTGGCCCTGGGTCAGGAGAAGTAGCTGACAGTTCTGTTTATTAAGTAGTTAGGTTTAAATAGCTTAATATTTATGTCTCAGGAGTTGGTAGCTGTTGGAAAAAATGACGCCTATTAATTAAAAGGACAACTATTTTAAATTCATTCTTGAGTAACCATCACGCATCACTACTAGGTCGTATGCTGCTGTTGGGCACCTGTGAAATCTTGGAATCTCCCTGAGCACCACTGCCCTCATTTTCGGTGCCGCACTGATTTTTGTTGGCATAGTCCTTGCTTTTGGTCATGGCAGTAGCCCAAACCGAGCTTCGGAAAGACATGACGTCACCTAAAGGAATATGTATGACCACCTGAGGCACGAAGAAAGAAAATGGAGTCACTGTGGTCAAGCGGCTAAATTACTGAAACGGCGTTGGCTGAGGCACGAGGAAGCAATCATTAATTAGCTGAGGAACCTAAACTTCTTAGGAAAGAATGTTCACACGTCCAGACCACCTGATGTCCATTAGCCAGACCACGGGACGTCGGGAAGATGACCATCTCGGACCCATCGGGATGCAGAACGGATCCTTCTCAGGAATGTGCACTGTGAGAACTCTTAGATTTTATTTCTTCTTCAGAGGGACACCCTGGGTATTTTCTACCCATGTTTCCAGTTTGTAAACCCTAAACCCTTGAATAAATCTTTAGCGTTTAGTATTTCTAGCCACAGCCTGCTGAAACGGAATTGCCTCAAGCTGTAGTTTGCATGGTGTCCAACAGGTGTCGCTGTTTCCCTTGAAATTCACTGCCGTTTGCTGCAGTCCCCTGGGGCATCTCTGCACGAACCTCAGATTTAGTGTCTTCAGGAAGAAATGTTGGTGTGGGAACGTATAATCCAACCACACATGTACTGAAACTGGAAAGTCAAGGTCAAATGTAAAAGAACAGGAATTCCTCCTTCCCCAGTATGTGTAATTCAAGCAATTTCACTAAATAGAAGCCACTAAGGACTACTCGGGTTTGATTGGATCCTTGCCTCTCCTAGTCTTCAGATTGCCTCACTTGGAGGGGATGGCAGGTCCCCGTCCTCAGACTGAGGACGAGAAGAGCATTCAAGCCACAGGTGAGGCCCCAGCTGCAGAAGGTGAAGTCAGGGCTGCAGTGACCCGCAACCTAGCAGTCGCTGAGGGAACAGCCCTGCACGCACACTCGCCAAGCCGTGAGGCCCTTTCTCGACCACCAGCCTCTAAAGCTGGGCTTGGAAGAATAGTAGTTGAGATGCCCAATTATCTGTTAACATGCAGTAGGAGGTTCTTTGCTCTGTGCTTTTATGTGACGTTAGCCTCAAGATGGGGGATTCGGGCATGTGAAACAGGTGACTGAGCTGAGACCCTCCTAATCCACTCCTTTCCTAGTCACTCTCCCCTACTTCTCATTGTCCTCCCCTTCTCTTTCCGTGCCCCCTTTTTTCTCACCCTCCTTCCCTCCCCTACTTCTCTTTGTCCATAAATCTCTTTCTCCTCCTTTTTGTCTCATGTTTTTTTCTTTCTTCCTCTTATGTGTGTCCTTGCCCAGACATATGCACACACGCTCACCCACTCCCACGCACCTGAAGGCAGGCCAGTGGTCCTCTTCATCTTGTCCTTATAAATCTCTGTGGGGATGTGCATTCAGCTCCTCAAGGCTACATTGCCGGCGAGATCGCCTCTGCCTTTCACCCTGAAACAAAGATGAAGAAAGTCCCGGCAATGGTCCAACTATTTAATCAATTGAAGGAAGGTTTGTGATGCAGAGGGGGATCTATTGGTCTCAACTTCGAGTCTAAAGATCAAAAGATTGCCCAAAATGTCGTAACAAGAAGACAGCTATAAGTGAAGCTTAGATCGGAGTGGAGTGGAGAGAAACATGTTAAAATGGGTTCTGTGGAATTTTTCTAGATTCCTGTAAGGCCCTGTCAGCTGAGCTCAGGGTACCTTTGACTTGAGCCACTCATTCTTCTAGACATCTTCCTGATTGGTCCACGGCCTCTTTGCATTGTTCTTTGTGGAATTTACAGACAGGAGGCGCATGCTGTCTTGTTTTCTTGATGAAGAGCCTTTCCGAGTCATTGGCAAGCCTGAGAGCTGGGGCAGCGCTTTCGCTTTGCTGAGGAGGCACCCACCCTGCATGCATCACTCCCTGCCCGCGTCCTTCGTACGTCATCACCCTTCACTTCTTTCACTTTCCTTTGCAGTTGACCGAAACCTCCTCCCGGTACGCCAGGAAGATCTCCGGCACCACCGCCCTCCAGGAGGCCCTGAAAGAGAAGCAGCAGCACATTGAGCAGCTGCTGGCCGAACGGGATCTAGAGAGGGCGGAGGTGGCCAAGGCCACGAGCCACGTGGGGGAAATAGAGCAGGAGCTAGCCCTGGCCCGGGACGGACACGACCAGGTGAAGTCTGGCGCTGGCCTTGTGGTGATGGTGACAGGTTCTAAGCTGATCGCGTTGCAGAGATGGTGGCAGGTTCTAAGTTGAGGGAAGGAGGCCGAACTACCTTCTGGTGCCAGGAGCTAGTCCCGGGAGCACTAGAAATGTCTTTGCTGGGCTTGTTTGAAAGCTGTGACCTGGAGTCCCAGTTTGCATCATCATAAAGGCGGACTTTTGTTCTTCTTGAGTGCACCTTAGCCTCTTGGTCTTTACGTCCAGGTCTTTTGGCCTGTCAGTGTTAGGTGAGCCTGCTTAATTGGACGTCACCTGTGATTGCAACTTCTGTTTTGTAGATGATCCTCTGCATGAGTTTTAGCTTCCATAGATGGGCGTTGTTGTAACATTGCCCTCTGCTGCCATCATGGTGTGGTTTCCATCCTCGTCCTCCGGGAATGCGGCTGATAATAACCTATTAAAAATCATAGAATGCATTCTAACGTGGAAAGGTTTTGGAGGAACGCCAGCCCACAATGGTGCCACTTAGCCGTAGCTCTTTGGAGGCGTCCCTGGGCCTGTCTGGGTCATAGAGAGGCCGCTCACTGACACCCTTGCCTCCCCAGCATGTCCTGGAGCTGGAGGCCAAGATGGACCAGCTGCGAGCCATGGTGGAAGCTGCCGACAGGGAGAAAGTGGAACTGCTCAACCAACTAGAAGAGGAGAAAAGGTGATCCTAAACCGTCCCCTGGGGCACGTGAGGCCTTTTCCTTTTAAACTTCCTTCCTATTAGCAACCGTGTTGGCATCAACCCGTAGAACCAAAGAAATGGCCGTGTTCAGCGAGAAGAGAAGTCTTCCTCTGTGAGAGGAGGGTTTGCATTGATTTGACTTCCTGTGAGTCGTTTGTAATCATCCAGACATGGCCTGATGAACTGAACAGTCATTGTGGAGCACCTACTGTGTGCCAAGCAGCCCTAGTTGTGTGGTGGCGTTCACTCAGCCCAGCCCCATGGGGGGGTGCTGGGCCCAGCCCCCTAGGATTTACCCAGGTGGCTGATGAAGTTGTAGTATGTCTGATGGGTGACACACGGTCCCTGTCCTCGAGAAACTCAGTACCTTATTAGGAAAACAAGGCTCTCACGTGAGGCAATTAAGGAATCTCCAGGTCAGGACGAAATCAGGTGCTAAACTGAGAGAGAAAGCAAGCTTGGGCATGATAGAAGGGTTTTGAGGCTGTTAACAAACAATCTCTCCACAAAAAGCATCTTCATGGAAACCATGCGAACGTCTCTGGTTATGGGATGTTAGTCCTCAACTGTTGCACTTAATGCCGTTTCTGACAGCGACGTGGCTCACTAGCAGTCAGGATGGTCATAGACTCTGTGGTGCGGGGACAGCCCAGTGGAGGTGGGATGCAGTCTCTGACCAGGGAAACCACTTTCTCATTGGACAGAGGAGCACTGTACATAGACCAGTGATGGCGAACCTTTTGAGCTCGGCGTGTCAGCATTTTGAAAAACCCTAACTTAACTCTGGCGCTGTGTCACATATAGAAATTTTTTGATATTTGCAACTATAGTAAAACAAAGATTTATATTTTTGATATTTATTTTATATATTTAAATGCCATTTAACTAAGAAAAATCAACCAAAAAAATGAGTTCGCGTGTCATAGGTTCGCCATCACTGACATAGGACATTCTCCTCGCCTCCTGAATACAGGTGCAGGTGAAGGAGCCACAGTGACAGGTCCCTCCGGACAATTTGCTCTGTTGTGAAACCTGCCCTGGCTCTGCTGGCTGCGGAGCAGGAGAACTGTCCTCCCAGCCCTACCGTAGCTTGAGGGCATCAGACCTCTTCCCATGAGGCAGACCTCGTCTTGATCAGATCCATTCTGGTGCTTGTGACCAAGGGAACCGGTTGATTTTTCTCAGCTCTTACCTCCTGCCTTCTGGAACGCGCACCTGGATAAAACTCTGGAGCTTCCCGAGGAAGAGTAGAGCTCTCAGGCGCATACACCAGAGGCCTAAAGATGCATTTATTTCCGATGCCTCTGAGGCATCTCTTTCCGTGGTCATGCTGAGTGTGCCAGGGCGTCGCTTGTAGAAACACCCGGCACGCTTGTTCCCGTTGTCTTCAGTGCTTTGTTTCCCTCTCGTTCCACAGGAAGGTGGAGGATCTTCAGTTCCGGGTGGAGGAAGAATCAATTACTAAAGGCGACCTTGAGGTAAAACCCCTCCAGCTGTCTGAAGCATTTATGGGTCCCCATGTTCGGGAATGTGGACGAAATCATTGTGCCAGCTGATGTGGCCAGAACGGGCAGCAGAGCGATGGCAGGAGCCCAGCCTCTGGCCAGCGGGGCCGTGGGCATGGCTGCCGGCGGTGATGGGCGGCCTCTGAGCCTGCGACCGAGCCATCCCACCTCCTGTGGCCCAGTAAAGCTTTCACTACTCTTTCCTTGTGCTTTGAAATTCAAAAACCTCAAATTGGAGTTAATCGAGTCATAAATCTAGCAGTGTGTCCCAAGAGAGACTCTCCGTGTCCCTCTGATGACCAGAAACTGCATTCCTTGGGAGGAGCATTTTTTGTTTCATCCTAATAGTCCAAAACAGAGCCGTGCTTCTTCCACTGAGCAGGACAAACCTTTTATAACCCCGTGAAAGGGATAAATATATGTTCTAGTAGTTGAGCCTTTTACAAAAGTAATTACCAGAAAGAAACAAGAGCAATTTATATTTTAGCGTTTACTTCCATGGCATATTTTAAATTAATAGGGATTTTTCTTTACAGTCAAGTTTCTCATCTCATAACAATTATTCATATTAGTTTTTTCAAATAGACACCAGAGTTCAATGGTCTTGATGCTTTTCAAACCACTGCTAGATATATGACACGTATAAATTATTAAAATTTTCAAATTCTGCAGATTTTTGGTACTTTAATCTGTAATATTTTTGTAAAAACTGCACGTTTCTGTGCAGCTCTCAAAATATACATTTATGCTACCATTACAATTTTAGAGTCTTTTGATTGCCCATACCATGCTTACATTTCAAGGGACTTCCAAATAGGAACTCTGATTTCTTTGGAAATAAGTGTATCCTTATAGTTAACAAAAAGTAAGGAAAACGTTTTCTGAGTTTTAGTTTTATAAAGCCAGGATTTAATGGATTATTAGTAATAATAAGTCTTCATTCATTTCATATATTGTACAATTACATTTCTTTAGTTTACTTTTGTGTTATCCTCATCCACTTACAAACACCCTAAAAGTTTCATTAGAAGTTTCATATCATCATCCAATTCATTTGAAATATAGCCTATGGTGTTTGGGAGAAGGACAAATGAAAATATTTACATCAGCACTAGGCTAGTGTATAGTCTGTCTGATAAACTTGAAATTAATCAAGGTTATTTTGAAACCCTAACATTGAAACTTTAGTCGAATCTCTCTTTTGTTGTTGTTTAATTTTTTATTTTTTTACTGATAGCAAAAGAGCCAGATTTCTGAAGATCCTGAGAATGTAAGAGGGCACTTAACTGTGTGGATATTTTCCTTGTTAACACAGATTGATTACAGATTAAAATGCTTATTGATATACTCAAATACTAACTGCATAATCTGACCTTGAGACTTTGACCTTAATATTTCTGTGCATGTGGCTTTCAAAGCAGTTACATTTGTATCCTGAAGAAATTGTATGTTATGACTAAGTTCTATAAATCCATTTGTTTAATACATAGGCATGTGTTTACTTCATAAGAAATTTTGTCAGAAACGGGCAAAATTAATTTTGTCTGGGGGCCTAGCCTTAGTTCATAATGTTTTCTAATTTTAATAGAATTATTCCAAAAGAGATGAAGCATAAAATATATTAGATGGAGTTATAGAAATTCTGGGGGAAGTTTTCCCAAATTGACTAATTTTATTTCCAGGAGAGTTAAAAGGGAATTGCGAATCCCAGACTGATTGCCTTGGGTGTGAGCACCCCTTGCTGGCCAGTGCCTGTCCTTGCAGCTGACTAGAAATACAAACTTGGAATTCGTCACTGTGGTAGTGTCCCTAGTTTTTGAACCTAGAGGCTAGAATTCTTCAGTGAAGAGACTGAGTGTTTTAAATTTATTATTTTCGAAGTGAGGTTTTTAGGGTAGCAGTGCTACTAGGCATGTGGGTGTTTTCCTCCCTCCTTCTGCTTAAGATTAAACACCCAATTCAAATCTTACGAAAGTGACCCCGAAAGCCAGGCTTCAGCTCTAATGCCAACTGAAAGATACCTAAAAACTTCTCACTGTGATTTACCACCACAAGAGAACAAAATTGAGGCAAACACTGTTTCTCCCCACCGCCTCCTGGCAGGTAGAATATACAACTCCAGACTGAACTTTTACGACAGCCTCCGTTCTGAAGGTTCCCTTTTTGTGCAGCTACTTCAGTGATCTGGGTCTCCTCTCTCCTTCCCACATGGGCTCTCGCTGCGTCCAGTGTCAGTCTGCATGGGGCCTCCCTCCCGCCTCTCTGTGCGCTTCCTGCAGAGCCTCTGCTTGCCCTCTCCGCCTGTCCCAGGACTGCCCTCTGGGACACGTGTCTTCTGAGAAAGGAGTCAGTTAACAAGGAGGGTTGTCCTGTTGGGTGTAACGTTTGACTGACTGCATTCCATGGCGTGGAAGTGGATCTCTAGTCCCCGTGCTGATGGCTGGTCAGAGGTGCAGTCCCAGGTCATCGGTGTGCACCCCGCCAGCAGGGAGGTCTCGCTGCAGTCACCCGGAAGGGGGCGAGGAGCGCACTCAGTGGTCATGGGCTTTTTATCTTGAAGTGGTGACCTTTCACCCCCAGGACACTGAACTCAGTGTCCAGAGGAGAAAAAAGGTTTTGTTGTCTTTTGCTATTTGGGTTTCAGTGCTTGAGGCTGCGACCACAGTTACGTAGTCCTGGATCAGATTATAGAAGCAGTAAACAGAACAACTTCTGTCTGAGACATGTCCGGACGCAGGGGACGATCCAGATAACTAGGTTTCCAGTGTTATTTTTGTTGAGTGTAAGAGCTGAAGGAGTTGAGATGGCTTTTTTTTGTTTTTAATTTTGTGTTCACTGTTTAAGCTTTCCATGGTGATTTATACCTGGATTGCAAGCAAAGGGAGCTCTTGAATGCATTGGCCTCTCCAGGGTTCCACTGGCGGTAGTAAAGATGTTTACAGTGTACAGCATCCCACCCTCTATTAAGCTCTGCACTACTGTTTGCTTCTTTATTTAGAGTTTGTTGTCATTTTCTCATTTCCCGTAATGGTTCAAACCAATAGATCCTACCGGTTGGAACCACAAAATAGTTAAGTTACTGCAGTAACTAGAAGCTTCTGGGAACAGCTCTCTCAGTGGGTTTTATCCGTTGGTTACACTGCACCTCTCGGGGAGAGAGGTGAGCGGGAAAGAGGGGCATTCAGACGGACATCAGGATTATTTGATGAAGGTTGTGTTGTACTTAAACCTGCTAGAAAGAGGTCACCTCTGGCTTCTCCATCGGGTTCCGTATGAGTGAGGGAGGATGGAGAAGCTCAGAGGTTTTGAAACACAGTAGGATCTCACCAGCTCTTCTTGCGTGGAGTTTGTGTTGAGTCACCATTTCTTCCCTCTGAGATAAGGACTACGTCTAGGGATCAAGATAAAGAGTCCAGTTTTGGCCAAACTTTTCTCCTGCTCTGAGCCTCAGGGATGGAGGCTGTGGAGCATAACTGTTACTGGAATTTTCTTTTTGTAAATCTGATTTCCTTTTTTCTTTTTCCTTCTGGTGACAGCCTGTAGAAAAGCCACCGCTGGAAACAAATTAGAGTGTTAGTGGCTCTTTCCTGTTAGATGTGAGAATGTTGCCGAGAGTCTCATCAGAGGCCACTGATGTGATTTCCTTAGCTCTCTGTCTAGAGTCCCCCTGTGAGGTGTCATGCCTGACCCTTGTTCATATCAAATCTGTGCCAAAGTGCAAGGTTCTGCTCTAGGGATTTACTGACCATTCATAAGGTTTGCTACATTACCTTCTCCGTATTTAGTCATAGTGGTCATTGTGAGGGTCAATCTACTTTTTAAAGTCACCAAGACAGTTACATATTCGTTAATGTCAAATAGCTGTTGTGGGGAGGAGGGAAGAATGGTAGTTTAGAGGAATATTAACTGTTCTAATTTGTGCTGATAAACTTCACTTATCAATATAACTTGTATTTGGCTGCATGCATCTGACAGTTTTCATCCTGCCTCACGTGTTTTCCATTTTTCCTTTCTCAATAGCCTAGCTCATGTCCCCCGCCCACCTCATCCTCCTGTTGGTAGTTTACATCCCCACCCCCAACCTCCTCATCTCACTTCCATCCTCTTCCCGTCTCCATCTCCCGTCTTGTTCGTCCTCTGGCGGAAGGTGCTGGTGGCTCAGCCTGCATGCCGCTGTCCCCTCCTGTGCTGGCATGTCACGGTGGCACTGTTCTCTTCCTCTTCCTTTTTACTAACAGACGCAGACCAAACTGGAGCATGCCCGCATTAAGGAGCTTGAACAGAGCCTGCTCTTTGAAAAGACCAAAGCTGACAAACTCCAGAGGGAGTTAGAAGACACTAGGGTAATGGTTTTCACTGTTTAATGAAGCGGACCCGTGTATGTGAGTGCTGGACACCTCGGGCGACACGCCTTGCGATGGCCTAAGCCTTGACCCAGTGGTTCGACCTGAGTTTGGTCCTGATACTGTTGGTGAGCTTAGACGGATGGGTAGGCACAGGAGTCTTATGTCAAATCTTTGGTCAAAGGTGAAAAGACTCATTCCTGTGCTTCACTCGGCCAAAACCAAGATCAGAAACTCTACAACTGTATACATTTGTATACGTGGCTGCATTTGCAGTTCTTTGTATTCCTACCTCAAAATTTATTTCTCCAGTTTGCTATAAGCAGTCAATTGTCCTCTCATCCCCCTATTCCTAGTCACTGGGTTTTCTAGATACTTTTTGTTACTGTTTTTTTTTTTAACTTTAGCTCTCTTTTCCTGCCTCCGACCCTGGCCTCTTGGGGGAAGGGAATGGAAACATTGATTCTTTTAAGTGAGAGTTAAGGACTTTTACCCCAGTCACCTTCTGTTTTTTTCTTGATACCTGCTTTCTCTTCGCATTCCCCTCCTTTCTGTCACCTTGGTGGGTAAAATGCCAGCGGTAGGAGGAAAGGTGTGTTGGGAACCAGAATGGCTTCTTACCACGCTGAGCCCCCCGGAGCCATTGCGTTGGTCATGTTTTTGCTTATATGCTTGTTAAACACACCTACACGGTGCTTGCTTCATGCCAGGCACTATGCTGAGTACTTTACAAGTATTAGCTCAGTCTCACCACCACCCCAGGTAATACTGTTCCCATTTTACAGATGAGGACAGTGAGGCACAAAGAGATTAAGTAATTTGCCTAAGGTCATACAGGTAATAACAAGGTGGGGCCAAGATTTGTATCTAGACCATTTGGCCCCAGACTCTGTACCCTTAACTACAGAGTCTGACTATTATGGGAATAGTTTTGTGATGAAACGTTTAAGAAATAATATGAGTTATTTATATGGAAGAAAATATGTGTGTGTGTGTGTGTGTGTGTGTGTGTATCAATGAATTTGACTGTCAATGGCTAAATTGCCCAGATCTTAATTTTAAAATTTTAAAAAGTACTCTATCTCTGATCAACTATTGGTTATAAAACCTGATTTTTTCTTTTGAATCATTAGTATTTTTAGAAATGTCCCTGTTGACAAATCATCGACTGATCTAAAAATCTACATAATTGAGTGATTTTTCTTCTCTACGGCATGTTTTTACTTTTTTTAAGAAGAAAGAAAATGTTCTCAGTCAGTCTCAACACTAAAGCTATCTCCTGTGTATGGGGTGAGAGAAATACCCTGGTAGTTTGGTGGTCTCTCCATTGCTCAAGAGCCAAAGACTTGGCCTGGGAAGTAGAAGGGACTGATGATAAGGCTGAGCTCCACGGTGGAAGGAAGGATAGTTTTTACTTTCAAACTCCTCTCCCAAACTGCTTTGTCAGCAAACACCTTTGATGCTTTTTTTTGTGGCTGTGGATAAGAAGACATCCATTTACCGCATGGCTTATTCACACAGTTCCGATTCAAGATGTCATTTTTCTTTTTTTCTAAATTAAAAATTTTTTTAATGAGAGAGAGAGAGAGAGAGAGAGAGAGAGAGAGAGAGAGAGAGAGAGAGAGAGAGAGAAAGGAAGGAAGAAGAACAAGAAACATCAATTTGTTGTTCCACTTATTGATGCATTCGTTAGTTGATCCTTTTATGTGCCCTGACCTGGGGATCGAACCCGCAACCTTGGTGTATCGGGATGTTGCTCTAACCAACTCAGCCACTTGGTCAGGGCTCAAGCTGTCATTTTTCTGTAACAAGTCGTGTCTTCTGTTGATCCTCACTTTTGGTCTGTCAAACGTGAAATCAGCCAGTGCCCCATATATGTTGCATATCACCTGTACTCCTTTTAGGAAGCGCTTTAGGATTCCTACAAGCCAGTGCGCCCAGCTCATAAACGGTGTGCTCGGGGCTGTAGAGATCTTAGCAAGAATAAGAAATGACACCTAGCTTTTCTGGCCTCAAATTAACAGGAGAGGCAAACCCATAGGCAGTTTTGCCTGAGGGCAGACTTTGGGAAATTAAAAAAAAAAAAAGAAAAAGAAATAGACGTGCTATGAAAATGCTACATGAAGTACAGTCACACTATTTATTATTTTCACTTATTTTCTTCACGTGGCATTTCCTCAGTTTGACTGTTTTGTTCTGCCGAATTAAGGACCATTGCCCTATTGGGCTTATTTGTCATAGACCTGGTAGCAATGGGGCCTGTCAATATTCTGTACCTGACTTTGTGGTAACAAACTCTGGAACTACCCTGCTGCACACCCCAGAAAAAACGTTGGTGAATTAGCATCTCGAATCTGAATCGGCTGTGGCCCCGAAACACAACAGGTATAGGGAGCTCTGAGGTATTTAGCGACTCGATCGTGCCGTTTTGGAGACCCAAGTACGTTCTTTTCCTGTCTCCCCGTGGACATTTTAGTCTTTGTTGATGCCACAGCCTGTACGTGGGCAGAGGAGATGGAGTCAGCGCAGCCATTCCTTCCCGTCCCAGCACAGGCAGTGAGGGGAGGAGTTTGACCCAGGAGGTTTGGGACTCACTGGTGTGTTCAGTCATTCACGCTCCCTTCTATTTCCCAGGTTAGCCAAATGCTTTTTATTCGTGAAGCTACTCATTCCCACATATTTTGTAGACTAATCTGACTGCCTAACAGGTGGCAGAGGGAGATACTTTCCTAAGAAAGAAAGGCCACAGGTTACGTGTTTTTCTTAGTCCTGGGGTGTGTATTTAAAAGAAGCAGGTTCTGGGTCCCTCCCAGAGATGAAATAGAATCAAAATATATGGGAGTGACTGGGCACCTGCCCTGTAGACATGTGTCCAGGTGGCTCACGTGCACTGGAGTCGGAGAACCACTGGGTTAAGGAAACGAGGTGTGCGCCTCAGAATGCGACAGAATTAAACAGTCCTAAGAGGGGGTGCTTTGTAGGATTCTTTTATATAATTGCAGGTAAGTCATCATTCTTTCTTTGTCATTTTTTTTAAAAAAAGGAGGTTAGTAAGTTAATTCATCATCCAGTTGAGGCTTTTATTCTACAGTTGATGTGCTATTCGTTGAAACATTGGATAGGTAATTTTACACCTCTGATACCTGTGCTGTTCAATAGGAGTATAATATGAGCCACATATGTGTATATATATATATATATATATATATATATATATATATAATTGAATTTTTCTGGTACTCACATTAACATACTTTTCAAAAAAGATAACAGGTGAATTTAATAATATATTTTATTTAAACTAATATATCCAAAATATCATTTCATCATGCAGTTAATATAAATCATTAATAAGATATTTTATGTTCTTTTTTCTCCAAGTCTTCAAAATCTGATGCTTATTTTATGCTGTCAGCCATGTCAGCTCAGATGAGCCCATTTCAAGTGCCCTGTAGCCATAGGTGGCTCGTGGCTACTATACCGAACAGCACATTTCTTTAAAATCATCTCCATCAGATCAATAAGCGTTTATACATCCTGAGTGAAGCGGAGAGAAAAAGCAGGCAAAATAAGGAGGATTCTTTCGACCAGCCTGCAGAAATATTTGAGACCTTTGAAAGTTACTGTTTCTGTTAACTTCTTATCAGTTTCATGCTGGTAATCGTGTACTTCCTCGCTTTAAGTTTCTTTGGAGGAAAAGGAAGTATTTTTGGAGTTAAACTCAATATCAATTTTAGATTCCTTTAGCATGTCAAGGTGGTGGTGGAAGTTTGACAAAGATTATAGTTTTGAATTGGAGCTACCAGAACTGGGCTTAAGCCACGATCATAGTTAGAGACAAACTCTCATGTAGGCATTGTGGGGGTAGTTTGCTGCCTTGAGATGGGAATAGGTTTACTTAAGATCTTCCAAATTAAATAAAATCGTCAGTGATTTGTTATTTAAATGATCTCTTTTTTTTCTTTTTTTTTTGGACTGCTGTTACTAGGTGGCTACAGTATCAGAAAAGTCTCGTATAATGGAGCTAGAGAAAGACCTAGCGTTGAGAGTGCAGGAGGTAGCCGAGCTGCGAAGAAGGCTCGAGTCCAATAAGCCTGCCGGGGACGTTGACACATCGCTCTCCCTTTTGCAAGAGATAAGCTCTTTGCAAGAGAAGTTAGAAGCCGCCCGTACTGACCATCAAAGAGAAATCGCTTCGCTGAAGGAGCGCTTTGGAGCCCAGGAGGAGACGCATCAGAAGGAGGTGAAGGCTCTGCAGGCTGCCTCAGAGAAGCTCTCCAAGGAGAACGAGTCGCTGAAAAGCAAGCTTGATCACGCCAACAAGGAGAACTCGGACGTGATAGCCCTGTGGAAGTCCAAGCTGGAGACCGCCATCGCGTCCCACCAGCAGGCCATGGAGGAGCTGAAGGCTTCCTTCAGCAAGGGGGTGGGGACAGAGACGGCCGAGCTGGCCGCACTGAAAACGCAGATAGAGAAAATGAGACTAGATTACCAGCACGAAATAGAAAGCTTGCAGAATCAACAAGACTCCGAACGGTCTGCTCACACCCAAGAGATAGAAGCCGTCAGGGCAAAGCTGATGGAGGTCATTAAGGAGAAAGAGAACAGTCTGGAAGCCGTCCAGTCGAAACTGGACAAGGCAGAAGACCAGCACCTGGTAGAAATGGAAGACGCCTTGAACAGACTGCAGGAAGCCGAGACAAAGGTAAAGGAGCTAGAGGTGCTGCAAGCCCAATGCAATGAGCAAACCAAGGTTATCGATAGTTTTACGTCGCAGCTCAAGGCTGCCGAGGAAAAGCTGCTGGATCTGGACGCTCTTCGGAAAGCCAGTTCCGAAGGTAAATTGGAGATCGAGAAACTTAGACAGCAGTTTGAGGCAGCTGAGCAACAGATTAAAAATTTAGAGGTGGAAAGGAATGCTGCAAGTGACAAGGTTTGTATTGACATCCTTCATCTTTTTCTTTTCCATTTGCTTTTCTTATTTTTCATTGTATGGTTTTGTGGTTTTTGTTTGTTTGTTTTTTGCATTGAAGTTAACTCATCTTCCAAATCCTTGATTTAAGTAAGACAAATCGCTTAGTGCTAACAAATCTCCCAGCTTGAATATAGTGTGTTTTGATCATCCTCAGTATGGTTTCTTCTGAGGAAATTGGAGAAAATAATGGCTCAATTATGTGAATTCGTTTTGGTTTCCAGTGGGTTCCTTTACCTCCATGCTTTTCTGTGATCTCCCATTCGAGCTTAGTTCCAGTCTAGAATCTCTTTCTAAAATAGAGAACTCCCTAATTGATGGCGCTAAGGTAAATGAATGAATGAATTCGATAAAAACTTACATGATCGTCTCCTTTCCCAGGGCCATAGTTGCCTTGTCTTGAGGTCATATATGAACACAATGTGAGCTCCGAGCAGTACTTGGCTGTAATATATGAACATGCCGTGATGAGTAACGCTCACGGCCGAGCGCGGGTTGAGAGCCTGGAGCCCTTGGCAGTGCCTCTTAGGTCTCGTTGGAGAGTTTCTGTGCCACAAGCGGAACACTGTCTATTCCTCCTCTGGGGGAAAGACTGGATGAGGATGCTTTTGGTCCAAATGTGGGACGTTAGGTGAAACGTCTGCCAGCTTCATTTCCTACAGCGAGCCTTGTTCAACAATGTCGTCTTCATTTCATGGCTTGTTCCAGGAGCTAATGCTCTTCCCGGTCCTCCTGCCGCTCGGCGAGGCGCTGGCACTGATGCCAAATGTTCTGAGCTTTTTGCAGGAGAAGCAGCTCTATCGGCAAAGAAGGAAGGGTTGTGAGGGTTAAGTGGGGAGGACGGACAAATGGCAAAAATTGCTAGGTAACCTTCGTTGAAGATGATAACTATTTACAGGAAATTTTTCTCAAATCTCACTCGATTCCAAAATTCCAATCAAAATACAAAAATCTGTGGGGAATATGCAGCTAATATAAAGTGGTGCACTTTTTTTTTTTAACATCAGGATTTAATGAAAGCCCATTTTTGATGACTATGGTCTAGTGCATTTTTATAATTTCATTTTTATGTTAGCTGTTGGAATACTTTAGGCATATAAAAAATACAGAAAATGATAACCCAGACCACATGTACCCATCATTTCTATCTTAGGGCTTTTAAATTCCAGGAAATGAAATTGCTCAACTAACTCATTCAGAAAGTAAGCATCTGCACTTTCTGCTTTAAATCATGTTGCTATTCCAAATATAGCAATAGAAAAACACTCTTTTGATTACCTTAAAATAGACATTAGGCCATTATATCTCGGACTGACTATGAAAAGTCATTTGTTTCTTAGAATAAAAAAAACCAAAAAACGGTTTCTTACCCCCACCTTTATCCCTTTCAGTTGTGTTTGGTTGTGTTTGTTTCTCATAATATTTTTGTGTTTTATTTTTTTTGTTTCTCATTATTATTTCATTTTTGTTCATTTGCTTCTGCACCACGTAACTGTATGGTAGGCTAGTAGCATTTCCAAAGAGCTGCAGGGGAAAGAGCTCACACTCAGCAAACTCCAGGAGCACGTGAGTGAAGTCAGTCATGTGAAAGAGGCTTTGGAGAAAGAACTTCAGGTGTTGGTAAGTACCTGCTGGGAGCCTGAGTCTCTGGCCAGTCGAATTGTTCCTGTTTACAAACAAAAATCTCCACAAAGAAAAAGCATTGTACCTAGTTCTTTCTCTTTCAAAGTACTGATTTAAATCAAACTTATTAGTAATAGGCTGCTAAATACCTTGAGGGGAATCAGATCACACCCAAACTAGCAACAAAGGTAGGTATTACAGTCGTCCCCCCTTATCCGAGGGAGCTACATTCCAAGACCCCTGTGGATGCCTGAAACTGCGAGGGCACCGAACCCTGTATGTACTGGTTTTTTTCCTATGCTCTACAGATCTTTGATAAGTGTAATTTATCAGTTAGGTACAGTAAGGGATTAACAATAACTAATAGAACAGTGATAACAATGTACTGTAATAAACGTTATGTGGCCACTCGTTTCAGGGGCCCCTTGCTGAAGTCCTCGTACGGGCTCAGTGCTTTCTGGCACAAAATCTTGCCATTAATTGAGACGTGTTTTCTGCTTGTCCACCCACAAATTTTTTTTTTTTTTAAATATATTTTATTGATTCTTTACAGAGAGGAAGGGAGAGGGACAGAGAGCCAGAAATATCGATGAGAGAGAAACATCGACCAGCTGCCTCCTGCACACCCCCCACTGGGGATGTGCCCGCAACCCAGGTACATGCCCTTGACCGGAATCGAACCTGGGACCTTTCAGTCTGCAGGCCGACGCTCTATCCACTGAGCCAAACCGGTTTGGCCACCCACAAATTTTAAAAAAAAATATTTTTATTGATTTCAGAAAGGAAGGGAGAGGGAGAGAGAGATAGAACATCAGTGATGAGACAGAATCATTGATCAGCTGCCTCCTGCATGCTCCCTACTGGGAATCAAGCCCACAACCTAGGCATCTGTCCTGATGAGGAATTGAACTGTGACCTTATGGTTCATAGGTTGACATTCAGCCACTGAGCCACACTGGCTGTGCCACCCATAAATTTAATGCCTTTTCCATCAAGCACTTTTCACGCACTGTGGCCCTAACTTTTGGAGTTTGAGGTGCAACACCAAGACTAACAGGAATTTCTGTTCCCTCACAGCTTCACTGATAGAAGATTCTCACCTCAGCATACAATTCTTTTTTCTTTCCTTAATAAGTTGAGGACTTCCACCTTTTCCCTTGCAGGGGTGGGGAACGTCCAGCCCGTGGGCCATATATGGCCTGAGAAATCATTTGGTCTGGCCCTGCCAAGGCATTAGGGATGAGTTAGTTAAATGTTTGACCAAATACCACATGCCAGTTTTTAAGGTGATAATTTTGTATGGTCCGTGAATGGTGTTATAAATATCCCTACGGCCCTGGGCAGAAATAAGTTTTCCCACCACGCGAAGGAAGCATGTGATGCTGATCTTTGCCTGTCTGAATCGCCAGCACCACTGCTCCAACGGCTGTTACTCAGTAAAATAAGCGTGACTTGCAATAAGCATTGCGATATCTCGACAGTCGATTTGATAACCAGGAAGGCTACCAAGGTACTAAGGGGCAGCTGGAGTATCCATCATGGAGACGCCAGACAAAGGGATGAGGCACGTCTGGGCGGGACAGAGTGGGATGGCACAAGATTTCATCACACTACTCAGAACAGCACACAATTTACAACGTTTGAATTGTTTATTTTCTGGATTCCACATTTCGTATTTTCAGACGTTGGTTGACCGTGGAACTGAAACCGTGGAAAGTGAAACCGTGCATAAGGGGACCTTAAAAAATAATCTGTCCTTTGCTCTGGCGATGTGTTGCTTTGGCATGCTATTGAGTGCTTAGTTTTATTAGACACAGGGACCTTCCTAGTTATGCACCCGGCACGTTTGGTTTCATGTATGATGAGGCCATGCACTGTATCTTCTCCATTTGCCTGGTGACAGCCAGCCATCCTGGACCCCTGGACCCTCTGTTAGCAAGGCAGGTCCTGATTCCGCAGATTCACACAACTCTCTCTTACAACTTAGCTTATTCACATCAGGAAATGCCTTTTTATTTCCTATATCCTCATTCCCTAATCCCAAGTGGTATGTTATTGTTTTTCTTCGCTTTTCTCAACTGTTCTTCCTACCTTGCCTCTTGCATCAAAAACATGAGCTTAATCAAGGTTGATCACCATAAGCAGTGCCAGTGATACCCAGACATTGTGGGAAAGGAAAGTCGTAGGCTTATGGAGGAACAAGGTAAGGGAAGCATGTTCCACACTATGCACGCACATGCATATACTTAAATATGTGTGCACACTCACACATATATCCAGATGCATGTGTATGCCCAGGCATGCACTCACGCACATGCAAACCTCATGCACTCGTGCTTATACAGGCACAGTATGCATACGGTAGTAATTGATGCCTTCGTGTTTTAAGTGTAAGTTAGTTTTAATGAAACGAAACCAGCCACAAAAATTAGGTAGCGTAGTTAGAACTGAAACATTTAGTTTTCATAATTTGAAATCTCTCTATTCTGAATACCCAATTCTTCTTTCTTTAGAAAGAAAAGTTTGCTGGTGCTTCAGAGGAGGCGGTCTCTGTCCAGAGGAATATGCAAGGTATGTGTTTCTCTTTTCTTTATTAAATATGTTTTATTGATTTCAGAGAGGACGGGAGAGGGAAAGAGAGATAGAGACATCAGTGATGAGAGAGAACCATTGATTGGCTGCCTTCTGCGTGTCTCACACTGGGAATGGAACCCACATCCTGGGTATGTGCCCTGACCTGGAATTGAACCATGACCTTGTTCATAGGTCAACGCTCAACCACTGAGCCATGCTGGCTGGGCTGCACAGTATGTGTTTCTAGTGTGTGAGCAGATTGTGTTAGAGAATGTCCCGTTCTCACAGTGGAGCTGGCCCCTGCAGTACACAAAGTCCATGCTGCCCACAGCCCGACTGCACCATCCTTGAGGCCCCTGCAGTGCCCAGTAATACTGCATTCCATTGGCTCCCTAAAGCCTCAAATGCCAGCAATTTTTTTTCTTTTATTTTTATTGATTTTAGAGAGAGGAAGGAAGAGAGGGAGGGAGAGAGAGAAAAAGAGAGAAACATTGATTTGAGAGAGAAACACGTATGGGTTGCCTCCCGCACACCCCCCGACCGGGGTTCATCAAACCCACAACCTGCGTATGTACGCTGACCAGGAATTAAACCCTCCACCTTTCGGTGTATGGGATGATGTTCCAACCAACTGAGCCACCCCAGCCAGGGCATTATTTTCTTCTTTTGACTTAAAGTTTGTTCATATTAAAATGTAAGCGTACTTAAGAAAAGTATTATCTTGCCTAAGCTTCAGTCCCTGATAGCTCTGTCGAGTTTTAAGTGGAAGGATGCCTGGTGCCTGCCTAATCTACAGATTTGCGGAGGCAAGAGAGATACGTGCTTATATTCTTGAGGTTCATTATACAGTGTTTGATTTGCAATGGGACTTTGTAGTATTCCTGTGACTTCAAATCTCACGCATATGATTTGCCAAGCTCTAGATGGCTTGTTAAATATGAAATATATTAAACTTTTCACTTTATCCTAAATAGAAACTATAAATAAATTACACCAAAAAGAAGAGCAGTTTAATGCGCTGTCTTCTGAATTGGAGAAGTTGCGAGAAAATCTAACAGGTAAGAAGATGTCTCTGGTTACTAAACATTAAGTACAGTAGGCTCCCGAGGATTTGAGATAATTGCAGTATGTTAGAGTAACACATCTATTCAGGCTTAATGTCTTCACTCATTATGGTGATATAATGGGACAGAATACCTGTTTAAGGTCCGTAACCTTCAGCAAACCCTCTTGCTCCTGTTTTCAAACGAGCCAGCGTCCAACAACATCGCCCCACTCCCACTGCTGTCCTTGACCCAAGCCAACCACCTTGCACCTGAGCTACTCCAACAGTTGGCTCTTGCCTGCTTCTGTCTGTTCTCAGCACAGCAGCCAGAGCGATCCTCCAGCATCAAGTCAGCCCCCAGCTCCTGCCACTCCTCTGCTCAGGATCGCCCATTGGCTCCCAGATCACTCAGGACCAAAGGCTGTGGTCCTTACCATCACAGGCTCCGCTCTCTCTCTACTTCCTCTTGCACTAGTTTTCTCGTTGCCCTTTCCACGCCAGCCACAGTGGCCTCCGTGGAGACACCTGCATGTCAAGCACGTTCTTGCCTCGGGGCCTTTGCACTCACTCTCCCCTCTGCCTGCAGCCCCTTTGCTTTACTTCCTTCAGGTCTTAACTGAACTGTCACCGTCTCAGAGAGGCCTTATCAGAGATTTAACCCCCCAACTTCTTTCTTGCTCCTTTCTCTGCTTGCATTTTCTTCTTCTTAGCACTCAGCACTATCTATTATAGTATTTCCTTTCTTTATTGATCTTGTTTATTGCTTGTCTTCTTTGCTAGAGTATAATTTTCACAGGGATTGCTATATGTAAATGTCCTCAGAGCAAGGCTGGTGTATGGGATATAGGCAGTCAGTTTTTGTTCATTATAACAGCAGTGCTATTTTTTTTCTATGTCTATTCAGGCATGGAGGCAAAATTTAGAGAGAGAGATGAAAGAGAAAATCAGTTGATAAAGGCAAAAGAAAAGCTGGAAAACGACATTGCAGAAATAATGAAAATGTCAGGAGATAATTCTTCTCAGTTGACAAAAATGAATGATGAGTTACGTCAGAAAGAAAGGTACGTATGACTGCTCATGAGAGTGCTGCTTTAGGTTAGGCTGAGGCAGGGCCTCGGGGGGAGGGTAGCCCAGGTCTTCAGGGTTGTTGTGTTTTCTTTCCCGTCCCTTCTTTCTCTTATTACCTCAGTGTATACTTGAGTCTACTGCTTAACCTCTAAGGAATACAATATTGTAGACCTTCCGTTGACTTGTTAGGAAAAGGTAGTTTATCAATGGCAGTAACATCTTTTACAGGCAGTTAAAAATATTTTTAAAATATGTTTTTATTGATTTGAGAGAGAGAGAGCTAGGAAGAGGGAGAGAGATAGAAACATCAGTAATGAGAATCATCAATTGGCTGCCTCCTGGATGCCCCCCACCCCCACCCCATCTCCGGGGATGGAGTCTGCAACCTGGGCATGTGCCCTGACTGGGAATCAAACTGGTGACCGCTAGGTGCATGGGATGATGCTCAACCAACTGAGCAACACTGGCCGGGCAGCAGTTAAAAATATTTTTACTGCCCTTACTATTTCCTAATTCTCATAGTAATTCTATGAGGTGAGGATATTATTGTTCCCATTTTAAAGAAGAGGAAACTGAGGCTTAATGAGGTTCAGTAACTTGCCTGAGGTTTCAGATCTAGGCAGTCCAGTTCCCAGTCCTTGCTGCTCTTTTTTTTTTTTTTTTTTTTTTTTTTTAAATATATTTTATTGATTTTTTTACAGAGAGAAAGGGAGAGAGATAGAGAGTTAGAAACATCGATGAGAAACATCGATCAGCTGCCTCCAGCACATCTCCCACTGGGATGTGCCCGCAACCCAGGTACATGCCCCTGACCGGAATCGAACCTGGGACCTTTTAGTCCGCAGGCCGACGCTCTATCCACTGAGCCAAACCAGTTTTGGCCTTGCTGCTCTTAATCGCTCCGTTGTACTTCCTCAGTGCTAATGCTTCTGTTATCCCAATCTCTGCTCTTGTCTTGTTTGATTTTTTTCTCCTTTTGATAGCTGCCATATAGAAATAAAATGTTTTATAAGGCAAACACTTTCAGAGGACACTTTAGGACAGGGGTCCTCAAACTACGGCCTGTAGGCCACATGCAAATACAAATATTGTATTTGTTCCCGTTTTGTTTTTTTACTTCAAAATAAGATATGTGCAGTGTGCATAGGAATTTGTTCATAGTTTTTTTTTAAACTATAGTCCAGCCCCGCAACGGTCTGAGGGACAGTGAACTGGCCCCCTGTTTAAAAAGTTTGAGGACCCCTTCTTTAGGACCACTAGACTTCAGATTCTGAGTGTCACTACTTGGACAAGTTACGTTTACACTTCGCCATACACCACACACAGTTCAGTGTTAGTGGGTGACTGGCGACTGGGCCTTGCTTGACCGACGTTGGTCAGACTTGCTGTGAGGTGGGTGCCACTGGTGGCCGTGACACGGGGTCTTGGAGCAGTTCCATTGCCATAGGTGTTTTATAGGTGTAACGCCCAGAGGTACCACAGGTTTCCCGTCTCCATTTCTAGGCTGATGTCCCATGTTTTTTGTGCATCTTTGTTCGACCACATGGTTATATCTTTTTTTTAAAATATATTTTTTATTGATTTCAGAGAGGAAGGGAGAGATAGAAAAATCAATGATGAGAGAGAATCATTGATAAGCTGTCTCCTGCCCGCCCCCTACTGGGAATCGAGCCCACAACCTGGGCATGTGCCTTGACCAGGAATCGAACTGTGACCTCCTGGTTCAAGGTCGATGCTCAACCACTGAGCACCCCAAGTTCTTTAAGTTATTTATTGTCATTTTTATGTTCTCAAGCATCACTAGAATGAGTTTTTTATAATCTAGTCTGCTAAAATTTTGACATTTTGTAAATACTCAATATGTTTACTTTCCACTCATTTTTCCCTGTAGATCTATGGACATAAAATAATCCTAACAATTATAGTAGATGGCTACTCTAAATAATGTATTTATAGCTATGACAGTTGTTAAAATTAGTCTCCAGGACAAATCAAGTTTTTTGGGTGCTTATTTCAGATGTTATTAATTACTTATAATATTTATAATCATTAATACAATTATGATTAATAGTATCTTTCTAGTAGAACTCTAGAACTGAGAGCATTCTTTTGAAAAATCTGACACGGTGTATTGAAACTTCTCCTAGAAATGTGGAAGAATTACAGCTAAAACTTACAAAGGCCAATGAAAATGTGAGCTGTCTGCAGAAAAGTATTGGGGATGTAACTCTCAAAGCTGAACAAAGCCAGCAAGAAGCAACTAAAAAGCATGAGGAAGAAAAGAAAGATTTGCTGAAAAAATTGCTGGACCTGGTAAGGAGGGAGCATATGGGACTGTTTGCTGGCGAGGAAGGTGAGGGGCAGTTCAGTTGTGGTGAGGCGACTCATTTCTTCTCTCGGGGCTCCCGCAGGAAAAGAAGATGGAAACGAGCCACAACCAGTGTCAAGATCTGAAAGCTAGGTATGAGGAAGCCAGTTCTGAGACCAAGGCGAAGCATGAGGAGGCTCTGCAGAAGCTGCAGGCGCTGCTGCGGGGCACAGAGGAGAGGCTGGCGGCCACCCAGGAGCAGAACAAGGACTTGTTGCAGGAAGTAGTGGAACTGAAAAAACAAGCCGAGGATGCTAGAGTAAGTGGCAGAGGGAATTATGTTTCATTTGTTTGCTTGGGTTCTGCTTCAGGCTGGAAGAGCCCTTAGCAAGTGGCTGCTAAGGAGATGAGCTTGACAAATGTTATCCTTGCCAGTGCAGGGCCTCATGGTGAATCACATTTCCCACCAGCCGCTGTCTTTGTCCAGGGTAGGCCGTAGCTGCAGGTCTCTTCCCCTGAGCGTACCATGTGGCCATCTGCTGTCACAAGGAGTCCGATGTGGCTGAGATCGGTCTGCCTTCTTGGAATAGACTCTTTGTTGTGGGAAAGCTTGTTCCTCTAGTCTTGGCCATCTTGCAGCCAGCTTGCGCTAGGGGCTAGGAGAGACCTGTTGCAGAAAAGCCAGAGGCAGAGGCCAGGTGCGGAGGTGAGCAGGGAATGGAGTCTGGTTGGAGGAACAGCTCCCAGAGGAGAACGTAGAGATTAGGACTCTGGAGAGCACTTTTGCATGCTCCCCAGGAAGGCACAGTGAGCTTATTGACAAGGAAGCTGGATTCAGGGCCCGCAAGGAAACATCTGTTATTAAATAGAGTAGAACTTGATGTATTGCATTTCTTTTTGTGGTCAGGATTGTATCTGTACCCAAGTAGATTTTTTTGATTCTGGTAACTTCATGTTCAACCTTTCTACTAGTTTTTAACTTTCTCTTACTGCCATTTAACTTACTGAAAGAAAAGTAAATACTTGTCTTTATTTTTTATTTATTTATTTATTTTTTATATATTTTATTGATTTTTTTACAGAGAGGAAGGGAGAGAGATAGAGAGTTAGAAACATCGATGAGAGAGAAACATCGATCAGCTGCCTCCTGCACACTCCCTACTGGGGATGTGCCCGCAACCCAGGTACATGCCCTTCACCGGAATCGAACCTGGGACCTTTCAGTCCGCAGGCCGACGCTCTATCCACTGAGCCAAATCGGTTCCAGCTCTTGTCTTTATTTTTAATGTTCCAGAGAAATGTTTATAGAGGAGGAGTTTGCTAGAAAGAAAATCTACAAAGAGCATCTGTAGGTCTTGAAACGGATCTCATTTAAAACTTGTAAATTAAGTGGATCGTAACACAATATATGTCATGTATAAGATGCCTAAGTTTTCTCCCTCCTGCATGCTGGCCACCAGGGCTTTCTCGTCTCCCTCCCTGTACAATATCTAAAGATTTATGAGCCATTCACTTAACACTGGATGTAAGTTCCAGATCTTCTGTCTTTGTGGTTCCCTTGATCTGGACGGACTCCAGTTTTTTTGTGTTTCCCTTAAAAATGTTGCAGCCTGACCTGACCACAGCATTCTAGTAGTTTGTGTAAAGTCTCATTAATCTTGTTTCTGGCTGGGTGTGTGTTTGTTTGTTTACAAGGTCATTTGGTTCACATGCTGGCATTGCTCCCCCTCCAAAGTGTCTGGATATTCGGTTTCTGTGGCTTTCGATGTTTGTCAACAACACTGGCTCACAGGCTCTTTTTGAGAATCTGATGAAATCTTAAGATGTTTTTCCTGGGAAAGTTTACATATACACTCAACAAGTTTATGTGACATTCCAGGGGGTGCATGGAGCCCAGGAGGCCTCTGTTTCCCTGGATCTACAGCTGTGCTGTCCAGGACAGTAACCACTAGCCACGCGTGGCCATTCAAATGTAAATTAGTCAAATATATATGTTGGATTGTGTTTTTAAGGATTTCAAATGCACATTTTTATGATAATTGGTCTGTATATTGCATTGTGTGCCCACCACCCAAAGTCTCATCTTCCGCCACCATACATTTGGCCCCCTTTACCCTTTACTACTCCCAGCCCCTCTTCCCACCAGGGGCCACCGTACTGTTTGTGTCAGTTTTATATCCCACATATGACTGAAATCACGTGGTTCATAGCTTTTTCTTCCTGACTCATTTCGCTTTGCATGATAAGTCAGATTGTAGTAAGGTCGGCCTTTTAGTCACACCCACCGTGCTCAAGTGCTTGCACATGTGACTACAGGCTAGCACACAGGACCATGCAGACGGAGCACATTTACACCATTGCTGAAAGTTCTGGACGGCGCTGGTAGAGACACTGTGGTCAATTTATGTATCTGTAAACCAGTGCATTTGTTTAAAAACCCACTTATTTTCATTGCCAGAGCTTAGCGAAGTAATCTGTATTTTTAATGTTGTATGTAATAGTGGGACTAGATCTGTGTCAGGCCAGCAACTCTCCTTTAGTAAGTAAGGGCCTGCCGTGAGTTTAAAAGCAACAGATTTTTTTCCCTTGCCCTTACCCCGCCACTATCCCCCACCCCCCTGCACTTTTATTTTTTGAAAATATGCTCACTTTTTATAGTTTGTTTTACTGTATTTTTAAAGATTCTTTTGTGCCTCCTTTCTACATAAACATTGTTGGATAATTAGAATGGCAGGGGAGAATCTTATGCCCCGATGTCAAAAATCACACTACTGTTTTTTCTTTTTAATTTATATATTTTTATTTATTTCAGAGAGGAAGGGAGCGGGAGAGATAGAAACATCAGTGATGAGAGAGAATCATTGATTGGCTGCCTCCTGCGCACCCCACCCTGGGGACTGAGCCCGCAGCCTGGGCTTGCGCCCTGACCGGGAATCGAACTGTGACCTCCTGGCTCATAGGTTGACGCTCAGCCAGGAGCCACGCCGGCCGGGCCACACTACTGTTTTTGCCGTAAGAAAGCTATCAAGAATAATCCCAAAAATTCTCTGAAAGGTAAAAGAAACGAATAGCTGTCTCGGCCCTTTGCAGAGCTAGTCCCGCTCTGTCGTATCTTTTGTGGGCTCTGTTCTTCGGTACTCTTTCCCTTGTTATTCAGATAGTTTTCGTGACATTTATTATAAAAATTGTAACTTTTATTATTTAGGCTACGTTAAGTTATCTGGGCTTGCATGTGTCTGCTTGATTTCACCTTATTTCCATTCTCCTCACCTTTTGTTTCTGTAGTCGCTAACTTGTTTGTTAACATCAGCCCAAAGAGAAACCGAGCTAATGTCAGAAGAGCTGAGGGGTCTGAGGTCAGAGAAGCAGCTTCTGGTGCAGGAGGGCAATGCTTTAAAGTCAGAGAAAGGTGCGCTCATGTCCAAGCTTGTAGAGGCAGAGGCCAGAGTAACGTTCCTCCAGGAAGACCAGCGGAAGCTGTGGTCGATAAACGAAGCCCTCAATTTAGAGAAGGAGCAACTCATAGAAGAAAAGCTGCATCAGCAGGGGCAGCTCCAGAGTGAAGCTCTGGCTGCAGAGAGAGAGAAACTGCTTCAAGAAGTCACTGTCGCACAGGAAGAGCTCCTGAAGATGCGCACGGAAAGCGCCTCTCTGCAGGCTTCCAGAGCCGCCCTGCAGGCCCTCGTGGAGGAGCTTCAGTTCAGCAAGGAGAGTCTGACTGCCGAGTGCCAGAAGGACCGGGAAGAGAAAGACCGCCTGGAGGACCGCGTCAAGAAGCTCGTGAGCGAGAACCTTGCTGTGGCTAAAGATAAAGACAAGACCATTAAGAAGCTGCAGAGCTCTTACGAGGAGCTGGTCAGAGACCAGAAGGCCTTGGTGCAGGAGATCAAAGATCTCACGGCGGAGAAAAAGTCAGCGGCGGAGAAGCAGTCGGGCCTTGAAAACATATGCGTAGCCCTAAAGGTCGAAATGGATGGGCTCTTGCAGAGCAGCAGGGACCTGCAGCTGGAGAAGGGCGCTCTGCTTCAGGACCAGGACAAGCTCAGCGCCAGCCTGGCCACTGCGCTCCAGGTCAAACAGCTGCTCAGCGCCGAAGCCAGCGGGCTCCGTGCGCAGCTGGACACCGCCAGCAAAGGGCTGAGGAAGGCCGAGCTGGAGGCCATGCAGCTTCAGGCCGCAAACACCAGCCTCACGAAGCTCCTGGAGGAGATTAAGGCCAGTCGGGAGATCACGGACTCCGAGTGCATCCAGCTCCTGCATGAGAAGGAGATCCTGGCCATGTCTGAGAGGAGGCTCCTGGCCGAGAAGGAAGAACTCGTGCGTGAAAATAGGCTCGTCATTGAGAAACTCGGCCAGTGCTCCGGGGAGGCCGTGCGCGTGGAGACGAGCCTGAACGAGAAGATTGCGTACCTGACCTCGGAGAAGGAGACGGTTTGTCAGAAAGCGTCTAAGATCAAAAGGCAGCTGGACAGCCTCCTGAAGGAAAAGTCTGTGCTGGAAACACAGAACGGAGATTTACTTGCAGAAAGAGAGAATTCCATCAACTGCATAGGAGAGCTTAAAAGGAAGTACGAGCAGGAGTCTGCAAACAGGAGGCTCGTCGTGCAAGAGAAGATGAAGCTCTTGGGTAACCTCGATGCTCTGAAGAAAGAGCTCCAGGAGAGAAAAAAGGAAAACCAAGAACTGGCCACCGCCAAGTGCGAGCTCGCACTGATGCTGAAAGAGGCCCAGAGCGCCAAAGAGCACCTGGAAAAGGAGCACACCCACATCCAGCAGGCCAGGGAGGGCCTGAAGGCTGAGCTGGAAACGTGCTGCTCCGAGAAGGACCAGATGCTGAGGGACGGGCTGAGCCTGCAGGAGGAGTGCCAGAAACTGAAGGAGGAGGTGCGCGCGGTGCAGCAGTCCTTGCTCCTGGAGCAGGAGGCCCGGGCCAAGGAGAGCGAGTCAGCCTCCTACGAGAACAGCAAGTTACTTGGGAGGGCAGTGTGCCTGGAACAGGAGCTGGAAGAGCTGAGAGCATCCACCAAGGAGCTCCAGGCCGAAAACGCGGGGCTCGTCCAAGAGAAGAGCACCTCGGAGCAGAAGGTGGCGGAGATCCTGAAGGAAAAGGAGCTCCTGACTGCAGAAACGGCGCGGCTGGCTGCCAACATCGAGACGCTGCGCAGCGACTTCGCCTCCCTGTCCAAGTCCAAGCTGGAGTTGCAGGAGCTGCACAGCTGCCTCAGCAAGATCCTGGATGACCTGCGGCTGAGCCACCAGGCGGCCGTGGCCGATCGGGCCCAGGCACTGCAGGACAACAGCAGCCTGCTGGCCGAGAAGAGGGAAGTGGCGCTGAAGTGGGATGAGCTCCTGAAGGAGAAGGAGACGCTGGCCGAAAGCTACTTCATCCTCCAGAAGGAGATCAGCCAGCTGGCCAAAACCAACAGCCACATTTCCGCCAACCTCCTAGAGTCTCAGAACGAAAATCGTATCTTGAGGAAAGACAAGAGCAAGCTCACCCTTAAAATTAGAGAGCTCGAAACTCTTCACTCTTTCACGGTAACGTGGGAGGTCCCAGCCCTGAGCACCTGGACTAACACTGCACTAACTCGTTGGTGGCCAGGGCCTTTGTGCCCGTTTCCCTAAAGGCAGTCTACCCCATTTTCTCCGTTGTTTGTATGTCTCCAGCTGTTGTTGCCACCCGAAAGGGCACTTCTTTACTAAGTGTCTAATTGCAGGTCTCTCTCCATTAGAAATGAGTTGTGAACTGTGAATAACAAGGATATACTTTTTAACTTGAGGGGGACATTTTCATGAAAAAGTCAAATGGGGCTCTTTTTTAAAAATATGTTTTTATTGATTTCAAAGAGGAAGGGAGAGGGAGAGATAGAAACATCAGTGATGAGAGAGAATCATCGATCTGCTGCCTCCTGCACACCCCACACTGGGGATCGAACCCACAACCTAGGCATGTGCCCTGACCGGGAATTGAACCATGACCTCCTGGTTCATAAGTCAATGTTCAACCACTGAGCCACATCAGCTGGGCTCAAATATGGTTAAGGCTTATGAACAATAGTAAAATGGGCACATTGTTGAAATATATAGTGTCTTCTATTTGGCTTTTTACTGTTTTGTTGTGTCCGTCCATTTGGAGTTGGAAAGCTCCAGTGGAACCTGCATGGCTGGGAACAGGGAAGGCATAACACTGAATTCCCCTATGTGTCATTGGACCACTTGTAGTTGCAAGCAGCTGCCTAAAAAGGTTTTCATTTATTTTATGATTTTTTTTTTTTTACAGATTGCCAGCTAAGGGTCTATTTCCCTATTCATATTATCTTTTTTATTCACAGCCATGTTTATATTCATTACCCACCACTTTTCATAGACATTTCCATTCAGTGCTACTCCTTAAGCACTTGACCCTTACATTCTAATTGCGCAAATAATTTTTATTTTTATTTGAAAAATTCCCCACCTCAATTCTGAGTGGTTTCAAAAGCCCCCCAGTTTGAACTAGCAAGGCCAGTATTGTAAGCTTAGAACGGGTACATGTGATTAAGAGAAAAATGCAGCCACGAAAGGGTATCGCTCTTGATCGTCACTGCATGTTTCTCTCAAGCCTAAGCCAGGATGGCGAGTGTGACTGTCAGTGTCTCTCGGAAGGCACAGGTTCAGAGGCACGGTTTACTGAGAAATGGCCTGGGAAGGGAGCAGAGCCCCTCATGTCTCAGTCAGCATGTGCAGACCTCAGGCGGGCCCATCCCTGTGTGACCCCTGTGCAGCGCAGCCTGAGCGTTGACCTGGCGGGGTTGTTGTTGTTGTGTTTTTTTTTTAAAGTATATTTTATTGATTTTTTACAGAGAGGAAGGTAGAGAGATAGAGAGTTAGAAACATCGATGAGAGAGAAACATCGACCAGCCGCCTCCTGCACATCCCCCACTGGGGATATGCCCGCAACCCAGGCACATGCCCTTGACCGGAACCAAACCCGGGACCCTTCAGTCCGCAGGCCGACGCTCCATCCACTGAGCCACACCGGTTCTGGCAAACCTGGCGGGGTTGGTGGGCGTGGCCCCGTGCCTCACAGTGCTTTCTTGTATTTAGGCTGCTCAGACAGCAGAAGACGCCATGCAGATCATGGAACAGATGACCAAAGAGAAGTCGGAAACGCTCGCCTTCTTGGAGGATACCAAGCAAACCAATGAAAAACTCCAGAATGAAGTAATCAGATTTAAATGGCTTTTTGTACAAAGGACAGCTTATCGACTTCACGGGATGTTTGATCATTAACTCAGGATTGTTTATTTTTTTGAAGCGTGGCCTCATGCAGGTTTGATCTTCGTTAGCGGAGTCGAATGTACACCAGAACCACGATAATATTAAATAAAGTGTATTACTTCATTGCTTCCCTAGTAGGTTCCACCTTTTAAAAACAAGGGGGAAACCCTAGCAGCGTGGCTTTCTGTGGTGACTGTTTGGTAGAACTGCTGAGAGGAGGCGCTGACAACATGCTCTCGTTTTTGTGTCTTTTCTCTTAGATCACGCACACTTTTTTTTTTTTTCCAACTCTCTCCCAACTTTGAGCCACTAAATTTCATTCCTCAGCTCCGAGTTTGACATAGGCCTTTTCTTGGCATAATTCAGTACTGGTTGCCAATTGTGTCATCTCGAATTCATCACTTCTGGGTCTTGGATACATTTGTGGTGTCGAGATCATTTCGGTTCTGTCCAAAAGTAGCGTTCTCGTTCTTATACCCTCCTCTGATTTCCCTCCTCCACCCTCCAACTCATATTAGTCCTTTCTGCCTTTGGAAAGATGCTACCTAAATCCTAAGCAGGGTGATTCACTGGAATAGTGTACATAAAATTCTATAGAACTTTGGGTACTTTTATTTTTTATTATATTTTAAAATATATTTTTATTGATTTCAGAGAGGAAGAGAGAGTTAGAAACATCAGTGGTGAGAGAGAATCATTGACTGGCTGCCTCCTGCATATCCCCTACTGGGGATTGAGCCTGCAACCCAGACATATGCCCTTGACTGGAATCGAACCCAGGACCCTTCAGTCCACAGGCTGATGCTCTATGCACTGAGCCAAACCATCTAGGGCCTTTGGGTGCTTTTAAACATAACAAGCAGATAAGACATTAAGTAAAGCACAATAAAGACATGACCTTCTCATTATGGAAGACCCAGGATGTGAATCTGTGAAAGACATGAGCATTTTGAGATAATTATAGGGTCAATAAAACTCGACACGGTAGGGAGTACAGTGGGGCCTTGACTTACGAGTTTAATTCGTTCTGTGACGGAGCTCGTAACTCAAATTACTCGTACGTCAAATCAAAAAGTGAACGAGTGAAACACATGATGCTGGGCTGATGTGGCGTTCACTGTGACGTTCGCTGCGCCAACTAGCGATGGGGTATCTGAAGCTGGCTCGTAACCCGAATTTTAGCTCGCAACTCAAAGCAAAGAATCCGCCGAGAGACGGCTCGTATCTTGAAAAACTCGTTAGTCAGGACACTTGTAAGTCAAGGCCCCACTGTATATTTATAGAATTGACAGTCTTCGGAGAAGACTTTAAGCTAAAAATATAAAAACATTTTAAAAATCATTGATGATCATCAACATTAGAAGCTAAAGTAAATGAGAAGGTTTTAGGGACTGGCTCTCACCTCTGAGGCTAGAATCGTGTGCCTCAATAGCATACGCCCAGGTGTCTTGGTTGCAGCCAGAATGAATCAAGGCTGTATGAATCATTTTCTGGACACACTGTGATATTTTGTTTTTCTTGTTCTGTGTTACTGGAATGTTAGAGGGCACGAACAGGAAGATGGTGTGTAAAAATTAGCAAGACACTTTTTAGGACTCCTGACTGGTGACCTGTGGCAGAGCAAAAGTCTCTCTGGCCATGGGAGATAAGTATACAAATCCCAGAGAGCCAGCCGGCGCCCGGAGCACACACTGTGTGATGGGTGACCCCCTAAAGGGCTCCCCACCTAGAACTGCATTCCCTGCCAGAGCCTGTGATTGGTCACATCCCCACTCACCCCTGTCCCACGTCTGGATTCCCGCCAGGGGCCAGGCAGGCCCTACTCCTGGCTGTGTCCCCCGTGGGCAGGTGGTGGGGCTGAGCCTGTGTGAGCGCCTTTTGGTGCCACTACATGGCTTTTTCCTTCTCAGATTGAAGTTCCCATGGGTAACTCTTATCCCCCGTCTACACACGTTTTGTTTCAAGTAACTTTTACAATGAGGACTATGTAAAATTGGTACTGGTGTTGCAAAATATCATAGCCTAAATCACTAATTTTAAGGAGAGAAGTTTTTTTTTTCATTACAAAGAAGAACACTTACTGAGGTCAAGCCTTTGCAATTTCTTTCTTTCCTTTTCTTTTTTTTTAAGATGGTTCATACTTGAATAGCAAGTTCAATGATAAATGTCAGGAATTGTACACAAGGTGAAATGAAACTTTCATTTTAACTTACAAAGCAGTTTAGTCTGACATTTTGACCAGGTGTACAGGAATCCAACTAGGTGTAAAAGGGGGTGGTTTACAGTTTATAACACTTGGTCATATGCAGTCTTTTCACCAGGGTGATTTTTTTAAATAAGTGACTGAGTTCACTATTTTTTTAATGCCTATTTTTGTGAATAATTTGTCATTATTCAGTCATGTCATTGGAAAACAAGATAATTTCACCGAGCTTTTTTCTCTTGGTCTTTAAGTTGGATACACTTAAAGAAAACAACTTGAAAAATGTGGAAGAGCTGAACAAGTCGAAAGAACTTCTGACTGTCGAGAATCAGAAAATGGAAGAATTCAGGAAAGAAATGTAAGTTTATCTCCTGTGAGAGATGTTGTGGAACTTACTAAAATCACAAACGTGAAAACAATGCTAATTATTTAAAAAAAAACAACAAAACTTGACAAGTACATGGAGTAAAAATAGTCTCCCTCCTGCCCCCTCGGTGTTAGTGTACCTGAGAAGTAGTCCCTATAACACACTGTCGTAAGTCAGAAATACAGGTGTGGTAAAGACCAAGATGAAATGTGTGCTGGCTGGTGGCCCTAACCCCAACCCAGCGCCCCACTGCCAGCATCCCACCTCTGAGCCGCACTAGGAAACGGAGGGGCAGGGCCAGAGCGGGCCTCACCAAGAGGGCTTGGGCGTCGAATATGATCCCTCCTCCCAGCTATATGACTGCTCGTCTCTGGTCACGGTCATTCCTCTGGTTGGTGTTGAAGTATTCAAGGGCCTTGCTCTGTCGTTCTGTCCTGCCACCTCCCCCACAGCGTGGGGTGGTTTCACCTCTCGTAAGAGACGGATTGTTTTTGTGCCCCCTTCCTTGAATGATCCCCGCAAGCACTGAAAGCTTAGCGTCATGCCTGTGGAAGCAGGGGACCAGGGGCAGAAGACGGTGCTGCTGCCCCTCTAACCTCGGCCAGTTTCCTCCCTGGCGTACTTCCCTGATCCCTGATGGCCGTGGTCCAGGTAAGGGGCAAGGTCACAAGGCAGACAGAATCTAGGCTGCTTTTTTTTTTTTTTTTTAATCCTCAACCAAGAATAAGTTTTCATTGATCTTTTTGGAGAGAGAGGAAGGAAGAGAGAAAGGAAAAACAAAACATCAATTGGTTGCCTCCCACCTGGGGCTGGGACCTACAATGCAAGAATCAAACCCAAAACCTTTTGGTGATGCTCTAACCAACTGAGCCATTGGGCCAGGGCTAGGCTGCTTTGATTAACTTCTTCCTGGCCCACCTCTATGAAGTACATGTACCCACTGCGCTCAAAAGAAAAAAAGGTGTTTCTATTTTCAAATCAGGTCCATGCCGCCAGTTTTTTTTAAATGTATACATTTTATTGATTTCAGAGAGGAAAGGAGAGGGAGAAAGATATAGAAACATCAGTGATGAGAGAGAATCATTGATCGGCTGTCGCCTGCACACCCCCAATGGGATTGAGTCCGCAACCCAGACATGTGCCCTGACTGGGAATCGAACCGTGACCTCCTGGTTCATAGGTTGACGCTCAACCACTGAGCCATGCTGGCCGGGCCACCAGTTTTAAGTCCAGTTTTCTCAATTCTACAGCTTACTGCTGCCTTTATGATTTGGGGCAAATCTTTTCAGTTCCCTGAACCTCGGTTTCCTCATCTTTAAAATACAAATAATACCATGAGCTTCCGTAAGGGTTTGAGGATTCAATGAGAAAATGTGTAAATAAGCATTTTTGTTGATTTTAAAACATTGAACAAAGACTTAGGACATTTTGATATTTCTTAGACCCCTTGTTTTAATTTTCCTCGCTGTGGGCTCCTAATAGACACCAAGGATTGAAAAACCTTTAAAAGATGGAAATCTTTCCTAGAGAAAGAATAGGATCACAAATGTCTCTCACAGGCCATACAAACGCTGAGACCAAACATCCCCTGAGGAGGGCAGTACTCACCTGGGAGTGAAAGGTTTGGCTTATGATGATTTCATCATGAGTAAAACCTTTTATTTGGTCAGGAATTGATTAGACAGAAGAGGGGCTTCAGCTGTCCTATGTGCGTGTATGTTTTGATCGTTGGCTAACATCAAGCCTCCCAGGTTTTGATGTTTGTTTGTTTTTTAATATATTTTTGTTGATTTCGGAGAGTAAGGGAGAGAGAGAGAGAGAAAAATCAATGATGAGAAAGAATCATTGATTGGCCGCCTCCTGCATGCCCCCTGCTGGGGATCAAGCCCACAACCCGGGCATGTGCCCTTGACCAGAATCGAACCCTGGACACTCCAGTTCGCAGGCCAATGCTCTATTCACTGAGCCAAATTGGCTAGGGCAAACCTCCTAGGTTTTGAATGACTAATTATCTGAGGCTAAAATTCCCTCTGTCTCAGTTTCCCTTCACTTGCTAAATAAATATCTCTGTAAAACAACAAATTTAATGTGTTAAGAAGAGAATTGCTTTGTAGATTTATTCCCCTAAATCTTCACGAGGCCAGCCCAGTGTGCATATTGTAGGTGGATGGAGAACTAAAAATCTAGAAAACTGAGATGCCAAGCACTGCCACCCATTAGACAATTGAAGTTAAAAATAGATGTGTTCATGCGTCAGCGGATGGATTTATACCCAGATGACTGGACTCAGAATTCAGCCATGTATGGCATCTTGCTAAATGGAGTGTAGCCAGCACAGATTCAAGATTCATAATTGTATCAAAACCTGTGATGGCATAAAACTACAATGTAGTGATCAAATAAAATATTCGGAATGTCCATGTATGGAGGTTAACAACTTGGGAGGTATATTTTGGATTAATTTTAACCTTGGAAAGATGCTTAGTAAATAGAGTTAGCCAGCTCAAGTTTTTTTGTGTTGTTGTTTTTTTAAATAGATTTTTACTGATTTCAGAGAGGAAGGGAAAGGGAAAGAGAGACAGAAACATTGATGATGAGAGAGAATCATTTATTGGCTGCCTCCTGCATGCCCCCTACTGGGGGTTGAACCTGCAACTGGCCATGTGCCCTGACCGGGCATCAAACCCTGACCACCCGGTTCATAGGTTGATTCTCAACCATTGAGTCACACCAGCCAGGCCCTGCTCATCCTATATAAGAAAGTGGTAATATGCAAATTAACCCTCACACCCTCACAAGATGGCTGCCTACAACCAGGCCGGCAGGGAGGTTAGTGAGGGACGACCAAACAACTGAACAGCAGGCTGCGAAGGGCAACCAGGCCGGCAGGGGGGCCGTGAGGGGCAACGAGGCCGGCAGGGGGGGCAGTTGGGGGTGATTAGGCTGGCAGGGGGGGCAGTGAGGGGTAACTAGCCTGGTGGGGGGGGGGCAGTTGGGGGCAACCAGGCAGGCAGGCAGGTAAACGATTAGGAACCAGCAGTCCGAATTGGAGAGGTTGCAGGCTGGGCTGAGGGGATCTTCCCCTTCCCCCCACCCTCCCACCCTCATGCACGAATTTCATGCGCCGGGCCTCTAGTGTTTTATATGCTGATATTCACAAGATAGGTTAGCAGGCTATTTTTTAAATTTATTTCCTTTAATTATAGATTAGCATTATGGAAAGAATATAGTCCAAATAAAAACACCTGTTATATAACTAGAAAACTACATTTCCTTTGGGATTACACCTCTAGTTGGCCAAAAAAATATACTGAGATTCAGGCCAGCACTTGATTCTGACAGATATCGACAAATGAGACCATTAGATTTTTATTTCTGCCAGCAAAAAAAAACAACCAACAACAGCAACAAAAAGATTACAGACTTAATGCAGTTAGGACAGAGTACCTTGGCGGCAAAGTAAATCCCTTTGTCAACATAAGTAGGTTTTAGTATGACTTCCTAATGGATATAGTCCTGAAGACAAGAGGAGCACTGACCATTTCTCTTGTCATTTATTTGATAGTACATTGCGTTTTGTATGGCGTGTTTAGAAGTAAGGTAAATGTGGGTGGCGAAAGGCTGGATGTAGAATTTATTAGATTTTTTAAAAAATGTGATAACCGTGGGTGGCAATCCTCCTCCTGAGAGGTTAGAGCCATGTAGCCCCTCCTGTGTAGAGATAACACTGTCTACTGTTATTATAGATCCTATCGGGCACGTGACCCAGATATATTTTCCTCAGTGCTGTGAAGCTGGTCGGCTCCCACAGTTTCCGTGCCTGTCTTGTTTCTATGGTAACCCTGCACCCACTGTCCTTGCAGAGAAACCCTGAAGCAGGCAGCTGCTCAGAAGTCCCAGCAGCTTTCAGCACTGAAAGCGGAGAACGTGAAACTTGCCGAGGAGCTGGGGCGAAGCAGGGACGAAGTCACGAGTCATCAGAAGGTCAGTGGGCCTCGGGTGGGCGTCCCTGTCTTGGACACGCCGATGCCTGCTGCTGCCGGCAGGGCGCTGCTTAGAGGCAACTCCAGATGAGCTCCATGTGGCTGGGTTCTTCCTACTGGGATGTCACGCCGCCTGTGTTACGTGTCTCCTTGTTTCCAAGTGTGCTATGCTATAGGGCTTAGGGTAGGAGCCACTGACAGGTCCTTACACACAACACACCAACACTGGGAACTTGCAAGCAACTAGAAATTAAGATCATTATTAGCTGATCTTCATATAGCAATGCATTTACATGGACAGGACAGTATCTTCTTCCTACTACACTTTTAAAATGATTTTCTCTAAGATTTTGTTTTTTCTTTCATCAAAATTGGCTTTAAGAGAACAGATTCCAAGAATACGGTTTTGGTGTGAGGCTTGGCAGCTGTTTCTAAATAGAACTCTGCTTCACTTTAAATTTTAAGACATTGAACAGACATTCCTACTGGAACCACGTGTATGTGTGCACTCCTGTGCATTGGTGTGCAGGAGGTGCGCTACACCCAGAATGAACACTGGCCACAGCCCGTTTACTCCTGTATTTAAATCCCACAGGTTTCTGGCAAGTTTATTAGACACTGAAACCAACCTGACTTTAAAGAATGCCATATTCTGCTCTTTATTCTTTAGCGGCCAGATCCAAGTGCTCGGTTGTTAGTCACACCTCATGTCAGAGCCGAAGCTCAAAGAGGCATCGCGGAGGGAACATCGCTGTGTAGTAACTCTGGCTCTGCCAGTCAAGGGGAAAAAATTTCCCAGCATGCTTTGCAAACATTCATTCTCACGGGGTGGAGTAGTTTGGGGTAAGTGTGTAGCGTATCTGCGGACATGGTGCAGTCTATGGCAGTGTTGAGCTCAGGCTTTTAAAGTCTTGGGAGAGCTCTAGCTGGTTTGGCTCAGTGGATAGAGCGTCAGCCTGCGGACTGAAGGGTCCCGGCTTCGATTCCGGTCAAGGGCATATGCCCAGGTTGTGGGCTCGATCCCCAGTAGGCGGCATGCAGGAGGCAGCCAATCAATGATTCTCTCTCATCATTGATGTTTCTCTCTCTCTCTCTCCCTCTCCCTTCCTTTCTGAAATCAATAAAAAAATATTTTAAAAAAAAGTCTTTGGAGAGTTGAACTCAGACTTTTAAAGTCTCCATTATAGCTTTCCACAAAAGGGATGCCTCATCTCTCCAGCTTCTGGGAGGACCACGGTGCTGTTGGTGATGGTTTCTCTCTGTTGAGTCCTCCCATGTGACAGGCACAAATAAGTGACAGCTGTCATCTCTCTCATCTGCACAGTGATGCTAGGAGTGGCACTGTCATGAACCCATTCGCAAGAGGGGAAACAGGAACACAGAGAAGATGGTAACTTGCTCAGCCTCCTTCAGCTAATGGTGTCAGGAGCCATTTGTCATCTTCTGATTTGGGCCAGGACAGAATCGGAGCGGGCTGCCTTACAGAGGGTGGTGTGCTCGCCTTTGATTGGCACACGAGAAGCTGGCGTTCATGAGAAGTAGGAACCCAGGAAAGGTTTTCTTCCCTGGTGCAGCCCCGGCGTCTGAAGCACTGAGGCTGGTGTGTCTGTGCAGATTGGCCAGGGAAGGCCCTCAGCTCAGTGCCGCGTCTGTTCCCATCTCCATCATCTGTTGAACTTGTCTGGGGTGGGGGTGGGGAGCGGGTTCCGTAAGTGGGAGGAACACCCAGAGGTCATCCTCTCATCTCATGTCCTGACCTTCACGGGCCGTTGATTACATTTCTGTTTCTGTCACCCAGATCCAGAGGGCACTCCGTAGGGGCCGTTGCAGTGCCTCGGGAGGCTTTCAGGGTTCCTCTCCCCCAGCTCTTCCTCTTCTGCATGTTGGGGTCTGAACTACCTTCCTTTCGAAAAGGTTTTGTGACTAAACATTTGAAAGTCAGTGACGTTGAAGGGTGTTAGGAAACAGCACCTGCAAAGGAGCAGCTAAGAAAATGACTTCCCTGTAAGGACTGAGGCTGCTATGCCCTTTGCCGTTTTCTAGGTTTTACTCAGGAGAGACCAGGGGTGTGAGTAAAGCATCATAGGCTTCAATGCTCGAGGTTGTTAACAACATTGATCACCAAGAAGGAGCACAGATACTCTTCCCTTGATATAGATCTGCAGTTTTACATAGAGACGTATGTGTGTGTGTGTGTGTGTGTGTGTGTGTGTGTGTGTGTGTACATATTTCAGAAGAGTGGCAAGAAGCACCCATTTAAAATACCTTCGAAGAAACCTTAGTCTAAAGAAGGCTGGTGGCCGAAACCGGTTTGGCTCAGTGGATAGAGTGTCGGCCTGTGGACTGAAAGGTCCCAGGTTTGATTCCGGTCAAGGGCATGTACCTGGGTTGCGGGCACATCCCCAGTAGGAGATGTGCAGGAGGCAGCTGATCGATGTTTCTCTCTCGTCGATGTTTCTAACTCTCTATCTCTCTCCCTTCCTCTCTGTAAAAAATCAATAAAATATATATATAAAAAATAAAGAAGGCTGGTGCATTCACTGGCTTATTCCTCTGATTGTATGACCTCTGGGAACGTAGAGCACTTTTACTTACGTGAAATTACAAATTTTTATTCTCTTACGTTTCCAAACTATTGATCAACTATGTTCAGAAATATACTACAGAGCCAGTGTTTGGCAGAAACCCTATTTAAAAAAAAAAAAAAAAAGACTTTTCAATGTAGTACTAATAAAAATATTTAGTGTTTCATTCTAAACATTAATACAGCGAAGACTAGATTGACACGGGGTAGGATCTGAATTATCCTGGCTCTCTTACTTAGCAGCCCCAAAACTCACTGCACATCACGTGAGCGGACTCCTGTGCACATTTCACAGAATCTCACAGCACACCTCTGAGACAGTGGGTTACTTTGTAGTCGAGGAAGCGGAGGCTCAAAAGTGGGGTCACTTGCGAAGGACATAAGTTCACTGCTGTGCCATTTTATAGGGTACAGTTCAGTGGCATGTAGTCCCTGCACAGTGCTGTGCTGGCCCAGAACAGCTTCATCACCTCAAACGGAGACGCTTCCCCGTGTAAGCAGTCACTTCATTCCTCTTCCAGCCCCTGGCGACCCTAATCTCCTCTCCCTCCCCACTTGGTGAATTTTGTCTCTATGGATTTGATGATGATTTTTAATCCTCACCCAAGGATATTTTTTCCATTGATTTCTAGATCAAGTGGAAGGGGGAGACGAGGGGAGAGAGAGAGAGAGAGAGAGAGAGAGAAACATCAATGTGAGAGAGAGACATCGATTGGTTGCCTCCCACTCAAGCCCTGACTGGGCCTGGGGAACCCGCAACCAAAGCATGTGCCCTTGACCAGGAATTGAACCTGGGGCCCTTCGGGCTGAGGGCCGACGCCCTAACCACTGAGCCAAATCGGCCGGGGCTGCTTATTCTTGTTATTTCCCATAAATGGCATCATACAGCATGTGTCTGTCTGTGTCTGGCTTCTCAGCATCGTGCTCTCGAGGTTCATGCAGGATGTGGCGGGTGTCAGTGCTTCGTTCCTTTTCCTGGCCGAATAGTATTTTATTGGGTGGACGGACCACATTTTGTCTGTCCCTTTGCTTCAGGTGTTTCATGTCTCCTTTCTCCATTCAGCTTGTCACCTGTCCCTCCTGATGTCTGCGTGCTGCCTGTAGTTGCTACCACTAGTTTTCCATTCAGATCCCCCGTGGGCTGAGAAATCTCGTTTCCTTAAAAGCAGTTCTAAATCTTGCTGTGCGGTTTCACACTTACAACCCCAATTCTTCCTTCTTTTCGAACTTTAAAAAGAGTGTTCTGTTTTCTGCCTCTGTCTTCTACCTCCCCTCTTCCTCCCAGCCCCCTGCATGCTGCTCTTTGCACCGAGGTGACTCGTGCCTGAATCATCGCTTACCAAGTGGTGCCACCGATCTTGCCTTCCTTCCCTCTCTGAGCACCTAGCACCGCTACCTGCATTCTCAACGCTCCCCTCGTAACTTCTTCCGCTCCTTCCGCTCTTTTTTCTCTGCATCTCCTGCTGTACCTGGCATCTCCATTCACGGCTCTGCCGTGACATCCCTTCTCCCTCCCCACGTGGTGAACCTCTCATTGTCAGAAGCCCACCCTAAAGTTCGTCGCCTCTCAGCTCAGAGCTCTTGGCTCCTTCTTTGTGTTCCTGTCACAGTTGCCACTGTTGTCTTACGTGGAGCACTCAGAGCTCCATGTTGTGGTCGTTTCTACTCTTCTCTCCCCACACGGGCAGCGGGACAGCAGGAGTCGTGGAACCAGGCAGGAGTGAGATGAAATGAGTGTGTTGTGTTTAGCCAGGGCTTCATGTCCTGTCCTGTCTTTCAGGGGGTGTAGAGACATTGAGAGGTCCTTGGACTTCCTCACATGTCCAGTCCAAAGCTTTGTTGCAGATAATTGTGCTGCCAAAAGCCTGATCTTTTAAAAATAAATTTCTTTTTATTGATTTCAGGAGGAAGGGAGAGGGGGAGAGAGAGAGAGAAACATCAATGAGAGAGAATCATTGATCAGCTGCTTCCTGCACACCCCTACTGGGGATAGCGTGTGCAACCGGGCATGTGCCGTGACCAGGAATTGAACTGTGACCTCCTGGTTCATAGGTCGACACTCAAGCACTGAGCCACACTGGCCAGGCAAAAGCCCAATCTTTAACGGAGTGGGGCACTTGCTATGTGTGGACGGTGGAAGCACAGGGTGTGGATTCAGGGGGGTCACGTGGTCTCAGGAGGAATGGAGAGCATGCAGAGCATTCTTTCTTTTCATGGGGAATACTAAAAATAACCATCTTACTGTGAGTTCTGTTCCAATAGTCATCTTAGGCAGTCACTTCTGAAATGTCTGATTTATCATTCCCAACCCTCATACATCTTTTCCTTTGTAAGGATTGCAGATGCACTTGGCTGTCACTATGGGAACTGTGCTGATTTCCCCTGGTTATTTGCAGAATGAGGTTACAGTTTGCCTGTGACAACTGGATAGGATTAGAGACTCAATACCAGTATTTCATCCACAGTTCTTCTTGGTTATAGCATGTGGTGTATATAAAAAACATTACACGGGGTTATCATCTAAACTGAGTCACGAATGGGCTCTGGCCAGGCAGCTCAGCTGGTTAGAATGTCATCCCAATATGCCGAGGTTGCAGGTTCAAACCCCAGTCAAGGCACATAAAAGAATCAACCAATGAATGCATCAGTAAGATCGATGTTTCTGTCTCTCTCTTCCCCTCTCTGTCTCTCTCTCTCTCTTTCAAATTAATAAATAAGAATTTAAAAATAAATAAATAAGTTGATACATTAGTGATTGCCTGCCTCTTAAACAAACCTGAATTACCAAACATGAATGCTTGGGAAGGGAATTCTATTTTTAGTTTGCCATGTTTTATTTTGGAGAAATGGTGATCATTAACCATCACAATTTTCATGTGGGCTCAGGGACTTCTGGGCAAGTGGGGCTGAGTGAAGTTGGACCACAGAATCTCTGTCTTTTTTTTTAAATATAACTTTTAAATTAATTTTTATTGATTTCAGAGAGGAAGGGAGAAGGAGAGAGACCTAGAAACATCAGTGATGAGAGAGAATCATTGACTGGGTGCCTCTTGCACACCCCCTACTGGGGATCGAGCCTGAAACCTGGGCATGTGCCCTGACCAGGAATGGAACCCTGACAACCTGATTCATAGGTTGACGCTCAACCACTGACCCATACTGGCTGGGATCTTCACTCTTCTTTACACCAGAGGGTTCCCTCTGTCTTTCTTTCTGTTTTTTGACTTGATTCTTTAGAAACCTTTGTATTTTATAGGCGAGAAACGAAGTTTTGAGATAGAGCAAGCATAAAACAGGCCCACAGAGAGCAGATGACCTGTTCCTGCTCTCCCTGAGTCGGTGACATTCAGCCTCTGTTGTTTCAGGAAACGATCCAGAATGTTCATGACATTCTCACTCATCCGTTAACATTTATTGAATGTCTGAGGCAGTGATGGCGAACCTTTTGAGCTCGTCGTGTCAGCATTTTGAAAAACCCTAACTTAACTCTGATGCCGTGTCACATATAGAAATTTTTTGATATTTGCAACCATAGTAAAGCAAAGACTTATATTTTTGATATTTATTTTATATATTTAAATGCCATTTAACAAAGAAAAATCAACCAAAAAAATGGAGTTCGCGTGTCACCTCTGACACGTGTGTCATAGGTTCGCCATCACTGGTCTAAGGTTTATGCCCCTTTACTGTTCAGATGTTGTTTAATACTTTGTTTTGTTTTGTAAATCCTCACTCGAGGATGTTTTTTTTCCATCAATTTTCTTTGAGTGAGTGGAAGGGAAGGAGGGAGAGGGAAAGAGAGAGAAACATTGATGAGAAAGAGACACTCAATTGGTTGCCTGTCGCATGTACTCCAACCCGGGCAGGGATCCTGCAACCCAGGTATGTGCCCTTGACCAGGAATTGAACTCTCGAACCCTTGGTCTGTGGGCAGCCGACACTCTAACCACTGAGCAAAACCAGCTGTTGATTAACAGTTTTAATTCTCGAGTCCGTGAGGAAAGGGAGTCAGTCAGGTCATACATGGTTTATAAACAAATAGCTGTATATTCTGTGATATGGTGCCAGCTGCTCTCACTGCCTGGGGCCTGGGAATGGAACCCGGGGCATGAGAACTAGGCCTCCCTGCCGGCTCGTTAGGAACTGAACTTCCATGTATGTGCTTTTTTCCAGGTGGAAGAGGAGAGATCTGTGCTCAACAATCAGTTGTTAGAAATGAAAAAGAGGTAGGTCTTCTTTTTCTGTTTATCATTGGCATGTGTGTGAGTGTGCGAGTTTAACAAGGAAAACGTTAGAAGGTGATGTGTGCGGTGATGTATAGAAAGTGTGCGACCTTCTCATTCAGAAAATTGCATCCTGATAGCTCAGTACTCACCATTGACAAATGATGAAAACTCATTTGCCAAAGTCTCAGCCTTCATTCCTAAAACAAAGAACAGCTGCAGTTGAAGTCACGTTCAGTTGCATTTGTTTGGAAGTTTTCTAAAAGCAGATTGTCTCGTATGATACTGCTGCTCCCTCCTAGTTTCAGTAACTAGAAAATGCTATCACTTTACAGGGAGTAATTGATCGGCCTATAAACACTGATTTCCATGATGTAAAAATTTTAATTTTTCAATAATAACGGGTAACATAATTATAAATGTTTCCATTTATTTTCAGAAAAAAGAGCTTTGTCATTTTATTCATGATAATCACACAGTATTCAAGTGAAAGCCTTCCAGTCCTTTTGAGTAAGGATACACAGGCCCACAGAAATAGTCATTTAGAAGCTTAGTGCTTTTATGCATCCTGACAGCCTATCTGCTCTTTTAAAATGTGCAGTTTGTGTCTAGAGAAATTAAAAAAAAAAAGTGAAATAAAGTAGAAAAACAAGAATTCTCCATGCTCTTGCAAAGTATTCTCTTACTTGTCAGGGCCGAGGGGCTCCCCTGCCCAGGCAGCTGCCCATGGGTGCTATTTACACAGCAGCGCCCCTCCTGCCCGCTCGGCAAACCTGCTGAGGGATTGAGAGCTGCACTTCGCCCACAAGATATCTGAGTTCCATAAGCTACATCCTAAAGGGTGTTGGGCCTTGGTCCAGGGGTGCCATTCGTCCTTTCCCTCTCTGATTAGATTCATTCTCTGTTAAAGTTTCACACCAGAATGCACGTGTTTCGTCACCGCCACGCCCCTGGCTCCGCCCGGTGTCCTCCAGGTGACCATGCGTGAGCGTGGTGACCAGGCTGACCTGCCTTAGCCCAGCTTCCGCGTGCAGGCACAGCCCCGCCCATGTGGGCCTCAGGTGTTGATTTTTACATCCATAAGGCTTTGTTTCTTTAAAAAGAACTTCACGGGGGAGATCTGTAAGACTCTCAACCGTAAAGATAAATTTTAAAAAAGCAGCAGCAGCAGCTCATGTCCGCAGTTACCCAGGCCGGGTGAAAGTTCACAGGGCTCTTCCTGTGACGTCCTGGCCAGCAGACAAATGAAAACGGGCTGATGTGAGCCCTGGCATGTCCCCTTGCATGGACGTAGCCGTTGGTAATTCTCAGGCCTGTAAGCCCAAAACAGCCCACTGAAGTATATGGTGAGGCGTGCGTTTAAAAACGATGAAACCTCAACAGCCAAGAGAAACTAAACACAAAAACAAAAAGGATGAAATGCCAGCCTGAAGAGTCAGGCACCTTGGCCAAGAACTCAGATGCAGGTGTAAGGCACAGATCCTCCGATTTTTATGCTGGTTCTTGTCTCGCTGTACACTTACTATTATTCATTTTTAAAAAGAAAGATGCTGTGCTTTGTCCGTCCTTACCACATGTCTTTCAAAATGTGACTGGGGCCCTAGCTGGTTTGGCTCAGTGGATAGAGTGTCGGCCTGTGGACTGAAGGGTCCTGGGTTCAATTCTGATCAAGGGCACATGCCTGGGTTGCGGGCTTGGTCCCCAGTAGGGGGCGTGCAGGAGGCAGCCAATCAGTGATTCTCTCTCATCATTGATGTTTCCATCTCTCTCTCCCTTCCTCTCTGAAATCAATAAAAAATATATTTTTAAAAAAATGTGATTGGGCGTTGACTTTTTTCATGGTTTCAAAAGGTGGAACATCCCTATCTTCCTATTTCACCATCTCTGCTCCTGTTTTCGGTGCTGGATATGTTTAGGAGAAAGTCTCTTAAAAGTCACTCTTGTTATGCAGATAAAAATGATAATTTTTCTGGGAGTGAAAAAAATTTTAAATCTATGTTTTCATATTTACAACTATTTTTTTAAAATATATTTTTTATTGATTTCAGTGAGGAAGAGAAAGGGGGAGAGAGAAAACATCAATGATGAGAAAGAATCATTGATCGGCTGCTTCCTGCACACCCCCTACTGGGGATCTAGCTCACAACCCAGGCATGTGCCCTGACCAGAAATTGAACTGTGACCTCTGGTTCATAGGTAGAGGCTCAACCACTGAGCCATACCGGCCAGGCTACACCTTTTTTCCCTCTCTCTCTCTTTTTTTTTTTTTTGTTAAATTGTTTATTAACCCTTATGGAAAGTTATGTCTGTTTCAGAAATCTGAAAGCAAGTATATATTTGAGCTAATAATTTGAACTCCTAAACACCTCCTAAAGTCAGTTTGATAAAGGATTTGTATATAGGTCTATGTGTATCATAGTTAAGTAAATTTAGCATAGAGTACTAAAAAGAATTTGATCTGCTCTTACTTTAAAAGTCTAAAAAGTACTTAAATCATAAAGTTATTTGAGTTGTAGCTGTTGAAACAAAAATAGAGATCTTAGTCGACAGTTTAATTTGGAAGTGACCATTGAATAGACATAAGCAGGCATAGACTTGCCTTCATTACACTGAAGTCATTGTATTGAAGTGCAGTACTTACTCCTGACTGTAGGATGAAGCTGCTTTTCGTGAAGAAATTAGTAACAAAAAGGGGACATCTGTAATACTTTCAATAATAAAGATAAATTTTTAAAAAAGAAAGTAGTAACATCCTTCTGTATTGCCACAGTTTTTTGGTATCTAAACATTGAATTGCAAGCAATATGTAGTCAAGATTTTCCTCTTAAGAATGTAATCATTGCCCAGCCAGCGTGGCTCAGTGGTTGAGCGTCAACCTATAAACCAGGAGGTCATGGTTCAATTCTCAGTCAGGGAACATGCCCAGGTTGTGGGCTTCATGCCCAGGTTGTGGGCTTCATCCCCAGTGTGGGGGAGGGGGCGGTGTGTAGGAGGCAGCTGATCAATGATTCTCATCATTGATGTTTCTCCCTCTACCCTTCCTCTCTGAAATCAATAAAAATATATATAAATATCTTTTAAAAATGTAATTATTTCTTTGGAAAACTGGTTTCCACGTTAGGCAGACCTCCTTCAAAACAGGTTCCAAGATGTCTGAGAGAGATGGCAGAGCCGAACTTGACTTGCCGTAACTGACCGAGTGGAGAGGTGGGTCTTCTGACCCCTGAGGTCTGCAAGCAGATGGGAGAACTTGTTTGGCTTCCCTCCCTCCCTCCCTCCAGGCTTTTTGATGTCAAAGAAGGGACTTGAGAGCCAAAATCTTAGACGTGGACTTGTTGGAGGCAGAATTAATTCTGTTAGTGTAAATGACAGATTGCCGTCAGGGCTGGAAACCGGTAGACAGTTCCCTCGACAAATTCTGCAGAGTCCTGTGCTGCTCACTGTGGGTGGCTGGCTGACTGACTGTCTCCGAGCTGTCGCTGCTTACAATGCTCACTTCACTCCTCTCTTTTCCCTTCCTACTCTTGCTTCCTTTGCTATATCTGTGTGTCTTTCATGGTAAGACTAAAGAAAGTCTATCCACATTATAATAAATAAATTTCATATATTTTTAGTAAACCAAATGGTCGTATATATATTTTTGGCTGCCTTTGTCCCTCTGTGTCTTGCTTTTGTTTTGTAAAATATTCTCAGCAGTATACGCACACACACTCACACACACATTATCTTTTTTTTTTAAAGCAAAGAATTGCAGTGCAAACTTTTCCTGACTGATTTGCATTTCTCTTCATGTTTCTAATATTTGGTTCTTACTATCTTGCATTTTTAAAGCTTGCCCAATTACACGTTAAGGTATTTGCTTTACTGCTAGAGTTTATTTCTTGTGCAAGTAGTAAGGAAAGAATCTGGCTAGTATGTTCCCTTGGAGGAAAGATTTCGGGCCCCCCCGGCCCTTCCTTCGTATTCTGCTTATCTTCCCTATTTGACATTTGAGGAACACCAAGTCATCCCAGTCAGCATGGCTTCAGGGAACATGGGCCCGCCTGCCGGTGTGATTTGTGACGCAGAGGTCAGTGATGCTGGCTAAATGGTTTAACTCGGCCTCTCTTGGTCTGTACAGTGGGACTGGGGCTTAGAAATAGTGAAGGAAGCCAGCAGTGAGGATCTGCCCCAGAGATGAGCTGCTAACAGCTGTTTGTCCTGCCATTTGTCACAAGTTTGGTCCCTTCCTCAGCCATGCATCTTTTGATAACTGTACAAGGAGCGAGCGTTCTGCTTGCCCTCTCCTAAGGCAGCCTTGCGCAGAGGCTGTGTGTATGTGAGGGTGAGCAGATCAAGATACCGTGCCTTCCTCCTCCCGCCGGCTGGTGGGCCCCAACACCAAGAATCGGTGACGTCTTTGCTAACTAGAGTTCCTATGATGGAAGAATCCAAGTCTGCTCAGTAATCCCCAAATGCTCTTTTTTTTTTTTTCCCCCCAGTAAAAACATTTCAAATGATGTTCAGATTTGAGTTGGTTTTCTAACAAGCGACGCTCTGGAAATAGGTGTTACTATAGAGTAAACCACCAAGTCAGTTTGCTAGAGGCTTAAGGAGTCTGAGCTTTATTGAATCTTTGGATCGCCTCAGACACTTACTTTCCAGGGGGAAGGAGGGTTCGTACGTTCCTTCCGTTAAAATCGTTGTTTTGTTTTAATCCGAGCAAGATCCTATTTCCGAGCAAGGTGCCACTCAGTAATTCAGCGTCACTGCTGCTCGCCCCATTTCAGTGTACAGATAGTGCTCGGATATTGAATTCCAGGAGTGTTTGTAAGTCTCAAATTCTTTTCTTACTACTTATCATTCCGGGGTATGAGTGTCAGCCACACAATGAGATAAATACACTTAATATTTTATCTTTGTGTAGAATCTACCATAAATCATGAGAATTCTGTAATTCGTGTGCCGGATATCTTGGGTCTCACTAACCAGACATGTACATTCTTCCATTTCTAACCTGGGCCTCAGTTTTCAGTCCTTCCCGTTGGCTTGTTTCCTAAGTTATGAGTTCTCACTGAGGATTAGCTCCATGAGTGACGTGTCCACCGGCCTGAGGGCTAGCTTGGAAAAATTCTCTCCGGTTTTGTCTTTTTCCAAACTATTATTGTGATTCCAGGTCTTTTTCCTCATTTCACACTGCATATAATTAAAAAAAAAATTTTTTTTAATTTTTAAAACTAGAGTTTCACAGAAGAGTTGCCAGGGTCGTTCTGAGTACTCCCACGTGTGCCCCACCCCCACCCCCCCACCCGGTCTGGTCCCTTCACGTGGACATGGTCCATCCCCTGGTACATTGACCAAAACCTAGAAAGTGACATGCACACTCTCTCAGCTAGACCCCTGACCTTACTCAGATCCCCCAGCTTTTCCACGAACGTCCTTTTTCTCCTCCAGGGTCCAACCTACACATCACACTGCATTCAGTTGTCACCAAGGAGTTAGTTTCTCCCAATCTGTGACCGTGCTCAGTCTGACCTCCTCCCTGGTGACTATGACCATGGCACTCTCGAATGCATGTAAATTCTCAACAAAAATCTAAATGTGCACACACACACACACATAGTAGCCGGCCCTTCCGGGTTGTGTCTATCGTGTCTTCCCTCCTGGTCTTCCCTTCATCGTTCCCTTTCTTTTCGCACACCCTCCACGACAGGTGTTTCCCTTACTTCCCAGGCCTGGTCCCCCCTCCGCTGATGACCACAGCCGAGTCAGGCTGAGGACAGAAACCCAGTGCTGGCCCTTCCTCCCGATGTCGCCAACGCGTGCATTCCCTCCCCGGAGCTCCACTTTAACATGTCGCGCTGGCCTTTATGTAATTACCGGTCATTTCTACGAGCAAGTTAATGTCCTCTTCAGGTGCCACGGAGGCAGAGGAAGACTCCTGCAGCCCGAATAGTAGTGGTACTATTTGCTACTGTTTGGCCCATTAGATCTCGAAAACTCATTCCTGGAACTTGCTAAAAGTTACTGAAATTAGTGAGAACCAACCGATACTTCCAGCATAAAACTGCGCTGCATGACATTGTATAATCGCTTTGCATGTGTGTATTCTAATTGTTGGTATTGCTTGGTAGTAGTTTATTCAAGAAATAATCGAATTCAGCTGGGGTTCGATATTTAGAAGAATTCTTTGGGGGTGCAACCGTCTTATTTTTTTGTTTTTGTTTTTATAATCGTAAGTCTTCCAAAGTTACTGTTTTCTTTAAACTCAAATGGATACAATGATAGGCAGATTCAAGCATGTCTGTGCATAGTGAGCTTTTTCTCCCCGCACAGTAAGTAAAATTTGGAAGCAAAATAGCCTTCTCCCTCTACAAGCCCCCTGGGATGCACTTTTTCTTTACATGAACTCGGGCAAATTGTGTGTTTGTTCTAGGACAGTCATACACTGATCACTCTCTCGGCTGATTTCTGGAATTTTTAACTCTTTGGTCTTTTAGAGAATCCCAGTTGATAAAAGACGCAGATGAGGAAAAAGCCTCCTTGCAGAAGTCCATCAGCATTACTAGTGCCTTACTCACAGAGAAGGATGCCGAGCTGGAGAAGCTGAGGAACGAGGTAGAGTACCTTCCCGGGCGAACGTTCACGCCGCCCCGTTCTGTTCCCACACCTAAGCCGCGCCGCTGTGTTGCAGGTCACGGTGCTCAGGGGAGAAAACGCCTCTGCCAAGTCCTTGCATTCAGTTGTCCAGTCTCTTGAGTCTGACAAGGTGAAGCTCGAGCTCAAGGTAAAGAACTTGGAGCTTCAACTCAAGGAAAACAAGAGGCAGCTCAGCAGCTCCTCAGGTAAAATGATGACCGTGGTGCCTCTCCCCCACCCCACTGCTCCCTGCAAAGGAGCCGTTTCTGGGCAAGATGCGCTGCTCCCCGACGTGGCCCTGTCCTCCTTGGCTCTCCCACCCGTTAGTCAGATGAGGGCTCGGCATCACCCCGGCCCCATGCGAAGGGGCGTGCCTGGTGTCCCCACTGCTGGGCCTTCCCCCCTGGTCTTGAGTGTGGGTAGAAGCATAAGCTGGTAGATGCTGGCTGCCATCCCAGTACAGCCGTGGGTTCTGAAGGTACACAGTGAGGGAGGGCAGAGATGGTCCCTCACTCCTCTAAATTCAGGTGGATGTGATGGCCATTCTTGCCCAGCAGTGAGCCAGCCCAAGAGAGAACACAGGAGGAGTGGGCCAGCGCCGGCGCAGGTCCCTCAGGGGTCCGGCTATGGGACAGGAACTCATGAGTGTGTACTGGGAGGCGCACCTGGGAATTCCACAGAGAATGATTTTCAATGCAAACACAAGGAAAAAAGATTGTGGTTTTTAAACATCCCCCTCCATTTTTTTTTTTTTTTTTTTTTTATCTATAAGGTAATACTGATACTCAGGCGGAAGAGGACGAAAGAGCCCAGGAGAGTCAGGTACTGCTCCTTCCTTCCTTTAGTTTGCTTACCTGCTGTTTTAAACAAGCACTTAATCTTTTGAACAGGTAGTGCATTCATATGATCTAAACGTTAAGCAATATTAAAAATATGTTCAGCAACACATCTCCCCCCAAACCTTTCTCTCTGGTCAGTTCCCAGCTCTCCAATCAGGTAACCACCCAATTGGTGTCTTTTTAAAAAAGTCTTTTCAGGGATTTAAAAAAATGTAAATATAAGCCAAGACTAATACAGTCTTTTTCCTTTCCCTTTTAACGTACATGGTGGCGTATTACATAAACTGATCTGTACTTCCTTTCTTTCTTCTTTTTCTTTCTTTCTTTTTTTTTTTTTGGCAGAACCTTTTCCCAAAAAGCTGAGCCTAGCCCCTAAGCAATACCTATTCTCCCAGGAGGCCCAAGGAAGCCAGCCTCAGTGTGTCAGAGTGACTTCCACAGGCACCTCTCCCTCGAGTCAGCAGCCCTTTTTACCTCTGGTTCCCAGGCTGTGTATGCTCACTTAAGAGCCCTTTCCTGGAGGCAATTGTGTAGAGACCTGGGCTTCCCCATGACCCAGGTCAATTTGATTTTAACGGACCAGCCTGGAATACCCAGCCAGAGCCTAATAGCCCAATCTGGTCCCAAAGGGCTGACCCTAGTTCCGAAGAGCCAGCCTAGACCCTAAGACCCCAACCTAGTCCTGAATAGCCAAAGACAGTCCCAGAGGGCGGAGCCTAGCTCCAAAGAGCCAAAGCTCAGTCCCGAAGGGAAGGGAGGCGTCTAGCCCTGAAGAGCTGAGCCCAGACTAGAACAGCTGTAGCCAGTCCCGAAGAGCAGAACCTCACTCCGAAGAGCCTAGCCCAGCCTGGAAGAGCCCAGCCTCGCCCCTAAGCAATACCTACTCTTCCAGCAGGCCCAAGGGAGCCAGCCTCAGTGTCAGAGTGACTTCCACAGACTCCTCTCCCTGGAGAGTCAGGAGCCCCTTCAACCTCTGTACCTCCCTTTTATAGCTGTTTAGTGTTCCGTTATATGGATGAACTTAATGGAATTGGTTCTCTGTCCGTTGGCATGCCATTTGGGAGGTTTCTGATCTTCTAAGTGTATTGTAAACAATGCGGAAATGAATTGTCTTGGACATCTGCCATTTTTCAGATATACTAATATTTCTTTGGGGTAAATTTTAGAAGTAGAATTGCTCTGTCAAAAAGTTCCTGGCTCATCTCTACCTTACAAAGACAGGGTTCTCGAAAAATGTTTCCAGAATTAACAAAACGGCCTTAATTTTAAATGTGGGATTATATGGAAACAACGTATTCTCTATTTGGAAATATAATGAGACATAGACAATAAGCATCCATCTTCAGTTTTAATAATATATCTTGGGGTATATTTATCCTGCGCAAAAATCACAGGTACAAAAGCCATCTTTCATTTTTAAATAAAAGCTCAGGGAGTTTTGATTTGTCTGAAAGGATTCAGCGAACTACTAACTTACCCCAGGTAGCATTGTCTGCTTAGTGTGTATGTGTAATAAACATCTACTTCATTAACAGTGTTTTCTCTTTCTCCCCCTTTCCTTTCTGCTTCCATTTGTTTCGTCTGCTGCTGCCAACACTTTCTTCCAACCAGCAAATGGTTTGTTTTATGTTTCCTAATTTGCGAGCACGTGTGTGTGTGTGTGTGTGTGTGTGTGTGTGTGTGTGTGTTTCCCCACTGTAGTAAATCCGTGTTGTGCTGTTTTCTTCTTCCCGAAACAGAGCTCCTGATATGATAAAGTCTTAGAAAATGCAGTTTAAGAAGCGAGGATAGATTCAGTGGGTCTGCCTCCAGTGTTGGCAGGGATGTTCTCCAGAGAACCACAAAGCTACTGGTTGCCAGCTTCACTTCATAACATGCCCCAGCAAGAGAAAGAGGACAACTAGTTCTTTAAAAATTGAATTACCTGTGTATGTGTATACACTCACATTTTTAAAATTATAAAGTGAGATTTTTCTCATGAGCTATTTAGAATATATGAGAGCTTTTTATTATTTGTAGAAGAGGGAAGAAACTTTTTGTTTTTCAAGGAAAGTGCCCTTGGTTTGAAAGCAAATGTTAGGACAAGGGTGCTTCCTCCTGCTGGTCATCTCGTTATTCCACTGCCCAGTGAATCCTGGCACAGTTGCTTTTCCCAATTGGGGTACCTGAGCGCCACCCTGTTCCTGAGCATGTGCCAAAGGGTCTCCTCAGTGGAAATGGAGCTTGAGCCTTCTCTTTAAAACTTCTCCATTTTTCTCTGAAGTCTCATTTACCATCACCCCACCACAACCCATCAGGGAGCCTGGTGTGAGGAGGATGTCCCTGTACTTTTTCAAAAGACGATATGTTGTGGATTGGTTCTACAGTGCCATGAGACAACTCTCTTGTTATGCTTTTTGTGAAGTGTGTGTGTGTGTGTGTGTGTGTGTGTGTGTGTGTGTATCAGTATATAAAGCATAGGTTCAGTAACAGCCACCTTTGGCCCCTCTGTGATGTCCAGCACACTCACAGCCATGACATGAGTCTACGTCCGTGACTTCTTGATAGGCAGTCCACCGGACACATTTCAGACATTTTATACATGTCTCTTTTCTTTTCCCTGAACAAATTAGATTGACTTCCTAAATTCAGTAATAGTGGACCTTCAGAGGAAGAATCAAGACCTTAAGCTGAAGGTGGAAATGATGTCAGAAGCGGCCCTTAATGGGAATGGCGATGACCTAAACAATTATGACAGGTATTTCATATGAGACAATACTGTTCAGTTCCATCTAAATAAACTGTGCTTTTAAAGTTAGGTTCTTCAGTGGGTTGGAGAGACAGTTGCCCTGTGGCTGATTGGCCATAAATCCATCCCCATAACTCTGGCAAGACAGTGATACATATACACTATAAATGGCTTTAATGTAAACATTTTATTTATTTACTTTTTAAATTTTTAAAAATATATTTTTATTGATTTTTAGAGAGAGAGGAAGGGAGAGGGATAGAGAGATAGAAACACAGGAAAAAAAATAACATGGGAGATTAAATATGGTGGTGGAGTAAGTAGATGCTGCAAGGACACGCTCCCAGGACCAATCTGGAATTGCAACTAAAATACAGAAAAACTTCCTGAATAATCAATGGGAGACTCACTGGAAAGAACCATGATAACTAAGGACGGAAAGTAGAGACAGCATAGAGACTGGTAGGAGGGGCTGAGGCACGAAAGGGTTGGCCGGGCTTCCATAGACAGGGATTGGAGTTCCTGAGAGATATGTCAGCTGTGGGGGTTGCCACTGAGAAATCTGGGGTCTAATCCACAAGCTGGGCCCCCCAGCAGAGAGCACCAGAACTGAGAAAGGTACCCACATCTGGGTGTGAAAAGCAATGGGGTTGCTGTCTGACAGGGAGAGATGGCTGGAAATTCAGGCACCCTCTTAAAGAGCCAATGCACAAAATTCCCTCTGAAGCTACTCACCTTGTGCTCTGGCAGAGGGAGGGCAGAATGAACTGGAGCTGTATGAGCAGAAGCCAAGATCAGGGTCTCAGGTTAGAGCTCAGAAGGCAGACACCTGGTTTCCTGTCCTGAGTCATTCCCTCATGCTGCGGAGGTCATCTTTCTCATGCAGACATTTTCTATACAGTCAGCTTTGCCTGGGGGGTACACACCTTGCCCACATTGCAGAGTTTCTGAGGTCCAATAAGAAACTGAGAATAACAATTAGCCTCCAGGCAGAAGCAGTTGCCCCACCCTGTTGAAAAAAACTCACACCACACCTGAGGATTATTGCCTAAGGGCAATTTAAGACAGGATCCTATCAGTTTGTAAGCAGAGGCAGTCTCTGGAGGCTTTGAGTCTTTGCCTCATCTAATTAGACAGAAACAGTGTTTGTCACTGTCATGTACTAGGGATTGAGAGGCATAGAAGACCTACCTAACACATAGTCACAAATCCAAACAGGCAGCCAAAATGAGGAGTCAAAGAAACAACCCCCAAATGAAAGAACAAGAGAATTCTCCAAAAGAGTTAAATGAAATGGAGATAAGAAATTTATCTGATATAGAGTTCAGAATAATGACGTTAAAGATGCTCAATAGCATGAGAAAAGATGTAGTAAATATGAAGACAGAAATAAAGAACACAATTGGAAGGAATACACAGAAGATGAGGGGAAAAAGAGGATCTAATCAGTGAATTAGAAGACAGGGTTAAAAAAAATCACTCAGAGAACCAAAAAGAAAAAACAAGAGGACAACTTAAAGCTGTGAGACAACGTGGAATGTAACAATATTCAAATAGTAGGTGTGCCAGAAGAGGTAGCAAGGGAGAGAGGGATAGAGAATGTGTTTGAAGAAATAAATGGTGTTGGGAAAATTGGACAGATACATGCAAAAAAAATGAAACTAGACCACTAACTTATACCATACACATAAAATAAACTCAAAATGGATAAAAGGCTTAAACATAAGACGGGAAACCATAAAAATCTTAGAGGAGCCTGTGGAGGCAGCAAAATCTCAGACATATGCCAAAGCAATATCTTCACCAATACAGCTCCTAGGGCAATGGAAACTAAAAAAAATAAATGGGACTACATAAAAATAAAAAGCTTCTGCACAGAAAAGAAACCACAAAACAAGAAGAAAGCCCACTGCATGGGAGAACATATTTGGCAATGATACATCTGATAAAGGGTTTATATCCAAAACATGTAAGGAACTCATACAACTTAACAAAAGGAAAACAATCCAATTAAAAAATGGGTAAAGGACCTAAATAGATGACATACAGATGACCAAGAGACATGTGAAAAAATGCTCAAAGTCATTGATCATCAGAGAGATGCAAATTAAAATGCCAATGAGGTATCACCTCATACCTGTCAGAATGGCTACCATCAACAGATCAACAAATGACAAGTGTTGGCGAGGATGTGGATAAAAGGGAACCCTAGTACATTGCTGGTGGGAATGCAGACTGATGCAGCCATTATGGAAAACAGTATGGCTTTTCCTCAAAAAATTAGATATGGAACTTCCATTTGACCCACTTCTAGGAATATATCCTAAGAAACCCGAAACACCAATCAAAGAATGTATTCAACCCTATGTTCATGGCAGCATACTTTACAATAGCAGAGATCTGGAAACAGCCCAAGTGCCCATCAGTAGATGAGTAGATAAAAAAGCTGTGGTACATTTACACCACGGAATACTATGCAGCAGTAAAAAAGAAGAATCTCTTACCCTTTGAGACAGCATGGAGGGACCTGGAGAACATCATGCTAAGTGAAATAAGTCAGAGAGAAACAAGAATCACATGATCTCACTCATGTGGAATCTAATTAACAGAATAAACTGATGAAAAGAGTGGATCCAGAGTCATGGAAGCATGGAACAGAGTGCAGAATCTCAGAGGGAAGGCAAGGGGTGGGAAGGTGGGAGGAGGGGGAAAGGTGAGTGGGAGGTAATCAACCAAGGACCTTGTATGTATATATGCATGGTCCATGGACACAGACAATGGGGGGGTGAGGGGCAGGGGTGGGGGTGGCCTGAGGGGATCAATGGGGGGAAAAGGGGACATATGTAATATTTTCAACAATAAAGAATTATTAAAGAAAAAGAAACATTGATGAGAGAAACAACATCAGTTGGCTGCCTCCTGCACATCCCCCTACTGGGGATGGAGCTGGAAACCCAGGCATGTGCCCTGATCCAGAATTGAACCAGTGGCTTCCTGGTTCATGGGAGTCGACCCCCACCTACTGAGCCACACCAGCAGGGCTGATGTGAACATTTTATTTTATTTTTTTAAGTATATTTTTATTGGTTTCAGAAAGGGAGAGGGGAAGAGAGAAACATCAATGATGAGAGAGAACCATTGATTGGCTGCCTCCTGACACACCACATTGGGGGGTGAGCCCACAACCAGGGCATGTCCTAACTGGGAATGGAACCATGACCTCCTGGTTCCTAGGACAACACTCACCCACTGAGCCACACCAGCCAGCCTGATGTGAGCATTTTAAATAGGGATTGCAGTAGTTACACTTGAGGTTTACAGACTTGGCCATAACTCTTGCTTGTTTTTTATCCTTTACAAGTGGTGGAAATGAGTTTCTGTTTTTCATTATTAAGTCTATTGGGGTGACATTGGTTAATATGTGAGTTTCTGATCGTACACATGAACCTTTACAGTGACGACCAGGAGAAACAGTCCAAGAAGAAACCTCGCCTCTTCTGTGACATATGTGACTGCTTCGATCTCCACGACACAGAGGACTGTCCCACCCAGGCGCAAATGTCGGAGGACCCCCCTCACTCCACACACCACGGCAGTCGGAGCGAGGAGCGCCCGTACTGTGAGATCTGTGAGATGTTTGGGCACTGGGCAACCAACTGCAACGACGACGAGACCTTCTGACGAAGCCTCACATCCAGGACTGGGCTTTCTCGGACGCACCAGCATCTGGGCAACCGAACACCAGCATTACGTGTGCAGACTTCCGGACAACTCACGTTATTTTTGACCCCCACCAACAAATCTAAGAAAATATTTTGATCTTCAACAAATCGCCCTTTTAGTTTCCCCGTATACATTAGAATAATAAATACTTAGGAGGTGAGTTTTCACCTCTTATTTTTGGCGTCTTGATTTTTAAGTTCCAACAGGACGTTGCACCAGAGGTCGTTACATAGATTGTCCCGAGGGAAACCTCCAAGAACAATCCCTACCCTCCAGTACCTTATTTAAGTAACTTTAAATTATGCCATTCTCATATTTGCACTAAAATCTTCCCAGGCTGCGTTTTTGTATAGTGAGATGTTTGGTTAAGCTTTGACACTGGAATGAGTTGAAAAAAAATGTGCCATTTTGCATTTTCATCTACTCATGTAGAGCATTTTATTTTTAGTTGAAATATCTGAGATCTTTGCACTACCTGATGTCAGTAGTGCCTTTACTTCAGGCTTGGTAACACTTAGGTGTGATGTTAAATCATGAAACAGGTAAAGGGAGGGGGGAGCCCCCAAACTGCTGTGGGACGTTTTATAATCGATATGCTGCACCCACTTACTCTACTGTGGCGCTTTGTGTATTGGTTTTGCATAATTTCAGCTATATATTGTATGTATATATTTTTTAAAAATCTCTATTTTGGGAAAAAGGATTCACAATTGTGTCTTTCTTTTCAGATTTTTACCTTTATGAAAAAGAAAACACTTAGAATGTTTATCAGGATGTAATGGGCTAGGCCAGGAATAGCATCACACAACTTTGGAGCTATTTTTTATTTTTGTTTTCATTTTTTTTCTTTATCAGATCTAAATAAATACAATATTTTTCCTTCTCTAGCAGATATCCCCAGCAGTCGATTAATTAGATAATAAGCTGCTATACAACACTTACATTAACCAATCTACAATCTTTACAAGTTGTATTTACTGTCTTTTTAGATGAATGTATGATGAGAAATTCAATATTAATAATTTTGGATTTTCTTATCACAAAAAATTAAATGAAGGACCTCAGCCACCAGAAGTTTATCAACCAGTTTTATTAAACTATTTATCTTGTTTTGAATTGAATGTCTTCTAGAAGATGTAAAAAGTAATAAATGTATCTCCATGCTACATGTATAATAAGAACTTCTATAATTGTATATATGCCTTTGATGTATTTTCCCCTCAAAATTATTAACTGTATTTGACAAGTGAAAAACCTGTAATCGAAATTTCTGGTTATAAACATAATAGGAATTGTTTCACAAACAATATGTAAAGCAGTATTAAAATTTGATCAAAAAATGTTCTGTACCTACTTTATTTTAGTTAAAAAATACCATTCTTTTTTTAAAAAAATAATTTTTAAAAAAAATATATTTCTTTATTGATTTCAGAGAGGAAGGGAGAGGGAAAGAGATAGAAACATCAGTGATGAGAGAGAATCATTGATTGGCTGTCTCCTGCACATCCCCTACTGGGGATTGAGCCCGAAACCCAGGCATGTGCCCTTGACTGGAATTGAACCTGGGACCCTTCAGTCCACAGGCCGACGCTCTATCCACTGAGCCAAGTTGGCCAGGGCTAAAAAAATAATTATTGTTGAAAGTATTATATACTAGTATGTTCCCCTTCTTCCCCCATTGACCCCCTCCAGCTCGCCCCCACCTCCACCCTTCACCTTCCCATTGTCTGTGTCCTTGGGCCATGCATATAAAGTCCTTAGTTGATTACCTCCCACTCACTCATCCTCCTCCTCCCTCCCTGCTCTCCCCCTTACCTTCCCTCTCAGATTCCGCACTCTGTTCCATGCTTCCATGTTTCTGGATCCACTTTGTTCATCAGTTTATTTTGTTTGTTAGATTCCATATATGAGTGAGATCATGTGATTCTTGTCTTTCTCTGACTGATTTATTTCACTTAGCATGATGCTCTCCAGGTCCCTCCATGCTGTCTCAAAGGGTAAGAGAGTCTTCTTTCTTACTGCTGCACAGTATTCCATGGCATAAATGTACCACAGCTCATCTACTGATGAGCATTTGGGCTGTTTCCAGATCTCAGCTATTGTAAATTGTGCTGCTATGAACATAGGGGTGCATATATCCTTTCCGATTGGTGTTTTGGGTTTCTTAGGATATATTCCTAGAATTGAGATCACTGGGTCAAATGAAAGTTCCATATTTAATTTTTCTTTTTCTTTTTTTTAAACATATTTTATTGATTTTTCACAGAGAGGAAGGGAGAGGGATACAGAGCCAGAAACATCGAGAGAGAAACATTGATCAGCTGCCTCCTGCACACCTCCTACTGGGGATGTGCCCGCAACCAAGGTACATGCCCTTGGCCGGAATCGAACCTGGGACCTTTCAGTCCGCAGGCCGACGCTCTATCCTCTGAGCCAAACCGGTTAGGGCGCATATTTAATTTTTTGATGAAACGCCATACTGTTTTCCATAATAGTTACACACCAGTCTGCATTCCCACCAGCAGTGTACTAGGATTCCCTTTTCTCCACATGCTGGCCAGCACTTGTCATTTGTGGATTTGTTGTGGTAGCCATTCTGACAGGTGTGAGATGATACCTCATCGTTTTAATTTGCATCTCTCTGATGATCGGTGACTTTGAGCATTTTTCCATATGTCTCTTGGCCATCTGTATATCCACTTTGGTGAAGCATCTATTTTAAATAGATATAATAAAAGCATGATATGCTAATTAGACCGGACAGCTAAAGATCTGGATGTCCTTCCGGACGAAGCTGCGGCAGCAGGGGCCAAGGCAGAGGCGGTTAGGGGAAATCAGGCAGGCAGGCAAGTGATTAGGAGCCATCAGCAGGCAGGTGAGTGGTTAGGGGCAATGAGGCAGGCAGGCAGGTGAGCAGTTAGGAGCCAGCAGTCCTGGATTGCAAGAGAGTGCAGGCTGGGCTGAGGGACCCTCCCCCATCATGCACTAATTTCGTGCACTGGGTCTCTATGTGTGTGTGTGTGTGTATAGATATGTATATATATATATATAAATATAAATGATTTCAGGAGAGAGAAACATCAATGATGAGAGAGAATCATTGATTGGCTGCCTGCTGTATGCCCCCTACTGGTGATTGAGCCCACAACCTGGCATGTGCCCTTGATGGGAATCGAACCAAGGACCCTTCAGTCCACAGGCCAATGGTATCCACTGAGCCAAACCAGCTAGGGCTATATCTACTTTAACAAATGGTTATTCTTTTTGCCCAGTGGTACTAACTGATATTTTCAGTTTCATTTGTCATAATGGTTTTTCTTCAAATGAGCAAGCACTATAGATCCAAATAGCAATTTTTACTGCAGTCTTGCTGATAAACAGCTTTAAGAACTTGGTATATTCTTTTTAAAAATGTTTTTATTGATTTGAGAGAGAAAAACATCTATCCGAGGAAGAAACATCGATTGGTTGCCTCCCATAGGCACCCCAACGGTGCCTGAACCTGCTACCTGGGCATGTGCCCTTGATCAGGAAGTGAACCGGTGGCCCGGGGGTGCGCAGGGCTGGGAGGGCTGGCGCTCTGACCACTGCGCCACTGGCCAGGGCCTGATAAGCTTTTGTATGTGATTGACGTGCTCCTATGATTCCCACAACTGATGAGGTAATATGTGAATTTTACTGATGAAGCAAGTGCCGGGACCTGGATTCTACATCGGATAGTATTTCCTAAGAAAAAGTCTACTAAGAAGAGCCAAACAGACAAGTCCCTCAGGTTCCTTCGGACCCTGGCCATTTTTCTAAATTTTAGCCCACAAACCAAAAGAGCAAAGAGTTTAATCGCTCTGATTGAAAATATTCCCATTCACGTTTAGCTTCAAATTACCGTTTTACAGCGAGTACGCTCGCTGCTAAGATGAAAGTAGCGATTTTTAACACTTCCAGTGGTTCTCAACCTTCTGGCCCTTTAAATACAGTTCCTCATGTTGTGACCCAACCATAAAATTATTTTCGTTGCTACCTCATAACTGTCATGTTGCTACTGTGATGAATCGTCATGTAAATATCTGGTATGCAGGATGGTCTTAGGCGACCCCTGTGAAAGGGTCGTTCGACCGCCAAAGGGGTCGCGACCCACAGATTGAGAACCGCTGAACGGAACGCGCAGGAGCCAGTCTCCCCCTTTAAACTCAATTGTCAGCGCCCAGCGACTTCCAGGAGGAGACAGCGTTAGAGAAGAAACGGGCGGCGCTAGGGCCTGGAGGCGCCGCGGGGGCCCGCCGGCTGGGTTTCCAGGTTTGCGTGCCGACGCCAGCGTGGTCACGTGAACGCGCTGCCACGTGACTCCGCCTGCGGCCCGCGGAAGGGGCAGAGGGGACGCGCTTGGATGAGGAGAGAAAGGGGGGCGGCGGGGCAAGATGGCAGCGCACCTGTCCTACGGACGAGTGAACCTGAACGTGCTGCGCGAGGCGGTGCGTCGCGAGCTGCGCGAATTCCTGGACAAGTGCGCGGGAAGCAAGGTGAGGGGCGGGAGGTACCCGCGGCGCCCTGAAGCCCCGTCCGGCCTGGCCTCCTCAGGTCCGATCGCTCGGGCTCCCTTTGGCTGAGGTACCTGGAGCTTCCCCGGAGGCGAGCAGGCGGCGGGCCCCCGGGCAGACAGCCCGGACTCCGCGTGGCATCGCGCTGTTTTGTGGCAGCAGAGGCCGCCGCCGTGTTGTCTCGGCCCCTGTGACCAGCTTACGTCCGGTGTCCTGCAGACACCGCGCGGGTGGGGTGATGATGCCTCGCGTTACCAGGATCGTGGGTGTCGGAACGAATCAGACGTGGGCAAGTCCCTGGAGCACCGACGCCGGATCCCCCGCTGCGCGCGCGATGACGAGAGAGGTTGTCACTTGAGGTTTTCCCCGGACCGTCCTGTTAGCACCCAGTTCACGGTGGAAGCAGAAACTGTAGGTCAGGGACTTCCGACTGATACCATTACCGCTCCCCCGAGAACCTATCGGCTCCCCCCTCCCCCTGAGTACCTGGCGGTAAGACTCTGACCCGAAAAGGAGAATGGGGGGAACTCAGGGTCCCGTCTTAGGAAGAAGAGAAAGCCAAGCAGGAGAGTGGGTGCCAGCAGCCATGAGAGGAGCAAACGGGCTAAGTCCCGCATCCCCCGTTCGGGCTCAAGAAAGGATGCTCAGCCCGGAGTCAGGTCATGGATGCCAGTGCCCTGCTGTGAGATTGGACCACGTCGCCATTGGAAACTGGGTGAAGTGTAGGCGGGAGGATGCCTCTGGAGCACTTCTTACAACCGAATGTTCCCTACACTTGTCTCAATAAAAGCGTCAGTGACAAGGAAAAGAAACGATCCTGGAGTTCAGCAGTAGAAATGCTCCCAGGGGCCCGGAGCAGTGACCTGTGGGGCCGTGAAGGCCTAAGGTGGAGTTCTGACTCCCTTATGTTACACTGGAGGCCCGGTGCACAAATTCGTGCAGCGGGCTTGGCCCTGCTGGCCCTGGCGACCCCCCTCGGCCACTCATTCTGAAAGATCAATCCACCATCCGGTCTAATTACCATATTAGCTCTTTATTATATAGGATGCAAGGTCACGTGGCCTTGAGCATGTTACTTAAATTTTCTGAGCCTTTTCAACTCTTCTTCTGCTAAAATAAGATTTGTAATACCTACATCAGAGGTTTTAATTTTTATCTGATTGGATTATGAGATATATATATATATAAATATATATAAAAATATATATATATTAAATTTATAAATATTATATATTATATATATTATATATAATATATATAACATATAAATAATATAATATATTATAAATATTATAATATATATTATAAATATTATAATATATAATATTATAAATATTATATATAAATATATATTAAATATATATATTAAATATATATAAAAAAATTTATATATATATATATATATATATATATATATATATATATAAAATACTAGGTTGAACTGTTGCCACTGGCAGTTTTCATATGGTTTAATCCAGTAATAGCACGACACAGGTACACAGCACATTGCAGCTCCTTTCTGTTGAGGACAGTGATGAAGTCTTAACTTTCCCGTGACCACTAGTACCATCCCTTGCCTTGCTGTTTTTCTTTAGACCTGCAGGTTATGGATGTGATCAGAGTCTGTTGAAATTTTGGCTCGGTGGATAGAGCATTGGCCTGTGGACTGAAGGGTCCCGGGTTCGATTCTGGGCAAGGGTATATTATGCCTGGGTTGTGGGCTCCATCCCCAGTAGGGGTTGTGCAGGAGGCAACCCATCAGTGATTCTCATCATTGATGCTTCTGTCTCTCTCCCTCTCCTATCTTCTCTGAAATCAATAAAAATACTTAAATTTTTTTTTTTAATTCAGAGTTTGAAGCAGAGAGTCCTACTATGTATGACTGCTATTTTCTGTTGATATTGTTGACATTCCTGATAGTAACCGTAATAAGAGAATGTTTCTTCCTCTTATAGGCAATAGTTTGGGATGAGTACCTCACAGGACCATTTGGCCTGATTGCACAGTATTCCCTACTGAAGGTAAGTGAGCTATTCTGGCTTTGTTGAGGGATTAATAATTATGCATTTTTGAAATAAGAATGGAATTTCACATTTCCTCCTGAACAGTTAGCTTATAAAGCTGTTTGGTCTTTGTAAACACAGATACTAATTCTTGGCTAACATTTTGTATACAGTGATCCTTTGGCCTGAGATGCTAAACTGATTCTAATTCTAGGGAAATTACTAACATTGTATTATATGACCATTACCTGGTGTCTCTGATAGGTAATCAGGTGAGAGTCATTTGAATTCAGATACAATAACAGTGACTTCATCCTGAAACTTGGTGCTTTATACATCTGGCTTTGGGGAATCTAAATTTGGATAATTAAGTACTAAGAGCATTTGGCTATGAGGGTAGGATGTCTGAGTCTGGATATGACAGGTAAAACAGGTTTTTTGTTAAACTTTTGTGTATGTTTTCCTAGGAACATGAAGTGGAAAAAATGTTCACCCTTAAAGGAAGTCGTTTGCCTGCAGCCGATGTCAAGAATATTATTTTTTTTGTCAGACCCAGGCTAGAATTGATGGATATAATTGCTGAAAATGTGCTCAGGTATTTCTCAGAGCTTGTGTTTGGTCCTCCAGGTGGTCTTAATGTACTGAGCTCCTCATTGCAAGCCCACTCTCTTGCCTGTGCATTGGAAGGTGGTCTTTTGAAAACGGGGCAGGCATGAAAGGATGGGGGGGATGGGACACTTGTGAAGTTGTTCAAACAGTTTTTGGGGCAGGGTGTCATCGCATAACCCCATTCTTTTATAGGACAGCTAAATATTTGGAGCTGCATTAGTATAAGGGACCCTAATTAAAAAGAACAAAAGAAAAACCTCTAATGGTTGTTTTTCAGTATACTAAATATAATGTTCCTGAATCTCATAAGCAGAATAAGTAAGAGCTGATTAAAATTTAATACAACATCGCTTTATAGAGGACGTTGTCCCAGCCCGGTCTGCACTCTGGTACAATTGATTGGTGTGGCCCCTAAAACCTTAAAAGCAAATGGGCTATTTGGGGAAGTTCACTGTGAAGGAGAGTGCAGGGGGGAGTCAAGAATGATCTTTCATTTTCATGTAAGACCCTGTCTCTGCATTGGTTTGGTTTAAAGAGCCATTTGTTTTCAGGAAGACACACATATCCTGTTTCAATAAACCTAAAAGCTTTAGTGCCCCATAAATAGTTTGAGAGGATGCTAGAAAATGCATTACAAAGTTGTGTGGCAATGAATCAATGTTGCTTTCCTTTCGGGGGCGGGGGGGGGGGGGGAAGAGCAACGGTAACAATTTGGGTCTGAAAGTCAATATTGGTATATTTAGCCAACATTTATTTAGTGCCTGCTGTGTACCAGACGTAGGACCAGGCTCTGGGAATAATATAAATAAAATAGTTTGTGACTTTAAAGAGCTCATAAACTAACAAACGTTACCTCTTTTGCAGTGAAGACAGACGTGGCCCAGCAAGAGATTTCCACATTTTGTTTGTGCCACGACGCAGCCTATTGTGTGAACAGCGGCTGAAGGATCTGGGTGTTTTGGGCTCCTTTATTCACAGGGAGGAGTATAGCTTGGATCTCATTCCCTTCGACGGGGATCTCTTATCCATGGAGTCAGAGGGAGCCTTCAAAGTACGTTTGGTATTTTCTTTCTTAGTGTCAGACTTACGCTTTTGCCAGATTTACGAGGATGACAGTGTCCAGGCTATTGTTTAACTTGCATTTCCTTGGTTACTGGAAGCTGAGCTTTTCCATAGGTATATTAATGTTTAAGATTTTTCTTTTTAGCAAATTGCTTGTTCATTATTCTTTGCCCGTTTTTTCTTTTTGAAGAATTCTTTATATATTTTGCGTACTTATCATTGGGGGTTATAAAAGCTGCTAGTGTCTTCTCCCAGTCTGAGGCTTGGCTTTTAACTTTAATTATAATACCTTTATACCGGGTAGACATTTCCAGTGAAAAAGTAGTTACATTTTAAAAAAATGTTTTTATTGATTTTAAAGAGAGAGGAAGAGAAAGAGAAAGAAACATCGATGTGAGAGAGACATCGATTGGTTGCCTCCTGTACACACCCTGACCTGGGATCGAACCCACAACCTGGGTATATGCTCTGACCGCAAATTGAACCAGCAACCTTACAAGTGCATCTGATGACACTCATCCAACTGAGCCACACTGGCCAGAGCTGGACTCTTTTTTTTTTTTTCTCTCCAAATTTCAAACATAGAGAAAAGTTGAAAGAATTATAGAGGGAGCGCCCACATACCCATCACCTAGATCAGCAGTTCTCAACCTGTCAGGTCGCGACCCCTTTGGCGGTTGAATGACCCTTTCACAGGGGTTGCCTAAGACCATCCTGCATATCAGATATTTACATTATGATTCATAACAGTAGCAACATTACCGTTATGAAGTAGCAACGAAAATAATTTTATGGTTGAGTCACAACATGAGGAACTGTATTTAAAGGGCCAGAAGGTTGAGAACCACTGACCTAGATTCTGGAATTAACATTTTGCCGTATTTGCTTTGTCACATATCTATAACGGTATGCTCATAATTAATTCACACGTGTAATTAATGTGAATTGGCAGCAGCTAGGAAACGTGTCTTGGCATGACAAAACCTGCCCAGAGGCACGAGCTCCTGTTTATTTAATCAGGGATTTGCAAAGAAGGGCAGAATTATTTACTGCTGAGAACTTTGAGCCCTGGGCTTTGTGTGTTCACTTAAGGATTCAGTTAAGAAAACAAGCATTTTGCCTGGATGGTAAAGCTAAGAGTTCTACCTAATGTTAAATTCAATCCTGATTTCTGATGAAGTTGCATTTTACTTATTTATGTGATTTTTTAAAACATGTTTTTATTGATTTTTAGAGAGAGGGGAAGGGAGAGGGATAGAGAGATAGAAACACCAATGAGAGAGAAATATTATCCATCAGCTGCCTCCTGCACGCCCCCTATTGGGGATCGAGCCCGCAAGCTGGGCATATTCCTTGGCCGGGAATCAAACTGGTGACCTCTTGGTTCATGAGGCAGTGCTCAACTGCTGAGCCACCCTGGCGGGCTATTTATGTGACTGTTAAACTGCAAGCGTAATTTAGCACTCTACAGCTTTCCATGCTTGCAGGCTGATGATCATCTCCATCATTCAACTGTACAAAATGTGGGGATTCCAGTTCTGCCCAGTTTAATGCTCACAATGTTTACGGCCGTTATTTGTTGCCGGTACATGTGAAAAGCTGCCTCATGTATGTAAAACTGCAAAGTATTCTGTTGTGTGGTCATCTGGGACTTTAGGGGTCAAAGAACGCTCACATTTGTGAGTACTAGCATGTGGCCCTCCCAGAATGTCCTACCCCAGTTTATATTCACCCTGGCGAATGGGAGAACCCGTGTAAGCCTTTATTAATCAGTAATTTACTCGCGAGCTGACAAACTGAGAGCTGGCATGCCTGGTGAACCCTTTTCTTGCAGAAGGTTCCACCCCCCGGAGAATTGCTTCCACAGCTGTACCCTGAGAGCTGAGCTGTTGGCCCTGTGGCCTAGAGCAGTGGTCAGCAAACTGTGGCTCGTGAGCCACATGCGGCTCTTTGGCTCCTTGAGTGTGGCTCTTCCACAAAATACTGACTTCTGCTCATGGGCCATGAAGTTTCAATCTCACTGTACGTGCGCGCCTGCACGTGGTATTTTGTGGAAGAGCCACACTCAAGGGGCCGAAGAGCCGCATATGGCTCATAAGCTGCAGTTTGCTGACCACTAGCCTAGAGTGCTGAACAGCAGCTTTGTAAAGGGACTTGGGTCCCATCTCCTGTTTCTCCGGCAAAGTGGAACCCCAGTGCCCGACAGGGGTGGGCACCTAGGTGATCGTGGCCTGACAGTGACCTTCCATTTCTCCCCGCAGGAGTGCTACCTGGAGAGCGACCAGACCAGCCTCTACCATGCGGCCAAGGGGCTGATGACCCTGCAGGCTCTGTACGGGACCATCCCCCAGATCTTCGGGAAAGGAGAGTGCGCCCGGGTGAGAAACGGCCGTGTTTCTGGTGGTGAAGGAAGCCCCTCGAACCCAAGAAGGGGGAAGGAGTGGGAAGCCATTTATAAACAAGTCCTGCTAATCCTTTTATTTGGGAACTCACCTACTTGCTAAAACTTACTCATAACCCCCAGAGTGACACATTCAGTGTTTTGTAGACTTGCCCGAAACAGCGAACAATTTGAGTTGCCCAGGGGCATGTTGGCAGCTGAGGTCGAACAAAGTGCTGCTCTGCCCTCTTGTTTCAGCTCCTACTGCACAGTGTCCTTTCTGCCACTGCACGGGCCACACACTGCTTAACGCCACATCTTTTGCCTCTTTGTGCTTCTCATTGGTGATTTGCTGTTTTGTCGGTCCGTATGCGTAGTGAAAGGTTGTCTAGTGTCCGAGCACAGAAAGGTTGTGGTAAGCCTCCTGAGAAAACACGTTGGGCTAGCTTCATTCAGGTGTGAGTGAGGGTGCCTTTGGGCTGTGAGCTTACTGTCAGTGAATCAACAATATATCTTTTTTTAAAATACGTTTTTATTGATTTCAGAGAGGAAGGGAGAGGGAGAAAGAGATAGAAACGTCAATGATGAAAGAGAATCATTGATCGGCTGCCTCCTGCAAGCCCCACACTGGGGATCAAGCCCACAACTGGGCATATGCCCTGACTGGGAATTGAACCATGACCTCCTGGTTCATAGGTCGATGCTCAACCACTGAGCCATGCAGGTCAGGCTCAACAATAGATCTTAAAGTGTCTTTAAACAGCAACACATTAAACAAGGTTACATGTTGACCAGTTGACGGAAATGTGACCAGAGCCCACAGGAACCTTCCCCCCCGTTTCCGCCAGGAGCCGTGGCTCAGTACTCGCTAACTCCTGTTCACATGACTTTATAGAACACAGTTACCAGGAATAACACAGATAGACTGTCCCTGATTTTGTGTCCCATTGAGAAATAGCGGTTGCCATTGGCCACAGTGTGAGTGTTGGGACGGGTGGCCAGCAGCAAATGCTTTCTGCAGCTGCTAATTTCTTATCTATCACACCATTCCACAGTTTTTCTCTTTTTTTACTTTTCTGATTGTCTTTCTGTTTTTAGCCAATTTTAAAATCGGCTCATTCTCAGGAGGGTTCCACCTGATCCAATATTTTATTTCCAGCAAGTGGCCAATATGATGATCAGGATGAAGAGAGAGTTCACAGGAAGCCAGAATTCCGTATTTCCTGTTTTTGATAATCTCTTACTGCTCGATCGAAATGTGGACTTGTTAACACCCCTTGCCACTCAGCTTACATATGAAGGACTCATTGATGAAATTTATGGTATTCAGAACAGTAAGTAAAGTGCCATCTATTTTTACTAAATGGTCATTTGGCAAAAATAACGGTCATTTTTTTGAAGGTGCTTTCTTTGCATATAACTCAGAGAATATTTGAAAATATAAAAATACTGCTTTTGACTTTTAGACACTAGAGGTAAACAGTGTCCAAGTGAACGGACTGGCCAATGTGTAGTGTGAGGACTGTGCTTGTGCCCTGTGAGCAGAGGCCTGGGGTTAAATCAGGCGGCACTGCAGCCGTTCGGAAAGCTGGGAGAGGTGGCCTGGGGTGGGTTTGGAAAGAGGGAGAGAGTGTCGAGGGTGGTGCTGGTGAGGGGCAGGCAGCATCATCAAAGCAGGGAATGACAGGCGACCAGCTTGCTAAAGCAGAGAATGTAGCTGGGAACGTCACTCTAAGGCAGTGGTTCTCAACCTTCCTAATGCCGCGACCCTTTAATACAGTTCCTCATGTTGTGGTGACCCCCAACCATAAAATTATTTTCGTTGCTACTTCATAACTGTAATGTTGCTACCGTTATGAATCGTCATGTAAATATCTGATATGCAGGATGTATTTTCATTGTTACAAATTGAACATAATTAAAGCATAGTGATGAATCACAAAAACAATATGTAATTATAGATGTGTTTTCCGATGGTCTTAGGCGACCCCTGTGAAAGGGTCGTTCGACCCCCAAAGGGGTCGCGACCCACAGGTTGAGAACCGCTGCTCTAGGGGAAAGGCTGATACGGGCGGTTGAAGACACTGGAGGGAAGACGGAAGGCCTGCAAGAGTTTAGGCTTGACAGAATCTTAGGTCAAAGGTCACCAGCGTGCTTGTTTTCGGCCCATATGATGCTTGTTTCTGTCAGCATTTAAAATTGGAGGAAGCCTTGATAATAATCCTGACTGATTTACTTATGATCCGAGTCTGCTTTGATCATGGAAAAGTGAAAACCTCAGTGCTGTGCACCATTTTTCGGTCAAGGCGGCTTATGTGTCCTGATGGGAAAATTCTGCTCTGTGCCTGGGCTGTGAGAGGTTCTCCCAGGAGGTGCACACAGGCGCTTGTTCCCGTCCGTGCTGTCCAGGTTACGTGAAGTTACCTCCAGAGAAATTCGCGCCCAAGAAACAGGGCGATGGCGGTAAGGATCTTCCCACGGAAGCCAAGAAGCTTCAGCTGAACTCTGCGGAGGAGCTGTACGCCGAGATCCGAGACAAGAACTTCAACGCCGTGGGCTCCGTGCTTAGCAAGAAAGCCAAGGTGATCTCGGCTGCGTTTGAGGTGAGCTGGTGTGGTTGTCACCTGCTGCTCTTGTCACAGGCCAGACCGCCCTTTTAACTTCTCCCCTAGGAGAAAGGTATTCTGTTAAGTTTTTTCCCCCTTTTTTGGGAGGGGCAGGCAGTGTTTGCAGTTTATAAGCTTTTGCCATAAATACTTGTTTTCCCTCCTTTTTTATTATTTCCTACCCCACTTAAGAAGAAGCCAGCTGTACTATAAATAAAAGATCCTCTGTAATAGAACTTGCAATTTGAGGTGAAAACTCCCCAGGTTGACCAACATGCTGGTGGCAGAGGCCCCTGCAGTCGTGGTGGGTGATAATGAGAGTGAAATCCCCAGCGGCGGGAGCTTTGAAATTGGCAGCTTCATTATCAGCTTCCTGTCGGCTCCTGCCTGGTCCCTGCTTCATTCTGGGTTCAGGTTGATTTTGAACCATGACAATCAGTGCGATGTAGATGGAATACTTAGGCTTTAGAGACATGAATTTGGAGAACTTTTGAAAGCTAATTTTCCACTGAGGATGTATTTCCAGATTTCATCTTTCTTAGGAATTACATCCATTTAATTGATTTTCATGTTTTTGATGTTACTTTTGGTTTAAATGACTCAATTTTACAAAAAAAATTTTGTCATCACTAAGCGAGGTTACTTTGTTCAAGAACATTATTCAAAATTACTAGTAAGGCTCAGTAAGAAGGATGGCTCTTTCCTTCCCGTTATAGAAGGAACTTGCTGTTTATGTCCTCTTAACATAGTGCTTTTAGTGTTTTACTGCAAAATGTCTGTGGTTTACCCAATACTGTCCCCTCACATATACTCAGATGCCCACAAAATACTGTTCCCAGCATGAACCGGCACCTGGGAAGAGAAAACCACAGACATTTGCTTGGTACAGAAGCACCAGCACCGAGAACAGGCACGGTGAACGGACCTTTTCTGGTTTTCCATGTGATGTTGTAGCTGGGTTTGGCCTGATTCAATTGTATCCCATTCTTTTTGCCATATTAAACTAAACTAAACTAAACAAAACAACGAACAGAGCTCCTGACAGTGAGTATCTTCCTTTCTCGGTGGTTCTGCCCATTTCAGGAGAGGCACAACGCCAAGACGGTGGGGGAGATCAAGCAGTTCGTCTCCCAGCTGCCCCACATGCAGGCCGCCAGAGGCTCGCTGGCGAACCACACCTCAATCGCAGAGCTGATCAAAGATGTCACTAGTGAGTATCCAGGGATGAGGTTCGCCTGGGCTGCCTCACAGACCTACCCAGTGTCTGCCAGGTGGCCATGGGCACCAGCATGATTCTCAGGGTTAATTAAGCGAACACATGTTCACAGTTAAAAGTGCGCCATTCGTGGTGAGCACGTTTCTTTTGATTATTAAAATAATGTAATCATCTGGTAAACTTTTTGGGATGCCAATAAGAGGGAGCAAAAGTTTTCCATAAGTTTGCCACCATAATATGAGGCAGTTAATTTTTTTACTCTAGTTTTTTTCTTCTTCTATTATTAAGGATTATTTAATTAGAGCAATGGGATGTTTCTGTTTCTGTTTTTGTTTTTCCCTTGAAAACTTTCCACAGAATTGGTCTACAGCATACAGTGAGTGTTTTGAAAGAGCTCAGAGGGTATATATTAAACTAAAGACAAGCTTATTCTTTAAAACTCAGGCTGTGAAAGCTGCCTAGGAGATTGGTCAGTGCCCTGTACACTTTGAATCTTAGATACAGCACAGTGTTGGATAGAAATTGGGTGAAACTAGGTTGAATCCGATGATGCAATGCTCTGGGGAAATTAGCTTTCACTGATACTGAGGCAATACTTTTGAGTTTTGAGGACAGCAAAGGGGTTTGGGGTCCACTCCATCTAGATGGAACTTAGGGATGCAGGGTCGTAGGGTTTCCATGCTTTCAGAAGATTTTGACCAGGAGCCTGTTTCAGCCTATGGCCTGCTTGCTGTTTGGCATATCTTGTTTCTTAATCATGCTCTGTTCATAAACGCACATCACTCAAATAAAAGGACATTTATTTGATTTCTAAGTTGCAAATCTCTTAATTACATTTTAGCTTCTGAAGACTTCTTTGATAAGTTGACAGTGGAGCAGGAGTTTATGTCTGGAATAGACACCGATAAGGTTCGTGAACAATTAAACTAACAAATAATGATACTGTATCACACATAAGGCCATAGCTAGAAAAGCAATGTCTTTGACTCCATTGTATTTTTAAGAGCAAATGCAAAATGTGAAGCCCTAACCAGTTTGGCTCAGTGGATAGACCGTCGGCCTGCGGACTGAAAGGTCCCAGGTTCGATTCCGGTCAAGGGCATGTACCTTGGTTGCAGGCGTATCCCCAGTAGGTGGTGTGCAGGAGGCAGCTGATTGATGTTTCTCTCTCATTGATGTTTCTAGCTCTCTATCCCTCTCCCCTCCTCTCTGTAAAAAATCAATAAAATATACTAAAAAAAAAAGTGAAAATACAGATTTTATCAGTAACAGGTATTTCACGTCACTCTTTGGAGAGCACTTCCTGCGATGCACGGAGAGGTGAGACCCAGCCCCAAAATCAGAGCTTTAAGGGCTATAATAGGCAAATTGAGATACTTGCTTGCAGAGAGAATTGGTCATGTATTTCTTTACGTAGTCACCTCTTTAGTAAATTTAAAATGATTCATTTTATGAAAACTTCCATCTTCTAAAAACATTCCTGTTGCTGATAAATTGCCACTTTACTGGGATAGACTAGGTCACACATGCTCTCAGGACATTGTCCATAGAGACAGATGAGCCCAGACGGGCATCTAGATTGTTGAATGTGTCCTCACTGGCCTTATGCTCCTGGTGACTGGGGTGTGTGTGCCAGGGGCTGGAGGGGGCTTAGGGAATGGGGGATTGGGGAGGGGCTCATTCTCCCACATATCTCCTTTATTTGATTTTTAAAAATAATAGTATATATTAAGTTCTTGAGGTCCCCAAACCAGGTGATGGTATAGGTCTGTCTGTGCTTTGTTTCCAGGTCAATGGTTACATTGAGGACTGTATTGCCCAGAAGCATTCACTGATCAAGGTGTTAAGACTTGTTTGCCTCCAGTCGGTGTGCAATAGTGGACTCAAACAAAAGGTTCTGGATTATTACAAAAGAGAAATTCTCCAGGTCAGTGTGTGTGTGTGTGTGTGTGTGTGTGTGTGTGTGAAACATATATATATATATATATATATTTAATATATTCTTATTGGTTTCAGAGAGGAAGGGAGAGGGGGTAAGAGAGATAGAAACATCAGTGATGAGAGAATCATTGATCGGTTGCCTCCTGCACTCCCCACACTGGGGATTGAGCTCGCAACCCGGCATGTGTCCTGACTGGGAATCAAACCGTGACCTCCTGGTTCATAGGTTGACACTCAAACACTGAGCCATGCAAGCCGGACTAGGTCAGTATATTTTTAAATTACTAATTTGCCAAGGGGGAAAACAATTAAAAAAAAAAAAAAGACTTCCAAAATCTGCTCATTTAAGTTGGGCCCATAAATTTTGACTCTGAATACATCAAATCCCTCTCGGAAACAATGAGCTGGAATAATTGTGACGGACAGGCAGTTTTAGAACAGGTCCTTTCCCCGTGCCCACGTGGGGTCAGTCATCACCTGGACCTCAGTGGTGTGCCCTGGAGAACAGAGCTAGTCGATTTACCAGAGGTGCTCTTTTATGAAAGTGGCAGAAGCCTTTTCCTGATCTGACTTCCAGGCCGAACGACTTGTCTTGCAGACGTACGGCTATGAGCACATTTTGACCTTACACAACCTGGAGAAGGCTGGCCTCCTGAAACCGCAGATGGGGGGCAGGAACAATTACCCGACAATCCGGAAAACCCTACGCCTCTGGATGGATGACGTCAACGAACAAGTAAGGCACCCTTCTCACGCCAGCTCAGTCAGTAACTGGTTAACAGTCTATGGGGACAACAGTGTTCTAATGTGAAAAAGTAATGCATTTGTGAGTTATGTCTGTCAGAATCCCAGCAGGAAACGGGGCGCTCTTCCACTGGGTAGTTTGAGGAGAGTGTCATAAAGGGAGGGGAGAGCGGAGGCGGTGAGAGGCAGTGCAGTGGGCAGCCCTTACCAGGCAAGGCCTGAGGGCAAGGAGAGCGAGCTGTTCCAGAAACCTGTGCCAGTCAGAAGAGCTAAATGGAGAGGCCGTCTGACAAAACGAGGGGTGACAGGCCTCTACTCGAGGGACACAGCCAGCCTCCAGCTGAGTCACAGAGAGGAAGCCAGGGTGGAAAAACCCTGACCTCACTGCTGCCCACTCTCCGTGCTGATCTGGTGCCTCCCATTGGCCCAACCCAAACAGAGGATTTGGAGTGCGTTGGTGCAGAGCCCGCAGTCTACCTCCTGGGCTCAGAGCCAAGAAGGGCAGAGAGGATCTGGGAGAAACCCAGCGTGTGCGGTGAAAAGTCAGCTTGTGCAAAAGTAAGGCAGACAGTAAAGTTAGGTTCCTTCCACATCTAACCCCAGTTTCCCCTCAAAGGCAGCTGTTGTAACCCTAACCCACTTTTTAACCCTCCCAGAAAGGTTCTGTGACTATACAAACACTTTCACGTAGATGATGCACACCAGTGATCTCCGAAGCAGGTGCACTTTGTTTTGCATGTATGGTTGATTCCACTCTTCCTAAACTTCTTTCTCTTATATTCTCTCTTGGTGTTTCATTAGGCTGCCTCTTGCAACAAAAACTAGTAATTAGACTGTCTCCTCTATCTGCAGCAAAATTGGATTATTTTTCCCCATTTGCAATATAGAGACTTAATTTCTGTGTTGTACAATGTAAATGATACTTTAGTTTGGCTCTCTTCACCGTTCTGACCTGCTGCTCCCACCCCCCTCATCGTGTCCACTGTCTCTTGAAGGTCATCCTGTGATCTGCCTCTTTATTTATTTTTCTGTTTTTGCTTACATTTTAATTAGAATCAATGTTTCAGGGCTTACATTTAAATAAAGGTTTATTTCTATAACAACAATTATAATAGTTATAATAACTTGCAATAATTAGAAATAAGCATTTCTTGATGTCTCTGAGAGGCAAAAAAGTACCCTGATAAAATAATATCTGTAAATTCATAACAAAACTAAATCAAAATCCACCCCTTACCACATCCTAACATATTTCACTAGAATTAAATACAGTATGTCTTTTATCACGTGAAACAGACATTAAAAATACAGTAACCATTTGTGAAGAGAAGCGGCAAACAGCGTTTCTCAGGAGAGCCTAAGACTAAGGCTATTCATCATTGCGGAATGATTTATAAGCTAATCTGCATCAAGGCAAAATAATAACTAGATTTCTTTGAGGTCCTGCGATGGTACAATTTTGTGTTCAGTGAGTCACATAATGAGAAGAGGGAATCAGTAAATAAGAAAAGAAACTCTTTATGGGATATAGTTTCATGGTTTGAGTCTAGAGGAGAAACCCTGGGAAAACAAACGAGATATAAGCCAACTTTCCAGCTCATGTATTGACACAAAATCCTTCACTAAGCAAAGGAACACAAGGGCAGCATGGGGATGGGAAGTTGGTTGTTACATTTCTAGAGGTTGCAGCCACAGCTTTCGGGACAAGAACCATTTCTGACGGCAGAGGTAAGAACAGAGATAAACCCACACTTAAAACCTGTAGTTACTATTGAAGCAGAGAGTCATGGTCAAAGTGAACTCCCCTTCTAATAGAAAGGTAGAACAACCCCCAAAGTCCAACATGGCATTCTTAAATAAGGCCCTGTGTTTTAAAGATACTCCTTTGCTTAACAAGGAGAAAGAAAAAAACATAATTTTATAACTTAGCCAGAAAAATTCATACAAGATACACGCTTTATGTCCATGGGTTTCTGAAATCATATGTTTTTTAAAAATCTTGACCTTAATCAAATTTACCCGCACAATATACTAGTATTTACTATTAAACCAACCAAATTGCCACCATAATTGCTCTCAAAAGATATGTATCTTTTAATATATATTTTTTTATTTCAGAGAAGAAGGGAAAGGGAGATAGAAATATCAATGATGAGAAAGAATCATTGATTGGCTGCCTCCTGCACACCCCCAAAGGGGATCCAGCCCGCAAGCCTGCAACCCGGGCATGTGCCCTGACCAGGAATCGAACCGTGACCTCCTGGTTCATAGGTTGACGCTCAACCCCTGAGCCACAACAGCCAGCCGGCCTTGTTTTTTTAAAGTTCTTTGCAATTGTTATGAGGTGGTTCTACATATATGCCATCTTTATAATTTAACAGGTTTCTATTGCTAGTAATTCAGGTGTTCCCAGTCTTTTCCTGGTACAGATGGTGTTGCAGTTACTGTTGGTGCTTTGGTCTGGTCTCCCCTGGTGTGCCAGCCCCTCTGCAGGATAAATGCCTAAAAGTAGAATTTCTGGGTTCAAAGATTATGCACATTGTTACCCAGCTAGAGTGCCAAGTTACCCTCCAAAAAGTTTCTTGCCAAATGAAGTAACAGTTTTCATCTCCAGTCCCTAGAGATGCTCTGCATGGCTTCAAAATGTGAGTCAAAAGTGAGCTTCTGGCTGCTAAGATGTGGGAGGTTATTTGTGGCTTTGCCTTCAAAGACAAATCAAATAATTTTGGGTTAGGTGGCTCTGAGTCTCTATACCCACAGGCTTTTTTCCCTTTAATTATGCCACAGAATCCCACCGACATATCCTACGTGTACAGTGGCTACGCCCCTCTCAGTGTGCGTCTGGCCCAGCTGCTTTCCCGGCCTGGCTGGCGGAGTATTGAGGAAGTTCTGCGCATCCTCCCAGGGCCCCACTTTGAAGAACGGCAGCCATTGCCCACGGGACTGCAAAAGAAACGTGAGTCTGTAGCCGGGATCTACAGATCGTTCTGTGCTGTTAGTGTGGTTTTCATGTATTATGCAGTTGCTTTGTAGAATACATTTTAAAGTCCTTGGGAGTCAGAGTCCAATCTGCCTCTTTTGTTAGTTGCTAATGTATATTGTAAGCAGGGGAACCCATTATTCCCTTGGGGGTAGCAGCTTTCAGCTGTGGAGTTGAGGATCTCAGTAGTTAGAAAAAACATTTGAGAGCAAAATTGTGTGTCTGAGTTTCAAGTGAACTGTCAGACCAAGACACATTTGACTTTTTTTTTCTTATGAATGATGCAGTTTTGTTTTTTAAATATGTTTTTATTGTGTTTTAGAGAGGGAGAAAGGGAGAGGGATAGATAGAAACATCAATGAGAGAGAAACATCAACATCGATTGGCTGCCTCCTGCACGCCCCCTACTTCGGATCGAGCCTACAACCAGGGCATGTGCCCTGACTGGGAATGGAACCGGTAGCCTCTTGGCACATGGTCTGATGCTCAACCACTGAACCACACCAGCTGGGCAATATGCAGTTTTTAAGAGGTGGGAAGAGAAGCTCCAATAATATATAACTCTTAATTTTAAAATGTTTCAATTTTAGGTCAACCGGGGGAAAACCGAATCACCCTGATATTTTTCCTTGGGGGTGTGACCTTTGCCGAAGTCGCTGCCCTGCGCTTTCTCTCCCAGTTGGAAGATGGAGGCACAGAATACGTCATTGCCACCACTAAACTAATGAACGGGGCCACGTGGATAGAGTCTCTGATGGAAAAGCCTGTGTAGGGCACTTAGAGCGGATTGGACAAGCAAACTGCACCATAAACTGCCCTTTTGAGGAAGTTGCTGGAGGGAAGGACAGCCCTACAGAGGAATAACAACCCAGGAACACAAAACTGACTTTGGGGTCAGCCTCTTGAATTTTGCTGTTTTCTCCCTTCTGCTTCCCTTTTGTGTTCCTGACTTCTTGAAGAAAGAAGACAACCTAAAGACATACCAGTGTTTTGTGGTCTCAGCTCAGTGTCTTCATTAGAGACATGGAAGTATATTAAGAAGGTGGGTATGGATAATCCTCGCAGCCGCACAGATGGGACCAAGCAGGTAAAAATAACAATAAAAGTGGAAAGTGTTCTTACGTGCTTAGAGTGTTGGTCTGTGTACCAAAGGATCGAGGGTTTGAGTCCCGGTCAAGGGCACATACCTGGGTTGCAGGTTCAATCCCCAGCCTTGGTTGGGGCTCATGTGATAAACAACCAGTGTATCTCTCTCCTTCTCTTTTCCTCTTTCTCTCTTCCTCTCTCCTTCCCTTCCTCCCTCCCACTCTAAAAATCAATGGAAAGACTATCGTCGGGTGAGGATTAACAACAAAAAATTAAAAGATTTGCTTGTCCTGGGTTTAATTTAATTGGCATTCAGTACGTGGAAATGGTCTGATGAAATGGATTCCTGTGTTAGAAATCCTTTCTCAGATCCTTGTTATCCCACGGAGATTAGTTTATACCTCCGAGCCCCAGCAGTGGTCAGCTTGGGCTGCCTTAGAGAGTGAAATGCACCTTTGTCCCTCAGTGTTTTTGCCTCTGGGGATTCAAGTCCAGTTGAGTCTCCTTGGCTGGGGTCTTTGTCCTATGAACAGATACTCGGTTGTGTCTCATGTGTCTGCATTCACTTGTGGCTCTCGACTTGCCTGCTCAGGGCATAGGTAGGTCAGCTCCTACAAATGCATTCCGCAGAAGACTTAAAAACATCAATTGCTTCATTTGTATGCAAATAGAAAGTGGTGGATATATATTTTATACGCTTTTGTGTCAGTTCATTTAATACTTAAAGCAGTCTTTGTCTCAAAGGAGTGTGGCCTTACTGAGAAAAGGGTATGTGAATGGTACATTTATTCCTGGAGCAGGGGGATTGTTTACATCACGTCTGGACTTTTGTCTAATTGGGTAGATAATTCTGCTACACCAGGAGTCTGCATAGATAAAGAAGTCTACATAGGCACTGTTCTGTGTCTTATTATACACTTATGAATTTTTGCCAACAGAGAAATAAGTATTTGAACTGTAGTTAACTGTGGAGCAAGAGTGTAATGGTTAAAAGGAGGCAGATTCGCCTGGCTGGTGTGGCTCAGTGGTTGAGCATCGACCTGTGAACCAGGAGGTCACAGTTTGATTCCTGGTTGGAACACATGTCCGGGTTGTGGGCCCAATCCCCAGTGGGGAGCGTGCAGGAGGCAGCCAATTAACGATTCTCACCGATGTTTCTATCTCCCTCTCCCTCTCCTCTGAAATCAATAAAAATATATTGATTTGGAAAAAATAAGGGAAAAAAAAGGTGGATTAAAAACAGCACATTGAATTCTTGGAGAGAACTGGGAAGGGAAGATCCCATGCGAGTCCCAGTCCATTCTAGCTCTGCCCTCCCTGGAAATGGATTATGATTGTACATGATGTGCCTGTTTGTCTGTTGTTCTCAGTTGCATGTTCAAGACCTGCCTGTCACCAGGGGGAAGTGTTTGTAGTCAGCAGAGTTAAATTCAAGAAGAAATGCTATAAATAGCAGAGTGAACTGTCTGCAGACAGGAAGGGCGGCTGTGATAGAGATGGCAGGAGTAGAAACGTGGCATCTCAGACCGTGAATCGTGAACAGACGGTGGGTTAGACCCAGGCCTGATGTATTACATTGCCATGGGGTTTAAGGATGGCTGCTACAGAGAACGGAGGATGCCTTTTTGTAAACAGTTGAAGAAAACGGCAGTAATGTAAAATTTCTCAGATTCTTGTATTTCTAAATGAATGCACATGAACTTCAAGCCATGTTTCTTAGTTTCAGTTCCTCCATTGCTGTAAAATACCCAAAATTGGATGGTGACTAGAGGCTAGCTAGAACATACAGCTGCTTCGAGACATCATCCGAAGGGTGTAAGCTGTCAAGAGGACCGGAATCAGGTGTTTTAATAGCCTTTCTTCTCATCCGTTACTTTGGTGTGGGATGAAGGTATAATCTTAGACATCCTTTCTTCCCTTGGACTACACAGGGCACAGAAGCCCTTCAGATGACCAATTCTCTCGGGGAGCAATTACTGCTTGCTGACTTCCTGAGCACTTGGTAATGGTCTGCTCTGGTTTTTAGCTGAGCTGCGGCCAGGGCAATGATTTGATAATAAGAGATCCTGATCAAATTAAAGAGCCATTTGCTTCTGGCTGATGATGTTGACAAAAGGGTTGGTGTGTGCACTGCCTGCTTTTTTTTTTTTTTTTAAGGTCAAAGAAACAGTAACTACAAAAGCACTGCCTGCTTTTTTTTTTTTAAGGTCAAAGAAACGGTAACTACAAACTAGTACAAAAGCCAAAATAACCAGCAGCAGCATCAAGTTTATTTTCTTTCACTCTTGCATTGGAGAAGGGTCCGCTGTGTATTTGCTGCAGCCGGAACTGGCTCTTGTAGCCTCTCGGTTGGAGGACTTGAAATTGCAAGTGGGCATCTTGGGAAGGTGCCTATATGATGAGTCTCTAACCTGCTCAGCTCTGTAACTTGGAACCAAGCACTCAGCTCTTGGTTCTCAGTGCCTGTTTCTCACATACGCATGCTCACATTGCATGTTTTTTTAAGACAACTTTTGCTTAACTGGCTGTCATAGTGAATGTTGTTTGTACGCTGGTTCTTTGACTCTGAGAATAGGATGGGATTGCTCTCCATGTGAGTGTTAGAAAAGCAGACAAGAAGGGGCATGAAATACCCCCTGGAGTGCCGCTGGCTTGGCCCATCTAAGTCAGAGCTTGCAGGCACCTGGGAGCGCTGTGGGCAGTGGTGACAGGCAGAGCGGGTGGGCAGGGTTACCATTGCCCCGCCTGGCCTGGGAGCGCGCGTGTGCGCAGCTCCCCGGGAGCTCAGGGACCACATGGAGACTGTGATTGGTCTCTAGACCACACCTAGTCGGTGAGTGCAGCTGCTGCCTGAGAATCCTGCAGCTCTGCCGACCGCGGGAGTGCACATACGCTACCTTCGGACACCAGATCGGAGAGAGAGCTCTGAGCTGCCATCGCGGCGTCTGAAAACTTGGCTAAGTGAGTGAAATGAGGAGAGGGAAGCTAGTGGGGCGCTGAGGGGAGCTCCTGGGCAGGGCAGCAGTGGAGTCAAGAGCTGGTTGGTGATGGTCACCATCTGATTCCATCTGTGGTGGGAGAGCAGCGGGGCTGGAGCAGATGGACAAGAGCACGATGGGGAAGGAGATGAGCCCAGAATCATATTGAGAGCCACCTCCTGGCACTCCTGCAGTCCCGGCGGCCAGAGGGCCAGTGTGCCGGACCACACAGCAAGGATCTCAGATCTGCTACTGACCCGCTGGGCCAGGGGGCTGCAGTGGGGCCTGCTGCCTTCCCTCCCCCGGTGGGCCTCTTCCCCTCGCGAGCAGCAGATGGCTTGAGCTGCTGAGCGGTGGGGAAAGGAAGCTTTACTCCATCAGCCCATTAGCAGCACTCCAACATTAAAAATGCAGGAGGTGGCTGGGAGGAGCGGCAGGGGAGGGAGACTCACGCAGCAGCGGAGCTGGGAACCGCTAGGCTGCTCTGCCGTCCAAGCCCAGGTCCTGACGGGGAGCCCGAGAACGAGGGGGAACTTTTGGTTTAAAAGAATGAGCATCCAGGTGGTGGTGAGGCCAACATCGGCGCTTTGGGCTTCTTGGCCTTCGGGCGGTGTTCACTCAGGGGGGCGGGACCTCACCCAGCCACCTGCGTCCACTAGTGTCCGCTGGAGGCTGGCCGCGGGCGGAGCCGGCGCTCTGCGTACTCAGGGTCCCCGGCTGCCCGTGCCCACAGGTCTTCGGGTCTTCGGGTCCCCGGCGCAGGGCGATGCCGGCCTCGTCCACCATCCACGTGCTGCAGCTGCTGCGGGAGCTGCTGGCCTTCGTGCTCCTCAGCTACACGGTGCTCCTGGGCGCATTGCTGCTGGCCGGCTGGACCACCTACTTCCTGGTGCTGAAGTGACAGCGCCTCCGCGCGGCTCCCCGCCCCTCCCGGCCTCCTCGCTCCCGGGCCGGGGTCCAGCCACGCGTCACCACGGCCGGCTTCGCCCCGCCCACCCCGCGCCCTCAGGTCAGGGCCCGGCCCGCCCCGCGCGGAAGCTCCGGCGGTTGGGTACCGGGCGCGACCGTTACAGCCGTTTCCCTAAGTCCCGCCCCCTCTTCTCCGCCTACCCAATCACGACGGCTCCCTTGGGCCGGGGCGTGGTCGTGGGGCCAGGCCCTCAAGTGGAGGCCGCGCCCCGCCCCCCCGCTCACGAAGCTTCGTCACTTCCGGCGTGTGCGTGTGGCGTCCGCCGGCCGTGGGATGGCGGCTCTGAGGAGTTGGCTGTCGCGGAGCGTCTCCTCCTTCTTCAGGTACCGCCGCGGAGTAGGTGTGGGGGGCGGGACGGGAGACGAAGAGGCGACGGAGAGCGCTCGGCGGGGCCGCTGCGCCGGCCTTGCTGGCGTGCCCTTACCTCCTCGGCCCGCCCCTCTCTCTGGTCCGAGGACGTCCCGCCTCGGCGGGGCCGGGTTCTTCCCTCACTGCGGCGTTTCCGTTATCCCACCTGCGAACGCGAGCCCCCGGCCTCCCGCTGTCCTCCTGGGGCGGCTCGGCCCGCCCGCGAGTTCCCGCTGCTCTCGAAGCCCGGGCCGGCGGCGGGAGCGTTCTCTGCGGGCAGAAGGGGCCGGGGAGTCGGGCAGCACCTGCGGGTCCAGGTGTGGTCGGCGGGGACTATCAGACTCTGCTCGCGGGGGCTTGAGTGTGAGGTTTGAAAAAGCTTAAACGGCCACACCTGGCACCTGTTGAGTCCAGCGCCGCCTTTCGGCTCACATTTCCCCGGCGGGGGTTCGCGGAGCTGGGGGGCAGGGGCCGGGGGGGGCTTCAGCCAGTCCCGGGCTTCCCAGCCCAGCGCGCCCCGCCGCCGGCAAGGCCGACCCCACACCTGCCCCTAGGTTCCTGCGAAGCCGCAGTGGGAGTTCCCGGCCCCCATGAGTCGCGGGGTCCGGTACAGACTGGTGGGTGTGACCTCTGGCCCAGCCTGGTGGGCTCAGTGGTTAAGCATTGACCTATGAACCAGGAAGTCGCAGATTCCTGGTCAGCGCTCAGGCCTGTGGGATGTGCAGGAAGCAGCCCGTCAATGGTTCTCTCTCATCACTGATGTTTCTATCCCTGTCTCCCGCTCCCTTCCTCTCTGAAATCAATAAACACGTTAAAAAAATAGATGTGACCTCTGTGCCTAGATACAGACGCAGTGTCCCTGTCGAGGCCAGCTTCAGGAGGCGCTGTTTCTCGGAGTTGGTAAGACCATGGCACAAGACGGTGGCCGTGGGAGTCGGTGTGACCCTGTGTGCGGTTCCCATCGCGCAGGTAAGGCCCCGTGTGTCCTGGGCAGCGTGTCCTCGCACAGCAGCTCTCATAGTCCTCCCAGCGCGCGCTCGCTCACGCACAGACACACGCACAGACACACGCACAGCAGGGTGTACTCAGAGCTGACCGAACATTCATATTCCCATTTTGGTTTCCTCTTTTTGTAGGAACAGTTTCTGAAGTTGTCAAATTGTATAAGGAGGGAAAAGAGAAGCAAGAGTATATTACAGTCTATCACCGAAATAGTCTTTCGTTTAACAAAAATGTCTTGAGCGTTTTCTGCGTACCGTACACACTGGAGAGAAGAAAGGGGAGGAAATGAACAGAGATAAAATGCCAGGTGGCCCTGGCTGGTGTGGCTCAGTGGGTTGAGCATCACAGGTCTGATTCACAGTCAGGGTGTGTTCTATTTTATTTTTCTCTCAACCCCCCTTTTTTTCTCCCTTTCTCTCAAATCGGTAAAAAACATCTTTTTAAAAAAAAGCCAGGTGATAAGTGTTGTGCAGAAAACAAATAGGGTGAGCGATAGGAAGTGCTGGACGGAGTTATGTTTTAGATAGGGTGTCCACTCTGATGACGTGGTAGTTAAGTAGAGAGCAGAACAAACTTTGTAGTATAGTTTGATATCGGAGCATGCGAGAGTGAGCCATACAATGTTTTGGGGAAGACTTTCTGGGCAGAAGGAACTCAAGTGCAAAGGTAGAAGCATAATACCCTCAAGGTCCAGCCATGTTGTTGGAAATGGCAAGATTTCCTTCTTTTATATTGCTGAATAATATTCCATTGTGTGTGTGTTTGTACATACACATACATACCACATCTTTATCCATTCATCTATCCCTGGACACCTAGGTTGCTTCTGTATCTTGGCTACTGTAAATGAACATAGAATGCATATATCTTTTTTAAAAAAATATATTTTTACTGCTTTCGGGGCGGGGGGGAGATAGAAACATCAGTGATGAGAGAATCATTGATTGGCTGCCTCCTGCATGCCTCCCACTGGGGATTGAGTCTGAGTCTGCAACCTAGGCTCTATCCACTGAGCCAACCCAGCTAGGGCTATATCTTTTTTAATTAGTGATTTTGTTTCAGATAAATACCCAGAAGTGGAATTGTTGGATCGTATGGCAGTTCTATTTTTAATTTTGGGGGGAAACTGTATTATTTTCCATAGCGGCGCCACTAATTTACAATCCCACCAGCAGCGCATGAGGTCTCCCTTTTCTCCACATCCTGGTCAGCACTTGTTGATTTGTTGATAAGAGCTAATAGCCATTCTGACAGGTGTGAGGTGACCATTCATTGTGGTTTTAGTTTGCATTTCTGTGGTGATTAGTGATGTTGAACATCTTTTCATGTGTGTTGGCTATCTTGGGAAAAATACCTGTTCAGGTCCTGACATGTTTTAATTTTTAATTTTTTTTTTTTGGGGGGGCGGTGTTGTATGAGTTCTTTATATATTTTAGATGTTAAACCTTTATTAGATGTATCATTTGTGAATATCTTCTCGCATTCAGCAGGTTATCTTTTCACTTTGTTGGTGGTTTCCTTTGCAAGACTTTTTGATATATTACCATTTGTTTATTTTCTCTTTTGTTACCCTGGCTTGAGGAGATATTTTCAAAAAGATATTGTTAAGAGCAATGGTCAAAGAGTTTATTGCCTGTGTTTTTCCTTCTAGGAATTTAATGGTTTCGGATCTAACATTTAAGTTTTTTACCTATTTTGAGTTTATTTTTGTATATGGTGTAAGAACGTGGTCTATTTGTCCAGTTTTTCCAACACCACTTACTGAAGTGATTGTCTTTACCCCCACTGTATATCCTTGCTGCCTTTGTCATAGATTGACCATATAAGTGAGGTTTTATTTCTGGACTCTCTATTCCATTGTCCTGTCTTTTTTTTTATGCCAGTACCATACTGTGTGATTGTTGTCGCTTTATAGTATAGTTTAATAATCAGGGAGCATGATAGCTCCCACTTTCTCAAGACTTCTTTGGTTATTTGGGGTATTTTGTGGTTCCATGTAAATTTTAGGAATAGGGGGTCTAATTTTGAGAAGAATGCCATTGGTATTTTAATAGGGATTGCACTGAATCTGTATGTCACTTTTAGTAGTGAGGACATTATAATGATGTTAATCCTTCCATTTATTTGTGTCTTGTTCAGTATCTTACAGTTTTCAGAGTATAGGACTTTCACCTCTTTGGTTAAATTTATTCCTAGGTATATTCCTCATGCAGTTGTGAATGAACTATTTTCTTAATTTCTCCTTCTGATCATTTATTATTGGTGTATAGAAACAACAGATTTCTGTATGTGGATTCTGTATTGTGCAACTTTATTGAAGTCATTTATTCTAATAATTTTTTGGAGGGAGTCTTTAGGGTTTTCCATATATAGTATCATGTCATCTGACATAATTTTTAAAGGTGCATGTGAAACTAGAAAGACCAAGAGGAGTCTAGGCACGAGACGATAGTGCACTTGGTCTAGGCGGGCAGCAGTGGAGGTGGGAGAATAGGGTCACGTGTGGTCAGCAGGGCTTGCTGATGAGTCAGATGTGGAGTATATAACCTAGATGCTTTTCAAAGGCCTAAGCAACTGAAAGAATGGAGTGCCGTAGGTTTTTGGAGGAAGAAATAAAGAACTGATGGTCTGAGATATTTAGTAGACATCTAGGTGGAACTGTTAAGTAGACAGTTGATATGAAAGGTGGTACCTTATTTTTAAGATCACTGGTTATAATCTTTCAGGAAGAACTAAATAGGAAACTAGCAAATTCTACTTTAGCAAAATATTCCTGATATGTAAATATGTGTTTATCATAAGATTAATTCCATTTATTACAAGTATTTTCAGCATCCTCTGAGGCTCACTGATGAGCCCTCACCTTTTTGTGCCTCCACTTTAACTTTTGTCACTGCACATTGATGAATCTTTAACCTTAACACCTTTACTTGAACAGCAGGCCATTTTCAGTCACAATTAGGACATTTTGGGGTTTGTCTCTCTCAATTTGTGTACTAGTCTGGGTCACATAAGAGGAAGCTCTAGTTCAGTGGTTCTCAACCTTCTGGCCCTTTAAATACAGTTCCTCATGTTGTGACCCAACCATAAAATTATTTTCGTTGCTACTTCATAACTGTCATGTTGCTACTGTTATGAATCGTCATGTAAATATCTGATATGCAGGATGGTCTTAGGCGACCCCTGTGAAAGGGTCGTTCGACCGCCAAAGGGGTCGCGACCCACAGGTTGAGAACCGCTGCTCTAGTTGTTCTCCTGCAGGAACAGCATTTTTGTTCTTCAGCACCTGCGGCAGCTCTGCATTGTGTTAGACTCAAATCCAAGGGACTCCCGTGCCCTCCCGCCCGTTCCTGAACACCCTACACACGTGTATTCTTTTCTTCATCGTGTCTTCTAACCAGATGCCTCACCACTAATCCTCGTTGTCTTCAGGCCCACATCCACCTCTCCTTAAAGCCATTCCTCGTCCAACAATCTCCTTTTCTGACCACTTAATGTTGTCTATTTTTATATTTGATGATAGTCCATTTGGCTCTCTCCTGAGTCCGTCAGCAGAGCCAATGGGAAAATTTAGTGTGAAATTATATAACTTCTCTGAGCTTCCATTTCCTCATCTAGTAATAAAGAAGTGATACTATCTGAACTGGTGAAAGTGCACTGTAAAATGTAGGGCATTATGAAGACGTAAGTTATCAGAACAGGTCAAAATTAGCTTCTCATAAGCACAAATACTGTCATTCCTCCCTTTCTAGACCTTCAGTGTACGGTACATAATGAATACTTATTTGATTGAATGAAATACAGATATGATAAATAAAGTCTTGATTTGCTCCTGTATCAGATATTTATTGACTACTGCTTTCAACAGGCAACACTATGTATTTACAGTCTTTAGCAAGAACAAGACACTAGATGACGGAGGGGGATTGGTTTCTTTGTTAGTTGTAGTACAGTCAGGGTTCTGCTGAGGAAGAAAAAGGCAGAGTCAGGTGGTTATATTGGCTTTTTTAACACAATAGCTGTGGTCAGAGTGCTCATTTACTTTCTTCTCCGCTTCATCCTCAACTCTGAAGCCTTTTGTAAGCTGTTCTCATTCAACACAGAAGTGATTGCTCCCATGGTCTTGAATGCATTCCTTTTTCAAGTTCTGTATAAGCTCCAGCCCTTCCCCTCCTTATCTGAAATCTTTGAGGGCAAAGAATATATATTTTTATATCCCAAGCATCGAGCACTGTGGTAATGAATGAATCATACCTTCATGAGATTTGTTGGTTATAACAACTAGCCTTTTATGAAAAGAAAACTTTGCTGTTTGCAGCAGAGACTAAAGAATAAAAGTAGGTAGAGAGCATGCTCTGGAATTATTTCTACTTATTGTCTTAAATAGCCAAAATAAAGCTTAAAAAGAAGCAGTTGACGGTGCAGTATGAGAATTCTGTTTCCACCAGGCTGTCTGGGACACCTCAGCTCGTGCTGTGGAAATTGAGTGAAAATGTTTGTGTCTTTCAGAAATCAGAGCCTCATGCTCTCAGTAACGACGCACTAATGAGGAGGGCTGTGTCTCTGGTAACAGATAGCACCTCCACCTTTCTCTCTCAGACCACGTATGCGTTGATTGAAGCCATCACAGAGTATACTAAGGTAAGCCTCACTCATCTAGACCAGTGGTTAGCAACCTGGCTCACAGACCAAGCTGGTCTGGTGCCTGCTTTTGTAGTTTTATTGGAACATGGCCAGCCTGCTTTTGTGAGTTAACAGTTGCAATAGGCTATAGGGCCCACAAAGCCTAAAATACTTACTCTTGCCCTGATCGAAAGCACTGGTTTTTAAAAGAAGAACCTTAAATATAGCAGCGCAGTTTATAAGACGGGGGAACCAAGATGATTTGGTTCAGTTAGGGGTGAAAGGGCCCAAAGTCTACCACCAGCAGCACCTAGGGCTTCTCTGTGAGGACAGTTTGGAAACCATTGTTGTGAGCTAATAGAGTATATGGGTAATCAGAATCATTTAAAATTCTCATATCTTTATTTTCTAGTAGCTTTTTTCTGAGCCTTCTCAGTTCCCCTCTGCACTGTGCTCTCTTTCTATGTCTGAATTACTCACAAGCTTTTAAAAACACAAAAGTTGTTAAGTGGAGCTCCCGCCCTGGAATAATGCCCCGACTTCCCACACCATGCGTGTCTGGGAGGCCGAGGCCTGAAGGCCAGTTTGCTGAAATGGGACTTTATCACCTGCAGGTGTGGGTCTCACTAATCCTACTTCATATGCCTCACTCGTTTCACTCAGACTTTGTTTATTCTATTTGTAGGCTGTTTATACCTTAGTTTCTCTGTACCGACAATATACAAGTTTACTCGGGAAAATGAATTCACAGGAGGAAGATGAAGTGTGGCAGGTGATCATAGGAGCCAGAGTTGAGGTAAGCAAGGAGTCAGGCATTTCTGTATGCCAGCTCCTGCCTCCTTGTGGTGTCTAACCAGTCACTGTTCTCTAAATCTGCCATTTTGAATAAGTCCTTTAAATGTGCTTAAGCCCTTCATGTTTAATTTACAGATGACTTCAAAACAGCAAGAGTACCTGAGGTTGGAGAGTACCTGGATGACTGCAGTTAGTCTTTCAGAGATGGCGGCGGAAGCGGCATACCACACCGGTAGGTTCCAGTTTTCACTGTGGAGGTGCCATTGGAGTTCTCTTCTGGATTAGATGGTCTAGAGCCCATGTGGCTCTAACTTGGTGAGAAAAGGTCCCCGCCGAAACCGGTTTGGCTCAGTGGATAGAGCGTCGGCCTGCGGACTGAAGGGTCCCAGGTTCGATACCGGTCAAGGGCATGTACCTTGGTTGCGGGCACATCCCCAGTGGGGAGTGTGCAGGAGGCAGCTGGTCGATGTTTCTCTCTCATCGATGTTTCTAACTCTCTATCCCTCTCCCTTCCTCTCTGTAAAAACTCAATAAATTTAAAAAAAAAAAGAAAAAAAAAAAAAAAAAGAAAAGGTCCCCATCTTATTTGCACAATGGGCAAGACTAACACCCCTGGAGACCAAGCCAGTAGAAGCTAGATTGTCAGTATCTAGAAAATAAAATGGTAAAACTACTTCCAACTGGAAAATTGGACTGCCTTCAAATAGTTTTTAAACATTTTATTTATTTTATAACCTAGATAATTTATGAATAATGTTTGTCCATTTCAGGCTTTGTGGTAAGCATTTTATAGATACTTTTAATTTAAACATCCACAGTTTCCTTAAAGTAGGACCTATTGTCATTCTCACCTCACAGGTGAAGAAATGGGAGGGTGGGGGGCGGCAGAGGGGTTAGTAACTCACCCAGGATGCTGTGGCACAAGCAGCCACACTGGGGTTTAGGCCCAGCAGTTGAGCATTGACCTATGAACCAGAAGGTCACAGTTTGATTCCCATTCTCTCTCCTTCTCCCTCTCTGAAATCAATAAAAGTATATATATATTTTTTAAAAAATATTTTGAGAGAAACCTGACTGGTCCATGGTCCCAAAAAGGTAGCTCACAAATTACAGCCCAGGACCAGCTCTTATTAAGAAACTGCTATGTTAAAACACTTCTTTTTCTATTTCAGGATATCAGATTTGGGTCTCTAGTGCCAGATTTTTAAAAGGGTACAAAAAACTTTTTTAAAAAAAGTAAAAGCAGCCGGAACCGGTTTGGCTCAGTGGATAGAGCATCGGCCTGCGGACTGAAGGGTCCCAGGTTTGATTCCGGTCAAGGGCATGTACCTGGGTTGCGGGCACATCCCCAGTGGGGGATGTGCAGGAGGCAGCTGATCGATGTTTCTAACTCTCTATCTCCCTTCCTCTCTGTAAAAAAATCAATAAAATATATATTTTTTTAAAAAAAGTAAAAGCAAAAAAGACTTCTTAGTTAACTAAAATCTGAGGAATCGGATTCTGAAGACAGGTCTGGCGTGGTAGTGGCAGTGGAGGTGGAGACTGGCTGAGGCACTGCAGCGGGACTCCCAGGCCACTCAGCCAGGCAGGTTTAAATCTAGGAGAGGAAGTAAGCATTATCTGAAGAAAATAGGCATTTCCCAGATTGAAGACTCTAAACAGATTCAGAATGTAAAAATCCTAGAAAGTATAAGAAAAAAGTAGATGTACTTACAAAGGAAGTATAATCAGACATCAGTCTTCTTATCAGCAATCCCAGATGCAAGGTGATAAACCAAATATCATTAAAATGTGAGCATGAAAGATATTTTCAGGCATAAAAAGACTCAAAGTTTACCAAACACGTGTTTTCTGGAAAAACTACTCTGTGAAGAAAAATTACAAGTAACTGAAATACAAGAATAATGAATAAAATTTAGTAAAACTTGTCAGAATTTCTGAGTATTGAACAAATTTTTATTGAACAAATTTTTTAAAAATGAATAAATTTGGGGAAGTGAAAGCATGCTGAGCCTTCTTACCTTTTTTGGGAAGAAGAGGGACATTGACTTAACATTAGACACTGCTAACCACCGCAGAGAGAATGGGGGAAGGGACAGAAAAGCAGGGCAGTTGAGAAGACATGAAACCTATTAGAAAAGGCAACACAGAACAGAGGAACAACATCAAACATCAGTCATCACAATAAGAACATTAAATTTACTGTTATTAAATGATGCTTTAGATTATGTTAGAAACAATTTCGGCTACAACTGTTTACATAGGCACCTAAAACAAAATGGCATAGGAAAGTTGAAAGTTAGAAAAAGTGAACCACAAACAAAAAGAGTGTTACCCAAAAACGCTGGCAGAGCCACGTCAGAATCAGAAAAAGGATTCAAGACAAAGCATTAAAAGGGACAGAACAATTCATGGAGAAGATACCAATCATGAAGTACCTGGTATTGAGCTTTCCATGCATCTCAGACTCACTGGTCAAGACCAAAACAGTTAAAGCTAAAAGGGTTGGAACAGAATGATTTTTCAAAGCTTAACCAAATATATATACTAAAAAGAACATTTTATTTACTCTCCACACACATTCTTTTTAAACAAATAGAACATGTACAAAAACTGATTTTGTGCCAGGTGACAAAGACTCAGCAAATTCCTTCACTCTCCTTCCCCACCAAAATTCAAAATGGAAAGTTAAAAATATTTAGAACTGTGATGATAAATGCAGTATCTAGCAGACCCAAGGAGTTGTAAACTAATTGGCTTTAAAGAGAAATTGACATGCAAGTGTCAAATACAAAGAACAGCAGCATGAATGACAGATAATGTTCACTGTATGAAAAGTACTAAGTTACTTTTAACTTAGAAAAAAAGCAAAATCCACACAGTGTAAGAATAAAGGAAATAAAACGTATAAGAAACCTAAAAAGAAATAGTCCAAAAGGTAAAATTTGGTTCCTTGAAAAGAATTTAAAAATAAGATTTGGCACGTGTGGCTTTTTGGTGAGCAAAAGCAACATCAGAAAGAGCTATTATTGTTTTGAAGGTTTTTTACATTATATGAGAATTCCAAATTGACCCAAGAAGTAAAGAATCCAAAAAAAAGACTAATCACCATAAAAGTTGAAATAGTATTCAAAGATTCTGTGCCCCAAAAGTAGACACTAAGCCCAAGCTGTTTTGTGGAGAGTTTTATCTCCTCTTCTAGAAACATAATTCCTGTTACAGAAAGCGTACCAGTCATAGAAGATGATGAAAAACCTCCTTTTACAATGTGTAAAGCCAGCACAGGCCTGATCTAAGACGACGAGACCAGCACCAAGACAAAAATCTAGTTCAGTGTCACAAATACAGATGTAAATCAAGCACAGCCATTCACTCTCACAACACAGTGATAAACCAGCACCGGAAAAAACTGCCAACACAATTCACTACTTGGTCATGTACAGTAAAGGTTTTTAAAAATCCACCCGTGTAATCCTCTCAATGTATGCCCCAAAAGCCTTCAGTAAAATGTGGTACCCATTTATGATGTATATCTACACTAATAAAAGAGAAAAATGGTAATTGGTGTACGGCGATACCATTTTCATTGGCTAATCAGGGCTATATGCAAATTAACTGCCAACTAAGATTGGCAGTTAACTGCCAACAAGATGGCGGCTAATTTGCATATGTAGGCACAATGCAGGGAGGCGAAAGGGAAAGCAGGAAGAAGCCCCCTGCCACTGACAGTGATCGGAAACCCAGGGGGGAGCTAAGAGCTGGGGGGCAGGGCAAAGGCGGCCCTGGGGCCGCCTTTGCCCTGCCCCCCAGCCATGATGGGAGAATCAGGCGCCTTTGCCGCCCTGGCCAGTGATAGCAGGAAGTAGGGGTGGAGCCAGCGATGGGAGCTGGGCACGGTGGAAGCTGGCAGTCCCGGGAGCTAGGGGTCCCTTGCCTGGGTCTAAAGTGAAGCCCACGATCGCGGCGCCCCCCGCTGCCACTGCAGGTCCCCGCTGCCCGGGCCGGACGCCTAGGCCAGAGGTCAGAGGCGTCAGGCTTGGGCGGGGGGTGGAGCAAGTGATCAGAGGGAGATGGGGGTCCCCTGCCCAGGCATGATTCCTGGGCCAGAGGCCTCAGGCCTGGGCGGGGGCCAGAGCCAGTGATCGGGGGGAGATGGGGGTCCCCTGTCCAAGCCTGACACCTCTGGCGGAGGCGTCAGGCCTGGGCAAGGGGCCGATCAGGCGATCGGAGGGTGATGGGGGTCAACGCCTGAGGGCTCCCAGTATGTGAGAGGGGGCAGGCTGGGCTGAGGGACACTCTCCCTCCCACACCCACCCAGTGCACGAATTTCGTGCACCGGGCCCCTAGTGTAAGTATAATTATGAATAGAGAGAATTTTCTTAAATGATAAAGGTTGATCCTACTTAACAGTGAAATATGAAAAGCATTTCCATCAAGGTCAGAAATGAGAGGTGGATGCCTATTAACCACTACCTTTCAGCATTGTACCGGAGGTTTTCATTAATGCAGTAAGATAGAAAACCACCCAAATCAATAGATAATGGGTAAATATGCCTATCTCGTGATGAACTACACTAGCAACAGGTAAAAGAAATTACAGAGCTCAAAAAACATTTCTAAACAAAATTGCAGAAGACATTCAATAAATACTTTCTGTGCTATTATGTAAACTTACAGTAATATTTCTCTAAGCATTCCATATGTATATGGCCAATTTTATTGGTGGTCTCTTAATTTATCAAAAAGAAATTAGTATTTGTGTATTTAAATTAAGCATCTATTTTAAGAGCTAGGTAGCTATAAAGATTGTGGGAATTGCATGTAATAATTATGATAGCTGCTCATAGCTGGAGAAATATGCTAGGACTTTGACAATAAAAAGTAAAATGCACACCTGAATGTGGAATTCGAGTTCCATGCTCTGCAGACAGAAGGCTGGCAGGGAGGACAGGCTCAGGTGACAAGCATGGAGCCCCGGCTTTCCTGCATCCACTCGCACCTGCCCTGCTGGCTGCTCAGCTTAACTGTCCCATCTCTTGGCAGGAGCAGATCAGGCCTCTATAACGGCCAGGAATCACATTCAGCTGGTGAAGTCGCAGGTGCAGGAAGTGCGCCAGCTCTCCCAGAAAGCAGAAACCAAGTTGGCAGAAGCACAGACAGAAGAACTCCGTCAGAAAACACAGGAGGCGGATGACAGGGCTGAGCCGGAACAGGAGGCCTACCTGCGTGAGGATTGAGGGCCTGAGCCGCTGCCCACGTCTGCCCACTCAGCCTGGGGTCGGCACGGCTTTCTCTGCAGAGAGGAGGCGCAGGTCCTGCCTTGGCCCATCAGGCCAGAGGCATTTTGTGAGCTGTGAGTGCCTGACCCCCTGAACCCTGGTCTCAATCTTGTACTGGACCTGGTTCTTAGTCCGGGGCACTGCAACCTGTTTACCGTTGCACCCCACTCAGCACAGCTGCCCTCTCACCCACCCACCGATTGTTTTACTTCCTGCCCAGAGCATCTCACCAACCTGGCCAGAGTCCTTTTCTGTCATGCCCACAAGTTCAGTAGCTGTTTTAACCTCATTTCCAAACTTATTCAAATAGGAGTTATTAGTATTTGCTCCCTCCATAGGGATGTGAGTTTTGGGGGCGAGAGGAGCCTGTTCTCTTTGTAAGATTTCTTTTTAAGTGTTTCTAATGCCTTCTCTGACCTGGCCCCCTGGCCCTGCAAGGACAGCCCAGGCCAAGCAGCCAAAAGTCCATTCATTATTCTTAAGGGACTGAATGCAGAGTGTTTACCTGGTACTTTCAACAGGACTTACTCCAACACCTGCTTCCTGTGTCCTCCTTTCCTTCGAGTTTCTCTATTGTATCTGAAGGAGAATAATTTTTTTTGCATTTAAAAATGAAAATGTGTGTGTTTTCTGGGGTCCTCTGCAGCCTCTCACTTTCACCCTCCTCCTCTGACTGGCAGAATGCCAAAGGGCTCCAGGAGCCCCCCGACCCTTCACCCCCCTCCCCCATTTGCTGTGCTTGGGGAACCATTCAACACGTGTTGGTCCAGGTTAGCCAGGTTTCAGTGTTTTTAATCAAAGTTAGAAAAGTTTGGGAGGGGGTTACAAAAACTAAGCATTTCCTGTAGACCATCATGGGTCAAGTTTCAAGTTTCTCAATTTCTATGACAGGAAAATCTACACTCAATCCACTCAGCCCACCCCTCAGAGCTGGGACAAGGGGCCAGCAGCGCACTTAAGCCCCTCATCTGTCACCAGTGCCCACATGGTCCACATCTCCAGGGGGCTGAGCCGGTGCACCAGGAGGAGCCCTCTGAACAGGCAGGGGTCCAGGGGGTCCAGGGGCTGCCGTATTCCAAATGTCTTGAAGCCAGCATGGTGCATGGGGCTCACCCCCAGCTTCCTCAGGCACATACCCACAAAGACGTCATCGATGGGGAAGAGTTCGGCCTCTTCCACGGCTGCTCGGAGGTGCTGCACGGTGGCTCTGGACATGACATACCCTCCACCCCCAGCATAGGGCGGGTAATGGCGGGCCCTGTACATGGAGGGTGGGATGAAGTACTTGACCTTGGTGTTCCTGTTGGGCAGAGCCTGGCGGATGACGTCTCCCACCAAGAGGTCCTGGGCTGGGTCCCAGCCGTCCAGGAACTCCAGGACATTGGGCACATGGACAAAGACATCGTCATCTCCCTTTAGCATGAAGTGGGCCTGGGGACAGGCAGCCGCCACCCAGCGCTGCAGGTGCAGCTCCTTGAGCGTCAGGTTGAAGAAGTCCTCAGTGAAGTCCCACTGGAGGATATCGTCAAACTCCCGACTCTCATAGGCCAGCAGCTGGGCAGGGGGTGCGGGTCCTGCCACCCCTAGGAGGAACACCAGCTTCAGCTGCCGGCCCCCAGCCCAGTCTCCCACCCGGCCCCACGTGCTGCGGATGGCCGCACGCCGCTCCACATGGCCAGGCTGCGACTTGATGGCCAGGAGCAGAAAGACGTCGTCGGCACAGCCTGAAGGTTCCAGCAAAATGGAGAAATTGCGGCAGTGGCGATAGGTCAAGAAGAGACGGTGCCGGCTAGGCAGGGACAGGGAGGCGTTCGCCACAGTGTGGTTGGGTGGACAGTGGCTGCGGCGGGGCCCCGGGGGAGCCCAGAAGGGCTGGCGGGCGGTGGGGGAGCCCAGAAGGGCTGGCTTGGCCTCCTTCTTCAGGAAGAGCAGGCAGCTGAGCAGCAGCACAGCGAGGCTGTACAGGACCAGCCAGCCCAGCCTGCGGAACATGGCAGGGCCTGCAAGGAAAGAGCCTGTGAGCGGGCCCAGCCCGTCCCGGGACCAGCCTCGGCCTCCACCTTCGCCTCCCTGGTCCCGAGAGCAAGTTACCCACACCCTGCCGGCCTCTGGGAGTGCTTTTATTTTTTTTTTAAGCGTGTCTTCTAGCTCTTTCCAGAGTCCCTCTCCCAGAGGACAGACTGAGCTCACCTGCTATGCCAGCCCTTGCCCGCATTCTGTCAGCAGAGGGCTCTTAGGCCAACTTTCCCCAAAATGACTTGCAGCCACTTTAGAACAGGCACCATGAGCATTTTCAGCATTTCCCAGGAAACTCAAGTACCTTGCATGCTTTAGTGGAACTGGCACAGAGCTAGTTTGGCTTCGGGTTAAATTCATTCTAAGGACTGAACATGACAATCTGGGCTCTTACGTCTAAATCAATACATTTCCAAGAGTCTGGAGTCTGCTCTGTAGGTGGCAGGCCCTGTGTTGGGGGTCTCAGCTCCAGCAGAGCAGCAGATGGAGCCACCACTGAGCACCCCCTTCAAATCTGCTGAGGTGGCCTGGGTTCTTGGGTTAGTCCAACGGGGTTTTAGGGACAAAACCCACGCACAGGAGAACATGGAAGCAAGTGGGAAGCTGGAGATGGGTGCCAGGGGTGGCTCAGGTGCCCAGCAATGCAAAAAGGAGGCCAAGGAGCGCTAACCAACAGGCACGTGCCCAAGTCCAAAGTAGCAGAGCCAGGCCTCAAAGCCTCCTCTTCGCCACTCTTGCCACGCTGTCCTGGTCCGACAGGCCTCCCCATCTACCCACGTTAGCCTCAGCCTATTGTCCCTGCCGCTGCACCCCCACAGAAGCTGCCATCTCTTCCAGCTGCCAGGGGTGGATGGCAGGCAAGACAGGCAGGGTCCGAGCCCTCAGAGACCCTGTAAACCAGAATGAACTTCAGACAGCGCCGGGACATGACAGCAGGGTCAGGAGGCCAGGGGCCAGGAAGGCTGTTGAATACCGCAGTTTAGAAAGCCGCCTTGATAAAGGACACGGGCAAGAACTGGGTGGAGTAAGGGACCAAACCACAGAGACATCTGGAGAGCGCGCACCAGGCAGAGGGGACAGTTACCTGCGCTCCCCTGAAGCCGGAGAGCAGTGGCTGGATATGGAGCAGGAGGAGGGGGCAGAGGTGAGGGAGGGGGCTGAGGAGCCCTGGTGTAAGGGCTGGGGAGGGCTTGGGCGTTACTGTGGGCGCCTGGAGAGCCACTGGAGGGTTCAGCAGGGGCAGTAAAAGAATTTACCTGGGGTGAAAGTTCACTGCAGCTGCCGCTTAACGAATCCGGGAAGAGCAAGAGTGCAAACGAGACCAGATGAAAACTCCTTAGTGGGGGCTCAGGACGCAGCGTGGCTAGGGTGGGTGTGGCTACGGAGCGGGAGAGCTGGATGGGTTTCAGGTGGGAAATGGGTTTCAGGTGTGGCAGGCAGGCTGTGAGTGACGGGCCCCGGGTGGGTCGTGTGCCAATTACGGAGCAGGTGCAAAGCAAGCGGCTTGGTGTTGTCGTGCGAGTCTCAGTAGCCGGGGCTGGACTGCGCGAGGGACCTATGACCCCTCTGCCCACCCTCTCCACGGTGCCCAAACCCTCGGCGGCCTCCACTGCCCGAGCAACAAGTCCGCACCGCAGTGACCGGCAGCTTCTGCTCCGTGCCCCCCCCCCCGCCCCCCACACACCTGGGAATCCCACGCCAGGGCTGCGGGCTCAGAGGCTTCCCCTCCCCACGCCTGGTTCCTAACCTGCACCCGCTCAGCGAGTGCGCGACGCCCGCTAAGTGGGTGCTGAGCCCCAGGGTGTGTCACTGTTTCTGGGATGACAGCTAACCTGACATGCCACGACGAGACAAAGAGCCAAAGCTGGTTCATTCCTCCACGCGAGTCTCTGCAGGGCTTTTGCGGGACCGCAAAGCACGGACCAGGAGCCCGCGGTGGACACCCCTCTGGGGCTGAGCGGACGAGCAGCGGCGCCCCGCTGCGCACGGGGCACCTTTCCCCGCAGCGGACCTACCTGAGCGAGGAGTGAAGCGAGCAGCTCGCGCAGTGGCGCCGGGACGCAGAGCATCAGCCGCAGGCACCTCGCTCGGCTCGGGCGGTGGGCGGGGCCCGGCCGCGGCCTCTTTTGTGCGGACCACGCCCCCAGTGGGCGGGGCTTCTGGGCGGGCCCCCACCCACCTGGGTCTCCAGGGCCCAGGCGCCCCCGCGGGCAGGAGAAGCCGCCCCGCTCCCGCAGCGCCCGGCTCCCCGACGCGGGCAGACAGACGCGGGGCTGCGGTCGTCAGAACCACTTTTAATGCGGCTACACGACGAGGTTCCGCAGCGCCTCCTCGGCCGAGCGGCACTGGTTCACCTGGATCTGCACCTCCACCGTCAGGGGCTCGGGGTGGTAGTCGCTCTCGTAGCCTGGGAGGGAGACCGGCAGGGAGTGCGCAGGCCGGGCTCCTGACGCCCGAACCAAACCGTCCTCGCGTCCCGAGGGCGTCCGCCTCGGACTCGGCCTCCGTGGAAAAGTCACGCTGCACTGGGGACCACCGCACTGACAAGACTGTGCTATTCAGACGCGAGTATTTGGTAGATATTTTCTTTAAAAAAGTGAAGTAAACCTGGCGCTTCAGGGACAACTGAAAGCATTTTGATAAAGTTGTAGCTCTAGAGCTTTCAAATAGAAACCAGAACTTTGGAACATTGTATCTGCCACCCTGCACTTCGTTTTCCAGCACTCAGGACTGCTCTCCTGATAACGGGGAACGTGATGTTTTGGAAATTGTGTGAAATGTGTCCACACTTGGGAGGTCGGCGTAACTCAGTGATCCAGTTTTTACAAAAACCCAACGTCTGGTGTTGGGAACTGTGCATGGGGAAGAGCCGTGCAAAATGCAGGGTCGCCCAAAGGATTTTAATGCAGCTGATTGTGAAGACATTCCTTCGCAGACTCAGCGTTCACCTTGAACTGGCCCTCACAAACCTTCGAGCGGGCGTATTTGATGTAATGTCAGAGGAGGGACCCTGCAGTCAACAGAAAGCCTGCACTACACTCCTCCTTTCCAGGCACATGTCCACGTGAGGCTGGGCTTCCTCACACACCTCAGCACTTCCCAGGGACCACAGGGGCAGCCGTGTGTTGCCACCGTCCTCTGTTAAGCCAGGTGTTAAAGAGATTTGCAAAAATGTAAACAAAATCCCGAGCTTAGAGTCCTGAGAGAAGAACCACCAAATAAGACAAGCACAGATAATTTCAAGATCCTCACCCCACAGCTGTCACCGCTCGCAAGTCAAGCTTTGCAGGTCTTGAAGTCCAGCAGTATAACTCCTTTTGTGCTTTTTCTAACCCCCTGCTCCCATGATGTATTTTATTTTTTCTTTGTGCTTTTTCAAAGTTGTTTTGCCGACCCTATGTCCTTTGCATTTTCATATGCATTTTAGAATCAGATTGCTGGTTTCTATTTTTTTTTAATCCCTCTAGGATTATGACTGAAATGGCATTGACTCTGCAGATCAATTTGAGAAAATCCGACATCTTAACATTCAATCTCCTAATCCATGGACAAGTGCACTTACCTTACACTTTTTTTCATTGAGAAAATTCATGCACCAGGTTAGGACACATGAGAAGGGCCTGGCTGTTAACCAGGAAGAGGCCCTTACCTGGCAAGGCTGGCATCTTGTTCTTGGCCTTCCCTGGCTCCAAAGCTGCGATAAAGAAATGCCTATTTTATGAGATGCCCGGCTATGGTGCCCGGTTATCGCAGCCCCGATGGGTGAATACAGGTCCTCAGTACAGACTCCCTGCCTCGGTCACCGTCATCGGCTCTTACCTTTTTTAGTTTTCTTAGTCTTGGAATCCTGAGAGAAGAACCACCAAATAAGACGCTCACATAGTGGGGGGTGCAGATTCCAGTGCGTCTTGTGGGCGGCTCCCCCCCCTGCCAGGCCTCTCCTGGCACAGAGGCGGGGCAGGGTCTCCTAGGGAGGAGGGGGCAACCTGCCCCTTTGCCCCACGACCCCACTGGCCGTCCTATGCCTTCTGGGGCCTTGCCAACGCTGGGGCTTCTTGAGGGGGCTTGGGGCCTCCTCCCCCAACCTCCACCCCTACCCTCCCACGACCTGGCCCCACAGGCCTTGCTTCCCAGCACTATTTCTGTGGGGAGGGTGTGGCAGGGGCCCATGGTACCCTGAGAAATGTCAGCCTGTCGGATTCCAAGGTGCGGATCACCCCAAACATGCACAGGGTGGACACGAGTGGATCCCCTGCCAGCAGGGGCTCCAGGACCACCAGGCCGCTGCCCAGCACCCGCAGGATGGGGGGGTCCTGGCGAAACTCCTTAGAGACCCCTCTCTTCTTCTTGGTCCCCTTCTGTTCCTGGGGGGAGAGGCTGGGAGGGTGACAGGGCCCGGCCAGGATGTGCCCAGTGCCCATGGCCACTGCCCAGGGCCAGAGGTACCTTCTTCTCTTTCTCCCCTTTGGCAGCCTTGTCTTTCTCATCTTTCCCTTTCTTGTCTTTCTCCTCTTTCTCTTTCTCTTCTTTCTCTTTCTTCTCTTTCTCCTTCTCCCCTTTTCCCTTGGCAGGCGAGAGACTGTCAACAGGAGGTGACACCACGGGCCAGGAGAGAATCTAGAGGACAGCAAGGCGGCCACGCTGGGGCCGGCTGGGGTCTTTCTGGAAAGGAGCTGAGACTACGCAAACAGGGGAGCTGGGCCGGACAGAAAATGAACAGGAAGGGGCACCGGCCTCCGGGGGGACCCCACCTTCTCCTCCACGATGGTCACGGTTGTCCCTGCCAGCAGGAAGGCCTTGAGCGGCACCAGGTCCCGGATCGTGTGCTGCATCTCATAGTTGCAGGGGATGACGTCAGCCCAGGGCTTGCGGACGGTGCTGAAGAGGACTGTCCTGGTGTGGGGGTGGGGGACACCCAGGCGTCATCGCAGGCCAGGGACAAGGCTTCGGGCACCACAAGGAGACGGCGTGGGGCAGGGGGCGACCCCCACCAGGCAAGAGGGGGCCCAAGAGCAGGAAGGGACCGGCACCGTGAGGAAGTGGGGGCGCACTCTGCATGGGGGCTTCCCCTAAGGGGTGACTGTGGATGGAAGGAAACCAGGAACAAAGCAGAACTTTTAAAAACTTCAGCAAATCCTGGGCCAGCCTGGCTCAGTGGCTGAGCATCAACCTATGAACCAGGAGGTCACGGTTCGATTCCCAGTCAGGGCACAGGCCTGGGCTGCAGGCTCGATCCCCAGTGTGGGGCCTGCAGGAGGCAGCCGAATGATGGTTCTCGCTCATCACTGATGTTTCTCTCTCCCTTCCTCTCTCTGAAATCAATAAAACATATATGTGTGTACACACACACACACATATATGATAAAGTTATGGACTGAAATACAGTAGAAGTTAAGTCCAATGAAGCAATTCAGCCCAGAGCTTGAAACCTGTGAGGTAACTGTGCAAAGACACATGTCAGAAGGGAAATGTAGAAATGGAGGAAAGGTGGCAATAACTGATCTTAAAGATTAGTGCTACCGACAGACAGACTCTGACAAACGTCAACGTACTCCAGGGGAACCCATTCGTGCGCGCCCATCCTCCTGCTAAAACCCTGGGAGCGCGGCGGCGGGACAACAGCCACCTCCCCAACGCCAGTCTGCGGCCTTCCACCTGCCGCCAGTCCCACCTTCATCCTTGCTCCTCGCTGTCGCGGGGCAGGGACCCCCCCGCCCCCCACTTCCCGGGGTGAGACTCCATTATCTCCCCGCCACACACACACCCAAGGGCCAGCGCCCACGGGCGCCTGTTCAGGACGCTCCGCAGCGCAGGGGATGCCTTAGGTGGTGGGATTATTTGTGGCTCTTACTTGTTTTTACGAATCTTCCCCAAAATTACAACAAGGACCGTGGAACAGGCTGGGACCCTGTGTCCCGCCAGCGGGGGCCGCCAGCCCGGAGGGTGACCCCCCCCCCCCCAACACTGAGAGAGAACCGACTCCGTCCGCACAAGATTCTTCATCGGAAAGGCCTTCCGCCCCAGGGACACGGCGACACGGGCTGGCAGGTCCCCGGGGTCGGAGCCAGACCAGCTCTGGGCGAAGCACCCCCCAGCCCCGGGCGGCCCGGCCCCCTTACCCCGGCGACGGGCAGAGCCGCACGTCTATTTTCGGCCGCAGCTGCGCCAGCTCCTCCGCGGAGCCCAAGGACCCCGGCAGCGACAGCGACCCGCCCGACACCCCCGACTCCTCCAGCTCCACCGACTGCGACGCGGACGAGGGCGCGGACTCGGCCTCGGCGGAGTCTTCTGCCTCCTCGAGGGTGTCGGAGGCGGCGGGGCCGGCGGGGCCGGCGGGGGCGGCGGGGGCGGCGGGGGCGGCGGGGGCGGCGGGGGCGGCCGGGGCCTCTTCGGGGGCCTCGTTCTCGCTGGGGGTGGGCTTGACGATCTGCGGGGTGGAGGGAGCCAGTCTGCGCCGCCTGAACCACACCCCTCCGCCTCCCCGGGGGGCGCTGCCGGGGCTGGGAGGCGGGGTGGGGGACATTGCCTGGTGGAGAAATTGGGGTGCCCCCTGGTTCAGGGACAGAAGGGTGAGCCGCTGGGAGTGACTCCAACGGGAGGAAAGCGGCTGAGGGAAACCCCGTGGGCCCAGAGCGGTCCCCCGCCCAGGACCCGCCGGGCGCACCTCGGCCAGGACCCCTCCGTATTCGCTCCCTTCGCCCTCCTCGTCCTCCACGAAGTCGTAGGTCACGTAGTAGCTGTAGGTGATGAAGGGCCCCTGGGGCCCCGGCTCCGGGTCCAGGACCGAGGAGTCCAGAACCCCCCTGATGTTTCCAATCGTCACCACGAACTGCGCCTCGCGCGCCAGGACATCTGCAGGGGGAACGGGCAGGCGTGAGGCGCGCGGGGTGGAAGCGGGAGGACAGACGGGGGCTGGGTCCCAGCGCGGCCAAGTGCAAACAGGTCCCCTTCGGTGAGACCCCCTTCGGCCTTTCCCGACCTGTGCGATGGGACCCACAGCAGCGGCGGCCGCAGGCGCTCCCAGGTAAGAAGGCGCGGCCTGGGCATGGCCTGCCGGAGGTGCCCTCTGGCATCAATGTCTGTCGCCTTGACCTTGAGAAGCCTGTGCAGCTGGTGGCAGGGCCGCCAGGGGGTGATCTGAAGCCACCACGGAAGGGAAGAGGCTGATCGGAGTTTCCCATTTGCCGAGGGAGGGAGGGGACCCAGGAGGCCCAGCCTCCCTCCCCTGGTCCCCAAATCCCAGTCACTGGGTCAGATCTGGGAGAGACGTCTCACACCAGCCAGGGAGCTTGGGGACAGACACCCAGCAGCCCGGGCGGGCGGCTCCCTCACCCGCTTTGTAGCGGAGCCCCTGGAACTGGTGCTTCTCGCTGGAAGACACGGTGATGTCATCCAGCACGCAGAGCCGGGCCAGGCTGTCGATGGTGAAGCCGCGGTAGTAGGGCACCAGGGCCAGCGGGTTGCCCTGCAGGACCAGCAGCCGCAGGCGCTGCAGGGTGCTGAGGCTGGCCACCATGCCCTGCAGGTCTGTCAGGTCATTGAAGCCCAGGTCCAGAGACACCAGGTTGGGCCTGGAAGGCGAGCAGAGGGGTGGGGACAGGCCTGCCGTCCAGCCTGCCCCAGCACCCCACGCCCAGGACAGCCAGGAGGCCTGAGCCTGCCCGTCAAGACGACATGCCTTGGGCAGCCCTCGACCCCACACACACACAGGGAAGCCTCTCTCCCTGGTCCTGCCATCCTCACAGGTCACAGACGGGCCTTGTCACCTCCCGCCTCTGCCCGACTCCTATGGACACACAGCCTCTCCTCTAGGTTAATCGTCTCGGTATCTCTCGTGGAACCATATAGTGTTGTGCATCTAGAAGGCTCTCTCTCTCTGTTGTTAATCCTCACTCGAGGATATTTTTCCATTGATTTTTAGAGAGTGGAAGGGAGGGGGAGAGACAGAGGGAGAAATATCAATGTTGGAGAGACACATCGATGGGTGGCCTCCTGCATGTGACCCAACCAGAGCCGGGGATTGCGCCTGCAACCGAGGTACGTGCCCTTGACCAGAATTGAACCCGAAGCCCGACACTGTCCACTGAGCCAGACCAGCCGGGGCACCTAGAAGGTTTTTGACAAAGACTGACCAGCTGTCAGGGACGTGGGAGGGAAGCCCCTGTGGGAGGAGCCATGGGGGGGGGGGAGTGTCTGGTAACATGGGGACCTGGGGAGGGAACACAGGGGAGTGGAATCTGGAGGACACTTTCCAAACCCAGACGGGCAACTAATCACAGGAAGCCCTGTGGTTCGTCTCCTGGGCCGTGGGTGCAGAAGAACCCGCCAGTGAGGGCGGAGGCTGGACGGAGGGCCAGGCCAGGGGCACGGTGGTTTCCTCACCGCCAGGCAGACTAGAAAGCAAACTGATTTCAGCTCTGAGAACAGAGGCGAGATAAACACAGGGAGTCACCTCCTCAGCCCCATCTCTCACGATCACCTGCCGCCTCCCTCCTTTTATGGCCCGTCCTGTCCTGCCCAGGATGCCTCCGGCCAGTCATGGGAAAAACGCTGACTTCACCCCCAGCAGCCTTTCAACAGAACCAGGGGAGCGTCAGCAAGGGAGTCACACCTTCCCTTTCATTTCAAAACAGTGAAAGGGAGGTTTATAGGTTTTTCCTGAAATCTACACTCAGTGTTAAACAGGTTACCCAGGTTACGGTAAGTCTTATTTTCCACATAAGAGGTGGGAAAGCCTGGTCCTCTGTCCGTGGTACAAGTCTGAAGCCCAAGTGCATGTCTCTCTCCTGGGCCACGTCCCTGACGTGATGCTGCGGTCGGCGGAAGGAGGATCAGAATCGTGGCCTCTGACCTCATCCTCCGTGGGTGCAGGGTTTCGGGTTTCCCACTTTCCACCCACCAAGGACACAAAGTCGAACCATGAGTTCCCAGCTCAGGACGATTTTGTCCCCGCTGACCTTCGGCCCTATCGGGACATGGCGGCTGTCACACTGGTGTGGGGCGGGTGCTACTGGCATCCACTGGGTAGAGGCCAGGGGTGCTGCTCAGCTTCCCGCAGAACCCAGGACAGCCCCACACGAAGAATTTTCCAGCCGAAATGTCCACAGTGCCTTGGTCTCGGGCGCCGGCTCTAAAGCCTGGCACCCAAGCAAAGGCCTGCCCTCCTCCCACCACCTCGCAGTGTCCTTTCCTGGCCTCTGTGGGTTGTTTTTTTGTTTTAAATTGAATCAGAGAAAGAAGTTTTATGTCTGGAGCCAGCAGCCAACCAGGAGTTATTACAAAAAAGAGGAAAGCTGGGTCCCTTTCAGCGTCCAAATCTAATGCTTTCTCCCTTTTCTGCTTCTAGCTGGGGGCTCCGGAGTTACCAGTATTGGGAGGTGATGTACATGCTTTGCAGGGGGCCCAGAAGCTTGTTGTGGCCCAACCCCAAGTGCTGGAGGCCTGGTGGAGGGTGAGCACACAGACACTTCATGCTGGTGATGATGTTGCCGTAGAGCTCCAGCACCTGCAGGGGCGGAAAGGGCACCTGTGAGCCCAGCACCACCCGTGCACCCCGTCCTTCCGCCCCGAGCACCACCCGTGCACCCCGTCCTTCCGCCCCGAGCACCACCCGTGCACCCCGTCCTTCCGCCCCAGTACCACCCGTGCACTCCGTCCTTCCGCCTGAGCACCACCCGTGCACCCCGTCCTTCCAGTCCCGGAAACTCTGCAGAGGATGCACCAATCCACCATGCCACGTCTCCCTGTCCACCTGAACCCGGGAAAAAAATATTCCTGCAGCAAGAAGCATGGGGAAGGAAACTTTAAAATTTGGAATGGGAGGTGATATGGGAGCGCGTGGGAGGGGACATGCACAGCACTTGGCCACGTGTCTCTGTGTAACCCACGCCCCCATTCTTTTTACATTGTTTCGAAAGTGCTGACTCTAACATGGATCTTACAGATAAACAGCATGTTTGTATAATGATTCTAGGAACTAACTTCAAAAGAAGCCGACTCTGACCTTCAGGCGTTCCAGCTCGGGGAGATTTGCTGACCTTCCCCCTTAGAGCCACGATGACGCACATCAGGCCATCCCTTGACCAGTGTGGACATCCTATCAGAATGGACCCTGCACGTAGAGAACTTTTCACCCCCACCCCCCATCTCTCTGTTCTGCTTTCCCTCTCTCCTTATAAAAACCCCTGCCTGCACCGAGATGTTGAAATGGGCTTTGTGACGGGAGTCCCCCATCTCCTCGGGCTGCTGGTTCTTGAATAAACCTACTTTCCTTCCACCAGCCCGTGTCTCTTCTTTTATTTTTAAAAAATTACTGACCCTCGCTGGTTTGGCTCAGTGGATAGAGCGCCGGCCTGCGGACCAAAGGGTCCCAGGTTTGATTCCAGTCAAGGACACGTACCTTGGTTGCAGGCTCCTTCCCAGCCCAGGCCCTGGTCAGGGCTTTGCAGGAGGCAACCAATCGATGTGTCTCTCCCACACTGCTGTTTCTCTCTGTCTTTCCCTCTCTAAAAAGGCAATGGAAAAATATCCTCAGATGAGGATAAAAAAATAAATTATTGATTTTAGAGAGAGAAAGGAAGGGGGAGAGAGAAGCATCAATTTATTGTCCCACTTATTGATGCATTCATTGGTTGCTTCTTGTATGTGCCCTGACCGGGGACCGAACCCACAACCTTGGTGTATCAGGATGACACTCTAAGCAGCTAAGCTACCCGGCCAGGAGCCCTGTCTCTTCATTATTGGATTTTGAGCAGCAGGCAGCCCAACTGGTTCAGTATCATCTGGGAAAGCCAGAGGGGCCCTGGGTGGAAAACAGTGAGTTCTTGTATTTCGCCTCCAAGATCTCACCTGGTGTTTTCTTGAGCATGGCCGTGAGCGATAGTTCTCAGTCCCTTTTGATTTAAAATCGAGACCATTTTTGCCCAACCAGCGTGGTTCAGTTGAGTGTCATGCCATGTACCAAGAGGCCGTAGGTTTGATTCCCTGTTAGGGCACATGCCTGGGTTGTGGGCTTGACCCCCCAGTGTGGGGCGTGCAGGAGGCAGCTGATCAATGATTCTATCTCATCACTGATGTTTCTATCTCTCTCTCCCTTCCTTTCTCTGAAATCAGTGAAAACATATTTAAAAAAATATTTTTAAAAATTGAGACCATTTTTGAAGGAATTGAGAGATACAAATTGGTAGTAACAAAATAGTCACCACATAAGGAAGATAGTTAATAATATTGTAATAACCAAGTATGCTGCCAGGTGGGCACTGGAAATATCAGGGGGGCCACTTTGTAAAGTATATGATTGATTAACCACTATGTTGAAACTAATACAAAATATTGAAGGTAAACTGTAATTGAAAAGTAAAATTTAAATTAAAATAAGATCAAATGGAGACCATTTTGATATGCTGAGCTTAAGACTCACGATAAAGCCTAGCCTCCCTTTCTTTTTAAACTATCTTATTGTGGTAAAATATGTCTAACGTAATTTGCCATTTTAACCATAAAATTCAGTGGCATTAAGTACATTCACAACCATCATTACTATCTATTTCCAAATGTTTTCATCACCCCAAACAGAAGCTCTGTGCCCATTAAGCTACAACTCCCCATTGCCCCACCCCTCCACCCCCCACCCTCCCACCCCACCCCCGCTGCCCCTGGTAACCTCTCATGTGCTTTCTGTCTATGGATTCGTCTCTTCGGTATCATGGAGGTAGAATCATCTAACATGTGGCCTTTGGTGGCTAGCCTTTGTCACTCAGCATAATGTTTAAGTTTCCTCCTTGGCCACAGTCACTCCTTTGTTTGACTGAATAATATTCCAGTGGAGGGAGAGGCCACACTGCGTTTACCCACCCACCTGCTGACACACTGGGGTGGTCTCCACCCTTTGGCTCTCATGAATGATGCTGCTAAAAACATTGGTGAATAAGAATTTGAGCCCTAGCCGGTTTGGCTCAGTGGATGGAGCGTTGGCCCACAAACTGAAGGGTCCTGGGTTTGATTCCGGTCAAGGGCATGTACCTTGGTTGCAGGTTCCCCAGTCCTGGTTGGGTATGTACAGGAGGCAACCAATTGATGTTTCTCTCTGTCTCTTCCTCTCCCTTTCACTCTCTCTAAAAATCAATGGAAAAATATCCTGGGGTGAAGATTAACCAAAAAAAAAAAAAAGAAAAAGGAGGAGGAAGAGGAGGAGGAGGGGGAGGAGGAGGGGAAGGAAGGAGGAAAAGAAGGGGAAGAGGAAGAAGAATCTGAGTCCCTGCCTTCAAATCTCTCAGCCCACACCTGGGAAGGGAATTGCTGCGTCTATGGAAATTACACTTTTGAGGAATCTGAGCCACCTCAGAAAAGCCACAGTACCAAGACTTTTGTGTTTGGGGCAGGGGCAGGCTCCTTTACCTTGAGAGTTGGTGGCAGATTGAAGGCATCGATCTCCATGATTTGATTGGCACTCAGTACCAACTCTTCAAGCTTTGGGAATTTCAGGAGGTCTTTATCCACCAGGCTCACCTGGGAAGGAAGGGAAGGAAGCTAAGAGCTCAGCTGGAGCAGAAACCTGTGGATGTGAGGATGGCACCACTTAACCAGCTGCACAGAGCCCCCTCCCAGCACCCACCCTTCTGCTCCTAGAGCCTATCCTGCCTCGTCTGCCAGGATGCAGGCGTGTCGGGCGTGGTGGGGACCCTCACCTCTTCCACCCTCACCTCTCCTCTGACTGTGGATGCCTACAGTGTCCAGCTCAGTGTCCTGTGTCCCCTGTTGGACGGTAAGCTCTGAGGGCAGGAAGTCCGTCTTTGCTGTGCACCCTGGAGCCACGGTGAACCCTGAGGTCTTTAGAAGTCACTGGTGTTCCCACAGCAGGGTCAGAGCTGCCGAGCCTGCCCGACTTCTCAGCTCCCGTGGCCTCAGACACTAGGGGACCTTCCTGGCTAGGCCTCGTCTCTGGGGTGACTGACCTGCCAGCTTGCCTAGGAGCAAGGGGTTCCAGGGACATGAAAATTTCTGCGTTAACACTGGGCCAGTCCCAGGCAAACAGTTTGCTCTCCTTCCTCATCCCCCAAGCACTGTGTCATTCAGTTTCTCTAGGGAAGGAGGAGCAAATGGGGAGTCCTGGGCTGTGTAGCCATGCAAGCTTTGGGCTCTGTTATCGATATAAGCAAAGAAGGCTTTTTAGAGACAGGAATTACTATAGTACTATGCCCCTCCCCTGACCCTGGGCCCCACAACTGAAATGAAGTAAAACCAATATAAACACTTGGAAGGTTTCTACTAGGACCCAGAAGGGTGGACTGCAGGGCGCTCCAGAAACCAACTAAGACCCACAGTGGACTTCAGCTGGGGTGAAGGAAGAAGGCATACAGCACAGAACAGGGGAGCAGCTGGCTCTGTGGGGTGGGCCAGCCAGTGAGATTGATTAGGAGGGCAGAGCTATCCCCATCCCCACCCCCACACACTTCGCACCCCGTCTTATCACTAGGTGCTGGAAGGAGCGTGGTCTCCTGGCATCACCTCTGTCCCCTCTGTATGCCAGCGTGCAGGTGCCAGCTGCCAGCACTCACCTCTTTGTCCACCACCTGGAGGGACCTGAAATAGGAGTACAGGAAGTCCTCTTTGAGCATCTGGGGCTTCCGGATGGCCAGCTGCCTCAGGAACAGGTCCTCAGCACTGGAGCCCTCCAGCAGAGCCCAGGGCGACTGGGGGCTGCAGACCAGGCCCAGCAGGTCCTCCACCGTCTCCTCCGCGGGGCCCCCAGCCTCCTCCTCTCTGGGGACCAGCTCCCGCCACGTCCGCCAAGTTTGAGGAAGAAATCTCGACTTATTCTGCAGGGGTGGGGTTGGGGGGGGGGGCGAGATATGGAGAATTTCTCTAGTTGTGACTCGCTCCTCTCAAGGATCCGAAACTCTCGGAATTGAACAGATTGTAAGACAGGACAATCAGGGGTAAAGAGTTTAGAAGTGTAGACAATGAGTAATCGATACTTTTGACTGATTATCAGCCATGGGACAGGCAAGGGAAACTAAAAAAATAGTAAAAAGCTCCATTCCCGCCTTTAGGAGTTGCTCTTGGGCTGGGAACCCGGAAGACGCAGGTGGAAGTGATTAAACATTTAAGGAAGCAGCAGGTGCAGCAGGCCCCCTGTGAGAAGTAATGGTCAATGAGGGACAGGGGGCGAGGCTGAGGGGTAAATTCAGAACATTTAGGTGCTGTCAGGAGAAGATGAACGAATTCGCCCGAGTTTGCTTTCTCCACTCCTCCCCCGCCCCCCAGACTCGATGGAACCCTAAAGCTCAGTCAGTCCAAGGCCGGGCACACAGTAGGTGCTCAATGTTTGTGGAAAAAATACCGACTCCCCCTCGGCGCCGACCAGTGTGGGGGGCCCAACGTCCCATCGCGGCCACCCCACGGGGACCCTCCCGGACCCAGGCGCCTTCCTGCACATCTGAGGCGCCCGTCTCACGGTCCTGCTCCTCCTCCTGCCCCTCCTCCCCGCCGGGCATCCCGGGGCGGCGCGGCCCCTCTGCTCACAGCGGGACCGACTGCTGGCCGTGCTCTCAGGATGAGCTCTTTCCTCAAGAGCAGCCTGGGCTCTTCAGGAGGGAGAGGCCCTGGGGGTCCCTGCCCTCCACCCTGGGCGGCTCCCGCGGGCCTAGGTGGGGGCCTACTCGGCCCGCCCTTCAGCGTCCCATCCACACCCCGGGGCAGGCAGCTCCCTAAACGCCCAGATCCCAGCCCCCTCTGCCCTACCCCGCCCGGCTCTCAGTCCCGGGGCCCTGGCCGGCCCGTCTCCTCCGACGCCCAGGTCCCCCCAGCCGCCCCGCCTGCGCCCGCACCCAGCTGCCTGCGCCGCACGGAAACTCCTGCAGACACAACTGCCGCAGGTGCTCCCGCACCGCAGCGCTCACGGTCCCGCCACCCTCCTCCATGGCGCGTGGACCCCGCGTCCTGCCGGTTGCTAAGCAACCGCCGGAACGTGCACGTGCTCCAGGCGGCCGGGCGGCGCGGCGGCGCAGGCGCTCTGGGATCCCAGGACTCGCCCCGGGAGACCCCGGCTCAGCCCCAGGAGAACTGGGTTTTCCCTCCTGACCTCGCCTGTGCTCACGGCTGTAAACCAAGGAAAACAGTACAGGCCCCCCCGCCGCTGGGGTAGTAACTGCTGCGGCTCCCAGCACGCGCCCCGCGCTTCCCCTACGCTACGGATTCTCCTCTAGAGAAAAATGCTCATTATTACCGCCACTTGACAGCTCTGGAAAGGAGACATTAGCCCAAGGTCAAGCTCAAGATTGTCATCAGGGGATTCCAATGTGACTCTCCTTAACTCCTGACTCGGAGTTTTAATCACAGACCCCACTTGAGACTGACCCAATCCCACTTACCTCTCCATCCTCAGAGCATGGAGCCCACTGCCGGTCACACAGGAGGGGCTCCTGGGCACTGCTTGGTGAAATCCATGGGATAAGATGACTCTGGTTCCTATACTATGGAAACGCAACATCGTTTATGGAGATATAATGGACATACCCTAGAACGCGCCGCTTTCAGGTGTGCAGTTCTGTGGGTGTTAGTGTATTCACAGTGCAACTATTATTCTAACCTAACTTTCAACATTTCCCTCACCCCGAAAGGACATCCCATACAGATTAGGCAACCGACCTCCATTCCCATCTACCCAGCCCCCGGCAACCACAATATGCTTTCTGTCCCCGTGGATTTACTTCTTCTAACCGCTTCACATAGTGGGACACGGTGCCACCATAGGGGCAGAACGCGTTCTGTTATCCATCATCAACCGATGGGCCTTTGATTGTTTTCACTGTCTGGCTCTGACGAGTAATGCCGCTCTGAACACTCACGTACAGGTTTTCGTGGGAATGCGTGTTGTCATTTTCCTTGGAAGGAATTCCTCTAGGAATGCAATTGATGGGTCCTATGGTATGGATTTGTGATTGGTAAATACTTCTCCTCTTCTAGGCCTGTCTTTTCTTTCTCTCAATGGTGTCTCTAGAAAGAGCAAAACATGTTTAATGTTGAGCAAGTCCAATTTCCTGACTGTGATCCTTCCCAAAACACCTGCTTTGGTGGCTGCTTTCCTGTAGGAGGACACCGTTACTATTATTAGAGAAATTCTCCCAAACTAGGAAAATAAATACCCACGAGTCTGTTGCAATATAAACTAATCAAAGAGAGGAATCAAGATTAACTCCCAGGATTTTGATGAAGCAACTGGGTAGTTTCACTTTTTTCTCACTTCTCAAACCACCACCATATGGCTTCCACCCCCACCAGTGTGTTCAAACTTCCCAGTGACCTCATGTTCCCCCGCATCGAGACTCTCCTCAGCCTTTATCTTAACGAACCTCTCCGTAGTTTACGCTGGGGCTGATCACTTCCTCCTTGAAAACCGCTTTCATGTTGTTCCATGACAACATGCTTCTCTACGTCTCTTTCTCTCTAGAGCACCTTCTCCGTATTCAGGGCTAAGTCACCTTCCGCTCCCTGTTCTGCTGATGGAGGTGCACCCCTGGGCTCCACACCTGACTTATATCTTACAGGCTTACACTTGTGTGTTTTTTCTTAAGATTTTAAAATATATTTTTATTGACTTCAGAGAGGAAGGGAGACAGAGATAGAAACCTCAATGATGGGAGAGAATCATTGATTGGCTGCCTCCTGCACGCCCCACACTGGGGATCCAGCCCACAACCTTGCATCAAACCGTGACCTCCTGGTTCACAGATCAATACTCAACCACTGAGCCATGCCAGCCGGGCATTTAAAAAAGATTTTTTTAAAATATTTTTTTTTAGAGAGAGAGAGAGGAAGGGAGAGAGAGAAACATTGATGTGAGCAAAATATTGATAGGCTGCCCCCTGCAACGCCCTTCACCTAGGATCAAGCAGGCAACCCAGGCATGTGCCCTGATCAGGAATCAAACCTGCAACCCTTCACTGCATGGAATGACGCTCAACCAACTGAGCCACACCAGCCAGGGCAACCATTGGCTCTTTGTTGTTGCTGTAGAAAATGCGGTACACTTAGCAGCTTAAAACCACAAAGTTACTGCCTCACAGTTTCTGTGGGTCAGAAGTCCAGACGGTGTAGCTGGGTCCCCTGCTCAGCATCTTATCAGGCTAAATTGAAGTTATCACCTGAGGCTGTGGTTCTCAGCTACAGCCCAGGGTCGTCTTCCATACTCACTAGCCATTGGCCAAATTCATTTTCTTCTCATGCTTTCCACTTGGCTCCCTCCATTTTCAAGCCAGCAATGGCAGTTGAATCTTTCTCATGCTTTGAGTCTCTCCGACTTTCTCTTCTGACTTCCTCTTTGTTTTTAAGGGCTCCTGTGACTACGTTGGATCCACTTGGTAATCATCTAGCTTAAGATAAACTGATTAGTAACTGTAATTACATCTGCAAAGTCTTTCTGCCATGTAATGTAACATAATTATGAGAGTAAATACCAGAGGGTGAAAGCCACGGGGGCAAAATTCTGCTTACCATGGACTTTGCTAGAGGATTTTAAATAAATTCTTGGGGTGAAAACCATATTGTGACAGTTTTTGAAGTGAGGTAAAAGTGAGCAGAGATTGCTCTGTCAAGAAGCTTGGATAAGGAGAGGAAAAAGACCAGTCGCAGTTGGAAGGAGACTTGGGATTAAGGTGAAAGGGGGTTTGTAGCTGTCTCTTCGTTGTGCATCTTCAGTTCTATGGACTGCCCTGGCTTGACCTCAGTTCTGCGCTCTTGACTCCAATCCAATCGCTGACTAGACATTGAATAGATTCTCATTGCGCATCTCAAACTTGACGCATTCCAAAGAGAACTCTTGGTTTCCTTTCTCTAGTCTTCTTTTCCCTCACTGCACATCAACCACCTGATTGCTTTATCAAAATTCACAGAGTCATCCTTGATTCCTGTCTTTGATTCCGCTCCACATTATTCCATTGGCTGGTTCTGTAGACTCCATCTCCATCCACTCTATCCTGGTCCAAGCCGCCCTCATCTCTCACCTGCACGGCTGCTGACCCTCCTAATTGGTCTCTCTGCTTCCACATTGGATTCCCGAAAATCCATTCTCCACTCAGCAGCCTACCTTTTTTCTTAAAGTAAGCCAGACCCTGTATTTCCCTACCTATAGCCATTCAATGGTGCATCACACCTGGAATGAAACCCAACTTCTTTATCCTCATAAGACCCCCGTGACTTGCCCTCTGCCCCCCTTCCCACCACCCTCCTCTTCTCTCACTTTGTTCCAGCTGCCACGAGCTGCTTCCTGTCCTTAGTCACAGCAAGCTCATTTCTGCCTGAGGACGTGCACGCGAGGGTTCCCTCTGCCAGCACGGCTTCCTCACGTCTTCCCACAACAGGTCCTTCTCATCTTTCAGGTTTCGGCTCAGAGAGACTTTTCCTGGTCACCTGTCATTCTCTATCCCAACACCTTGATTTTTATAGTTCTTATGACCTGATGGTTTTTTTTTGTTTGTTTATTAACATTGTGCCCCTTGCCCAGGAGAATGCCAGCTCTGCGAGGGCAGGGACCTTGTTGAACTTCTTTGCTAGAAGAGCGCCTGGTCGAAGGTGGCACTCAAACTACGCATAAGTGATTTCAACAAATGACTCCCAAGCACGGATTCCGGTTCCTGGTCCTGCACTTGCAAAGTACAATGATGTTCAAGACCATGCAGAGGTGAGATACGGTCTTTGACATGCCACAGTCACAGTGATTATCAGGGCTGTACCTGCATGCTGGCAGGGGCATGCTTCAGAAATCTACAAAGATAATGCACTTTGCAAGCATGTTCCCTCTCCACCCACACACGCTCAGCTCTGACCCTCCCCAGAAATTCCCTGTGGGGCACGGACCAGCATCTCCTGCAACATCATGTTTCTTGGTGGTTGGGCCTGTCAACCCTGGCCTTCAAAATTTCTTCTGGTCAGATTTACCGGCTCTTTCCAAGAAGATGTGGCAAAGATGCGTGTGCCTTCCTGTGTGTGCCTGCACTGAGTCAGGCATCTGCCCACCTTGAGGGTAACCTCAGCATTTCCTTCCAGCCCTGCTTTCACTCAGCCTTGGGCGGCAAAATTTTGAAAGTGTTTTCTGGAGAAAAGCTGAGCAATAATCTTGCCATGGGCGGAACATCGATTGTCCTTCCTCACGGCGGGCCCTTTATATATCCCCTGGAGGCCATGGCGACCACATCTGGCTCGAGCAGCTGTTGCTGAAGCAGGCTCCGCTCCGTCTCACCATGGCCTCCCGCACAGGTACCATGAGATGGACTGAAAGACTCCAGAGGGGCTTACCCCGTGGTGGCTGGAGTGTGGCTCGGGGGAGAGAAGCTGGGTGGGCAGGGGGCGCCTGGCTGGGGGCTTCACGGCAGCATTCTCTCCTCAGGACCCACCAGGGGTGCCCTGCTTCTGCTCTGCTGTATGGGAACCTTGCTGTCCGTCCACACGGCTCCCATCACTGGTGGAAGTGACCTGAAGAGAAGCATCATAGAACTAAAGGCTTCTTCTGAGAGGCTTTTGGGAAACTGCGTAAGTGCCCTCCAGGTTTCTTTCCTAAGCCATTTCTTTAAAACACCTTTCCTCGTGCCCAGAAGAAGGGGCTCTTTTCGGACCTGAAGCCAGGGCTGTGGCTGTGGGAAAGGATGGGTACAATGAGACAGGGTACGGTGGGATTTTTATGCGGGTGCGGGTCAGAGGCAGAGATGAGCTCAGACAGCCCCAACCCAACAGTTTTTGGAGAGAATCATCCATCGGCTGCCTCCTGCACACCCCACACTGCAGGATCTGCTTAGTAGGCTTGGTCACTCCTCCCATGTTTGGTTCACAATATTGTAAAATGAAGTTTCCTGTCTGCAGCGTATCCTTTGATGTGGCCCATCTTGTCTACCGGTTCAGGAGCTGGTGACCACCAAGCTAAGCTGTG